AGTTGACCTTGACCTCATTTTCATGGTTCAGTGGTCAAAATTAAGTTTTTGAATTTTGGTCTTTTTATCTAATACTATATGCAATAAGTCAACTATATTTGGTGTATGGAAATATTTTATGATCTATATGTTAGTCGCTCAGATTTAATTTGACCTTGACCTCATTTTCACGGTTCATTGCTCAGTGTTAAGTTTTTGTGTTTTGGTCTGTTTTTCTTAAACTATAAGCAATAGGTCAACTATATTTGTTGTATGGAAGAATTGTTAGCTGTACATGTCTGCCTGGCATGGTTCATCTGACCTTGACCTCATTTTCATGGTTCATTGGTCAATTTTTAGTTTTCTGGGTTAATGTTAAGTTTATGTGACAGTTGTAATAAAGCTTTATATTTAGGACTATCAACATTATATCAATGATTAGTAAAGAAGGCGAGACATTTCAGCGTGTGCACTCTTGTTTTAATAGGTTGTTAGTGGCTTTTAACTACATGTCAGTAACTGCGAGTACTCTAAGATCTGTACTTAGTTTCCTTATGTTGTTGGAATATACAGCCACTTCCACCCTGTGTTTTTGTTAGATGTATTTTTATTTATATCCATCTGATGAGCTAAACCTTTTTCAACTGATTTTTATAGTTCGTTCTTATGTTGTACTGTTACACCACTGTTCCAAGTATGGGGAGGGTTGGGATCTCGTTAACATGTTTAACTCGGCCAGCCACATTCTGTATGTATGTGCCTGTCCAAAGTCAGGAGCCTGTAATTCAGTGGTTGTCGCTTGTTGGTGTGTTACATATTTGTTTTTCGTTCATTTTTTTTGTACATAAATTAGGCCTTTAGTTTTCTCGTTTGAATTGTTTTAACATTTGTCATTTCGGGACCTTTCATAGCTGACTATGCGATATGGGCTTTGCTCATTGTTGAAGGCCGTACGGTGACCTATAGCTGTTAATTTCTGTGTCATCTCTTGTGGAGAGTTGTCTCATTGGCAATCATACCACATCTTCTTTTTATACGCCCGTCAAAATTTTCGACGGGACGTGTTATGATATACAAATGTCCGGCGTCCGTGTGTCCATCTTCCGGCGTAAGTTTTCGTTCTTTCTTGCTGTGTGGAAAAAAAAATCTCAAACAAGAAAAATTGTTCCAAAGTTTTTATAATCTATTGTTCATGAACAATGTAAAATGTTTTTTTTAAAGGCGATTTATCTATCAAAGAAAAACTATGAATCGTATAAATGAGCTTTGATTTAGGGACGACATCAAAAGATCAATGTAATATAAGACTGTAAGAAAAAAAAAACTTAATTCAAATATTTGGGGTCGGGTTAAAAAGTGCTGCAAGTTTTGTTTATTTGACATCTATTTTACATATACCTGTATTGGTCAATCAACTTGATTTTTCCCAAATTAAGTTAAGAGGGGGTTGGGGTCAGTGAAAAACTATGTGAATTAAGTTTGTTAATCCGACATTGAACTTTTGGTTTCGTCCCTTATTGTCCTGTGAATTTTTATCCATGACTTAATTCAGGCAAATTTTTTGCCTTTCTTGCACTGTTGAAAATAAGGACAGAGGGACATCAGATATAAATACTGTTAGTATTAAATCGCACTGATAGCAGTTACAAAATTTTAGATAAGTCAAAATAAGTTGAAATATGAAAGAAAACTTTCAAATAAGTGTTACTCCTAAACACACATAAAAATGGAGACCCACTATAAAAGCGCTTGCGACCTAACTCACTTCATGATGATGTCTTTAGTTATTGCAATTGATAAATCTTCACTTATCAATCAGAGAGAGAGCTCTACTTATCAATATCAATAAAAATATATTTTAACTGTTGAATGACTTATTCTTCAATTATTTAGTCTTAGAATTTATAACTTTAATTTTCACCAATTGTCTAAATTTGATTTATTGAACCTTTTTGTCTGCCTACGCCTTACCTAACTAAAGATGATTGAGATATGTTTAGCCGTTTTATATTAAACATTTAAAAAATTAAAAACATCTAGCTTGTAAGTTATTTCTTCAAAGACATATATAGCATTATTTTAAAGCAAACTTATTTGTCCAAGGCATAAATGAATGATTGTACTGAAATGAATGAATATATATAGCCTATTGTTAGAAAGCTGGACAAACTTCTGTTTGCTGGTGTTTATATGTTTATAAAAACACAGCTGGTATTATGCCATATAATTTCATTACTAATAGTGATTAAAATGCGTAATCTACGGTTCGGTACCAATTTCGTCGTCAGTGCTAATGAAAATATTAAATTTCTTGGTAACAAGGATGTCATATAACCTCCTAGATGGTATTTTTTAACATATATGAACATCAAAACTCATGAGATACGTTTTATGAGTGTTTGTTAAAAAATGTCATTCAAGATCAATTAACAAAAATTATGGATTTTTTCCCTAATTTTTTAAAATAATTTCCCCTTCGTACATTGATTTATAATCTCGACGCGGTTTTGATCTCAATATCATAGCCCTTTTAAAGACCACTAACTCAAGTATCGTTATTTATAATTCCCGTGCAGACGCGAATTAATTTTTATCAGAGACATGTCTCTGTTGTATTTAACAAGATTAGTAAATGCATCGACGTCTATTGGAAGGAGTTAAGAGTTATCGTTAATTATCTACTGTCCAATTTAAACAGATTGGGTTATCTCGCTTGGAAATGTGACATATTCTTGCACATGAATTGCTGTTGAGACATTGACCTATGACCAAGTGACATAAAAACCTACTAGGGTCTTAATCTACCAAAAACATGGTAAAGATCTGTCAGAGTTATATCTCATATGGTATTGTCTGGAAACGAAATGTTCGCACAAACTTGTCTATCTCTGGTTTGAGGCACCGTGACTTTGACCTTTGACCTACTGATCCAAAAAATAGATTGGGATCTTGTTCTTTTCATGGGGCATTTACAAGCTAAGTTTGGTGATATCTGGACACATGGTTGAAAAGATATCACTTGAAAACCAAAATTTTAGCCCAATTTTAGTCTATCAATTTCTGCTATGACATTGACTTTAAATTCAATAATGACCAATAGTACTGAGTCTTTTCACCTAAGGTCTAGCAAATTGCTGGTGTGGCCTTAACTTTTGTGACCTAAAATAATATGGGTTTCGTACCTATCGGCCATTATCAGAAAAAAAAATGGAAAAAGTTCTAAGATACAAATATATCATCCGGAAACCAAAATTTTATCCAAACTTAACTCAAACAATAGCTAGTGTGACCTTGACTCTAGACATTATGACCTCCATACCAATAGGGGTATTCTCAGCTAATGCAATATCTACTCTACATTGTATCGGATCGACACGCTTAGTAAGATTTTTAACCTGACTGCTCACCAAATATATCATTTTGCAGTGTGCTGTGGCTATCCGTGTTTTTGATTTTTTCATTTCATCATTTCATCATTTCATCATTTCATCATTTTCTATTGAGTAGGTCCTTATTGGGATGATCATTTACTTATTTTTTTCACGAATGTGTAAATTTTAAGTTCCTTTCCTCAGACATCCGAAACCTGTTAACTAGGCGTTTGAATGTTAAACCTGGGAAAGTAGATTCATTTCTATTTTTGCTTATTTTTTTGTGATGTTTAATTAATTCCGACCCCCGAACCCCTCTCCTCAGTTATCAGCATTTTACAAAAATTGCAGGAATAATATACTTAAATACTAAAAATAATGTTTAATATGGTTGAAAAATAGATATTTTGAAGTTGAATTGAATATACATTAAAAAAGTATATATATATATATATCAATGTGTTTTATTATTTCTATACTTTGCATATTGTCATATGTCTACATAAATTTATTTTTCCCAATGTCTCCAGTATATATGGTAACTGTTGTTTTACAATCTCACCAAAATATAGATCTGTGATTCTGCTATGCACATAAGAATGATAAGAGATAAGAGCTTCGACGAGTAAATCTGAATTTTATATCAGGGACCTTTGTACATTTGTTATTCCCTATTCGGATTTTCCTATTCCTGTCGTTTTATAGGTATTAAAACAAAAAGCTAGTTTATATTGACTGATTTTTGTTTGCTTAACGCCCAGTGGACAATATTGCATCCATGATGAAGACAGGACGAAATTAACAATTAACTCAGTAAGTAGGTCTACAAAGTGGGTAGACCAAGATTTTCCAGTAGAATAAGAGGGTATGTTGGATGGGACAGAAAATTGCTTTTAAGGACCATTCAAAATGTTGTTGCAATAGTTCTTTTACGCACATAGAGCATGGCATTCTCCCTGTATGGGTCATCGGTTTAATGTCCGCATTTTGACCGAAAGTGGCTGTGTATTTATAAATCCCACTCAATCAAACGGACGCTGCTCTTGGTGGGTTTTACTGCTGAACGGGAGAAGTACATACGTGACAATATTTCCATATCATATTTAACCCTTGGGCTGTACAGAATTCATAAAATATATAGAAGGAGATGTTGGTTAAAGTTCGATGAGAAATACATAGCTGAATCAGATGAACTTCTAAAGCACAGGTCCGGTTTAGAGAGTCTTCAAATTGGCAGGGCACTGGTGTATCTATTATTTCAAAAACACGATCTCAAATATTGGAATGAAAGAAAATCCACTTTATACAAGATCTTTGTTTGACACATATGATTTCGGTTATTATTTTAAATTCTACTTTGAGATCCAAATTCAGGAATAGACGTGGTTTAATCTTCAACTACCCTAGACTGTTCCTAGGATGTTTTTGCCATAATTTGCCCATTGAAATACTTAATGAATTTTCCCCCACGCATTTTGTTTGTATAGTTTTTTTTACTGCTGTATCCCCTTTTCTGTGTATCGTATATATCATTCAACATTTATCTACTTCACTACTTCATGCATTGGCCAACTTTTTTGCCAAAAACATTGTTACTATATTTTGGAACAATGATGGGTATAATAAAAATTAAACACAAAAAGAACATATAATGTTAAAGTCGGTCATATTATTGGAAACAACCTGACATATTACATATTTAAGGCTTATAGCATTGTTAGTATTTTGTATCCAAATAAATTAGAACTTATGTTAATTGGCAAAATAAAAACAATATATACATGCATTGTAAGAAAACTACGAATAAATATTTTGTGAAACAGGTTACATAGAAAACAAGAAGTCATGTTAAACAAACTCTTTGATCTGTTAGTTTTAATTATACTGCATATCTTTAGGTCGCTGAAATTCGTTTTACTGGTATAACAAAACATCAGTAAATATAGATTCTAGAATAACACATCCTCCTACAAAGTATAGAAACCAGGTTTTCTCCGTGGGCAACTCTCCTTTCCGAATAAACAATATCTGCAAGAGAACACATTAGTAATTTCAGAAAAACCATTTAAATTGTTTAAAAAGTTAATCAGAAGTCAATAAACAGCGATTTCTGACGAGTACAACATCTACGAACTCATACAAAACTGCATATAACGTTAGATGCTCTAGCTGGAAGGTGTGTGTTTAAATCAGATATTAAGTTAAAAAAAAGTGTCTAAGCAAGCGGTTTTTTTTTCTAGATGACAACACTATATAGAATAAGGAGATGTGGTACGAGTCCAAATAACGTGGATGTAAGCAGTTGTAGGTCACCGTACAGCCTTCTACCTGATAACGTATAGTCAGATATAAAAGCTAGGTTCCGACGTGACAAAATGTGAAACAATTCAAACGATAAAAACTAGCAGCCTAGTTTATAACAAAACAATTTTCGAAAAACATATAATAGACATGAACCACGACAACAACTAAATTATAGGCTCCTGATCTGGTACAAGCACATACAGAATGACAGACATGAACCAACGACAACAACTAAATTACAGGCTCCTGATCTGGTACAAGCACATACAGAATGACAGACATGAACCAACGACAGCAACTAAATTACAGGCTCCTGGTCTGGTACAAGCACATAAAGAATGACAGACATGAATCAACGACAACTAAATTACATGGCTCCTGATCTGGTACAATCACATAAAGAATGACAGACATGAACCACGACAGCAACTAAATTACAGGCTCCTGATCTGGTACAAGCACATAAAAAATGACAGACATGAACCAACGACAACAACTAAATTACAAGCTCCTGATCTGGTACAAGCACATAAAGAATGACAGACATGAACCAACGACAACAACTAAATTACAGGCTCCTGATCTGGTACAAGCACATAAAAAATGACAGACATGAACCAACGACAACAACTAAATTACAAGCTCCTGATCTGGTACAAGCACATAAAGAATGACAGACATGAACCAACGACAGCAACTAAATTACAGGCTCCTGATCTGGTATAAGCACATAAAGAATGACAGACATGAACCAATGACAACAACTAAATTACAGGCTCCTGATCTGGTACAAGCACATAAAGAATGATAGACATGAACCAACGACAGCAACTAAATTACAGGCTCCTGATCTGGTACAAGCACATAAAGAATGACAGACATGAACCAACGACAACAACTAAATTACAGGCTCCTGATCTGGTACAAGCACATAAAGAATGACAGACATGAACCAACGACAGCAACTAAATTACAGGCTCCTGATCTGGTACAAGCACATAAAGAATGACAGACATGAACCAACGACAGCAACTAAATTACAGGCTCCTGATCTGGTACAAGCACATAAAGAATGACAGACATGAACCAACGACAGCAACTAAATTACAGGCTCCTGATCTGGTACAAACACATAAAGAATGACAGACATGAACCAACGACAGCAACTAAATTACAGGCTCCTGATCTGGTACAAACACATAAAGAATGACAGACATGAACCAACGACAACAGCTGAATTACAGGCTTCTGATCTGGTACAAGCACATAAAGAATGACGGACATGAACCAACGACAACAACTAAATTACAGGCTCCTGACCTTGTACAAGCACATAAAGAATGACAGACATGAACCAACGACAGCAACTAAATTACAGGCTCCTGATCTTGTACAAGCACATAAAGAATGACAGACATGAACCAATGACAGCAACTAAATTACAGGATCCTGATCTGGTACAAGCGCATTAGGAATGACAGACATGAACCAACGACAACAACTAAATTACAGGCTCCTGATCTGGTACAAGCCCATAAAGAATATCAGACATGAACCAACGACAACAACTAAATTACAGGCTCCTGATCTGGTACAAGCCCATAAAGAATGACAGACATGAACCAACGACAACAACTAAATCACAGGCTTCTGATCTGGTACAAGCACATAAAGAACATTGCGAGGTTCAGTACTCTGAGTTTTCAGTAGCTCCGAAATTTTATGATACTGTATTGATCTTTACTTCTTTGCTTTTGCTTTTACTTGTGTTTTTTTTTTCTTTTTCTTTTTCTCCTTTTAATATATCTATTGTGCCAGTATAGTTGTCTTTGCTTTACCTTTACCGAATTTCATTGTGCTGTTTGATGTTTTACTGATCGAGATTAAAAGGGGTAAAATCATAAAAAGAATCTCTATGTTCTCATTTCTTACATACTATATATTTATATATCATATGTATCTTTCAGATTTATTTAATATTATTATTTGGAAAATTTTAGTTCGTAATTTAAAAACATCCGTCTTTCTAGAATTTGTTCTAAAATTGAAATAAAAGAAAACCAGAAAACTAGTAGCTACCAATTATGTCATTTGGTCGCTGGTGGATAGTTCTTTCATTGGTAATGGTTCCACATTTCCTTATCTTAAATCTGTGTATTGGCAATTTCAGATTTGCTTGGTAACAGCATGATTTCAAAACTAAACAGTTTAAGATGTGATTTGTAATTCGATATAAGTTTCAATCTCACAAACACTGCGAATGCCTTCGTAGTTATTAGAATACTAAATTCTCATCTTTGAAAACTGTCCAACTTGGTCGGATTTTCGGAATCAACATGCATTTCAGTGCTTTGCTTCGAAAAACCGCTATACTATTCTCAAGTACTTGAACAATCATTGAGCTCAGAAAAATATTGGGTACATTTAGAAGCTGTGGAACCGTAGCTCTTAGGTCCTTACGATATTTTTTTGACAATTTGTGGACCATACACATACTATGGTACACAGACCGAAAAACATAATGCCCCTCTACTATCGTAGGTGGGGCACAAAAATTGTTTTCTGCTGAAAGACTACCTAAAGGTTAAAACATGAAAAGTATAACTACAATAGGTAAACAATTCTCACCAGAATTATTTCAATCACAACAAATCCAATAAGACTTATACCCAACATGAAATAGTTAGCACCATGTTTGAATCCCTGGTCCATACTTAGGCCTATAGTTATCTGGAAAAACAATAAATAAAACGACAGAGATTACTATCATCCGCGACAAACTTTTAAGAAAATCTTACATGTTTGCTTACTACATTCGTTTTCGTTTATATTTATTCCAATTTTTTCCCGCTCAGTCACCTTTAGGTTGTCAAGACTGATCATTTATTTTCTCCTTTTTTTAAGGTATAATTGGCATTTTTTTCTGATGAGCATCACGTCTTCCAAATGTTTACCACGAAAAGTAAAAAAAATATAACAGATTAGACGATTCGGCCAACGCTTGGTTCAAATGGGTGCCAAATTCCGTGGGCTGAGTAAACCACGAATTTAAATAGTCAACAATCTACAAATTTTCTATAAACTTGTATGCAGACTTGGGAAAAACTGCGAATTCAAATCAAATATCCACGAAAATACAGTTTTTTCTCAATCCACGAAAATTGGTAACCACGAAAATAAATAAATCCATAGAAGCAGATGAACCTCTTTTGCTATAAGTTGGAAAAGGTCGGCATGCAAAATCAGGACTAAGTGATTCCTACAGCGTTTTTTAAATATAAAAATAAGGAGATGTGGTATGATTGCCAATGAGACAACTATCCACCAAAGTCCAAATGAAGTTGATGTAAGCAATTATAGACAACCGTACGGCCTTCGGCAATGAGAAAAAAAACATACCGTATGGTCGACTATAAAAGGCCCCGACGTGTAAAATATGAAACAATTCAATTGAGAAAAATAACGGCCTAATTTATAACAAAACAATTTACGAAAAACAAATATGACGGACATGAATCAACGACAAACACTAAACTACAAGCTCCGGACTTGGGGAAGGAACTATAGAATGTGGTGGGGTTAAACATGTTTCAACGCGCCAACCCTCCCCTAATTAACCTGGGACAACGGTGTAACAGTACAACATAAATTTAAATCAAACTATAAGAATCAGTTGAAAAAGGATTAACTCATCAGATCGATACAAAGCAGAAAAACATCAAACAAAAACACAGACCGTACGTGGCAGGGTATTTATACATCCATCACAACACAAAAGACCCAAGTACAGATCTGAGAGCCAATAACAACTAATACAAAAATCATGCAGCTAAGACTGTAAAATCAACTTGTATACAACATCCAATGGATTTAGTGTAAAGACGTCTTTAACAGTCAGAGGAAAACATGACCTTGTGCAATACCAAACTATCGGTATCGAAATATTGTAGTACCGTGCATGTGAATATGCGTATAACAATAATATTTAGTATGGTTTTAATTTACTGATAACAAAATCAATATTTATACCAATAAAACAATATGTAAAGATCTGACTACAGTGTAGAATTGGTAGCCTTAAGTTTATATAAGGATAGATAAGTTTACCCGGGTCGTATTTAAATTTCCGGGCTCGGTAAACAACACCACCATATAAATTTGGATGTGCTATTCCGTTTGAAATAAGTTTCCTACATGCACAGCCAAACTTACAAACCAAATATTTGTATCTATGGAATAATTCAGTAAAGGTTTTAAGTAATATGTGCAAACGAAATCCCTGACTTAACAATTCACCAGTAAAACATAGATTACGCTCACTGAAATCCAAAACGTCACTACAGGCACGAGCATAGTGAACAAGTTGAGATATATATACCGATAGATGGTGCCAAAGGAACATCACCGTCCAAAAAAGGAAAAATTAACAACAGGGAAAGACAAATCATCCTTTATGTCGTAATTTTTTGTGTAGAGTTTCTCGAGTAAAACTTAAACATCTAAATCTAGGAAATGACATTTATTGCTGTTTATATTTGATTTATTTAAAGTAAGTTCATTTGGTTAAATTTCGGCAGTATGTTTAGAGAAGTATTGATTATTGTTTGAAGTGTTGTTTAATTTATTAAGCAAATGGAATTAAGATGGGTCTTCACTGACTTTAGCTATTAACTGTGGTTCATAACAGTACAGGAACAAGTCAGCTATTAAAGGGGCACAAATGGTGCCAATAAGAATACGTACAACCTGTCGATAAACTGTATTGCCGAAACGTACATAAATGTTGTCAAGGAGAAAATTTACAGCTTAAATCATCTCATCACTCCCCCAGTAAGTATATATATTTAGCATATTTACCTTTCTCATTAGAGACAAATGCTTTATATGAGTTGCAGCAAATAAATTTTGGACCAGATTTTATCAAACGACCATTTAAACAAATAGGAAAACATGTTTGAAAAGATTTTGTAGAAGTTTAGTTTAAGGAGTGGAAAAGTCAAAACTGTCACGGCAACCGAATCAAAAGGACCTTTAAAAGCACGAAATTTATCTAAAACATCCAAAGATTTTTTCTTCACTCCAAAAATAGTTCATTCCACGATGATGAGTTCTTTTATATTAGTTAAGGAACCAGTTAAAAACACTGAAAGGTTAGAAGTAGAACACTTACTATAGAGGCCGAGACGAAACGATATTCTACGGTTTTTGTGTGTAGTTTAGGTAACCAATACATAGTGGGGACCTTCAAATGTTCAGAGGATGCCTTAAGCGGAGCTGTGGTAGTGATATGGTTATTTACTATTTGACTCTCTGTGGATCGTACGGCCTTGAATCTAGTTGAATGTATAATTTCATTCTTAAGGACTTCCGTGTAGTATTTACGTTATACCACCACCACATTGTTGGCTGCTTTGTCGACCGGTACGAACACAAAACGCTTTGCGAGTATTTGAATTTTTTTAAAGGAGGTATTAGTGAGATGTACATATTTAGATGCTCATTAACTTAATCTATTTCACTATACATCACTTATGTATTTTTTTTAAAGATTATATCTTCATTAACTATTATATTTTAATATCATTATATGGACATTCATAACTGTCTGTGAAAAATAGTTTTCTTGTTATTATTTTTTTAACCTTTTGTCTTGAATGTACATCTGATATGTACATATATATATCATAATGATTTTTTTTATTTTATTTTTTTTTGTTTGATAAAAAAAAAATTGACTTTGACTATATTAAACATCAATATATACTTTTACTTACCCCAACCATTATGACTACCAATGCAACAAATAATATTTGTAGCCGTCGCTGAAAATAAAAAAAGAATAAAACAACAATCTTACAGTAAATCGGCACACATCACTAATACTCGGTTGTTATAGGCGGAAAATATTATATGCAAATTAACGTGCCTTTGTGTGTTGTGGATGGAGAATGGTAATTTATTGATATAAGCTAATACACATTTTTTTTTATTGTATTGTGTGTTTTCACTGAAAAGTGTTTTCTATGCAAGTTTATATATAATTTATAATAACTTGTTCTATGATGTGTATGTATTTTGCCAGACAAGGGCCCATAATTGGTCAAATAAAAAGGTTTAATGTCCAATGTCTATTACCGTTGTTCAATACTATGAAAAATTAGTATGCATTTTGTGATCTTCCGGTATTTTAGTTCAGCTTAACTTAAAAACACCATTCTTGTCGCATTGTGAATTTGAACTTGAATCAAGATATGCATCGGTAAATGCAGTGGCGGGTATAAAGTGAGATGGATCTCCCTATGTTAGGAGTTTCCACTTCAAAATAACGTTTAAAACAACGAAAAATTCGCAAGGGTTTCGGTTCCACGGAACCCTGTGTCTCGCCTGCGATTGCCGCTGTCATTGTAAAAGTGTAATGTTGACTTAAAAAGTGAGTCCATTTATCAGTAAAATACAGAATTTAAAAAAAAAATCAAAATTTTTCTTTAGATGCTATTTCTTGGTCTTGCAGATTAGCTTCTGTCCAAGTTTCATAATAATCCATAAAAGTTTACAAATTTATCATGTCGAAAATATTTAATCCCTGACTGTAAATGTTAACTGTAAAAAACGAAGTCCATCTATCAGAAAAATACTAAAAATGAAAAAAAATATATTTTCAAAGGTTTGCTTCAGACATTATATCTTAGTTATTTAAAAAGCTTCTGCCAAAGTTTCATAAAACTCTATGAAGGTTTGACATTTAGTAATTGACGTGTAAAACAATCTTTAACCACAGTCTACTTGTTAACTGTAAAAGAATTAAGTCCATTTATCAGTAAAATACGGAAAAATGAAAATAAATATTTTCAAAATTTTGCTCTGGATACTGTATTTTGGTCATAAACAAGCTTCTGTTAAAATTTTATTCAATTCCATTAAGGGTTGACAAAGTTGTCTAACAAAACTTTAACCTCAGACTAAATCTGGATGTTGACTAATAAAAAAACTAATATTCGCTCTGGATACTGTATTTTGGTCATAATCAAGCTTCTGTCCTAAATTCCATGTAGGTTTGACAAAGTTATTGATGTATAGAAAAAACTTTAACCACAGACTGAACCTAAATGGTGACGCCGCCGACGCCGACGACGGAATTTAGGATCGCTATGTCTCGCTTTCGCGTAATAAATTTCGCAGGCTCGACAAAAATATGCTGGGACCAAAAGGAGTTTACACAATTCTGATCCGCAGCTGGCATGTAATTGGAGGGTTATAAGGTAAGAATACTTCGTTCAGCAGAGATTTTTTTTTAAACCCGAAGATTTACACAAGGGAAAAAAATCGTTAAAGAGTAGATATAACTGAGGACAATATGATTCTAATTCAAAAAGAGAAACGAAAGATACCAAAGGGATATTCAAACTCAGGAATCGAAAATAAACTGGCAATGTCAAGGCAAAAACGAAAAACGACCAAAAGACAAACAATAGTACACAAAACACAACATATATAATAAACTGTTGACACAGAGATATGTCTCGCTTGTCGGCATAAAGTTCAGAAAAAGACAATCTGATGGACAACAACATGGTTTATTAATTCATAATATGTACTGATAAAAATATCATTGATCCATCACAAGTAGTTCTTATCAAACTGACTTAAGCAGAAAACTTAACATTGAAAATTGCTAATTAATTCAAAGTCACTGGACTATGACCAGGGGACAGGGCCTCGAAATAGTCGTCAAACTGATATGAACTGATATAAATATATAGTAATGCAACTTCATACAAAATATCATTGAACTATCACAAGTAGATCCTATCAAACTAACTTAAGCAGAAAACTTTTAAAACAATTGTTGACGCCGTCGTCGCCGAAGCCGTCGCCGGAAAAGCAATCCCTATGTCTCGCTTTTTGAGACATTCGTCGCAGGCGAAACAAAAACTAAAGACTGAGCAACACGAACCCAACCATAAACCGATACAGGAGCTCAAGAAAGGAAAGCATATTCTGTTCCAAATGTAGCACCCGTTGGTCGTGTTGTTCATGTAAGTACAAACCCGGTGATAAGTCTAATTCGGTAGATCCCATTCGAGGATGGGAGGACGGGATTGTGGTTACGACATAGGGACATATTCTCCGTCATCTGTGTATTCAAGACTTTAATGGACAATTCTATCTTGCAGTTTTTCAAATTTGCCCATTTTGGTTAACGTAAAGTATGATATTTTAGTGTACTTTAGTACACTTATTGTGGATTATTTTTTTAACATGATCATGATGACGGAAAGTTAACAAGCATCAATTATGCGACTTTACTCAAGGAAGTAAATCTGACGTGATCAATTAACTTTTCATATTATATCAATGCAGATTTATATTTATTTATCGAATCTTCATATAAGAGATAACATGTCACTCCCATAATAGATCATAATAAGGACGGAAAGTAAGGATAATTACTTACCGATGTTGGCGACAGGTTATTGCCATAATACAGAGCATTTTCCTGAGGGTTGCCGGCACTTTCAGTAGATTTTGACAAAATAGGAGTTTTATCCGACATTCTTGACACTTCCTATTGTGAGCACGTGTTTATGATTGTTTATGTTAAGATAAACAGTCACATGAAACAATATCTAAAATGTCGGATAAAGCTAATGTAGCTTCGATAGATACAAATGCTATATACCATGAAGTATCGCCAAATATTGTAAGTACTTTTTGTAGAAATACAATCATAAATACACTTTTTTAAAACAATAATCAAGCTATCAAAAATTGACGCCCACTTAGTTGCATGGGTACTTATAATCTTATCTGTCAAGTAAAACTTATTTGTTGATTAATATTTAACAGGTTGGGATATATAATATCCCAAATAGGATACTAGCTGCGTAAACAATTTTTTTTTATTTTGGGGACAAATATTGACAACTGCAAATTAAAAGTCAGATACAAGATACGTTGCTTATAGCAACTTTTCTTATCAAATTATTCATGAGATCGATTTCAACTGGTAGAACGTATAAATTTTCAACAACAAAACTATCTTGTTTTTACTCCTTTTATAAAATTTAGCAATGATATTGTTTAAATCTACAAACTTAACTAGATGCTCCTCAAGAATCGCTCACCTGGCAATAATGTCATTTTTACTTTCACTTTTATCGCGATCAAAATATTTTTCCATTTTCAAATATACAACTGTTCCAAGTTATTTAAGTTAATTAAAAGCTTTCTTTTTTATTCAGGACCAATTATTTATTAATAATTGACGTAAAATTCAGGATACCAAAAAAAAACTTTTTACAAATTTTTCGAACTTGCTCTCCCCCAAATCAAATGACGTCTAAAGCATTCATGGCAATATAAAAAAAGACGCGATTTTTGTTATCTCAGTTTGCTTGCTTGTCAATTTTGCTTCCTAACGGTTTCTCTCAATTAATTATTGTTTCGTAACTGGTTTATTGGTTATTTTGATAAATATTTTTTTTAAAACGTTCACGACGACGGACGTCAAGTAATGGCTAAAGCTCCAATGGACGAATGAGCCAGATGAGCTTAAAAGAAAATGTAAAGGATGGGCGTTTCTGTGTTTGGTTTACGTTTTATCATTTTTGAATGCCGAAGTACCGATCGACGTGTTTCCGTTTTAGATCTGTAAAAAATACATCTACATACCTTTTCTTTACACATGTTAAGTAAGGGTGTATGTGTATATTTGTTGCATAGCCTATGGACCAGTCACATAGGACTTTAAAATATCCATTTTTTTTTGGATTTTTCAAGCAGCAGTTTTCTCAAACCTTTTATTCTAAATACATTTTGGATGAATTTTTTTATTTCCAGATTTTGCTTCTTCGCTTCTTCAATTTTCTGACGTTTATAATGGCCGTGGTAAGTATACCAAAGACAAGTTTATCACATAAATATGTTTGGCTTCAACCATTAATCATTAAGTGGTATTACTAGATATTATCATCAATATAATAAGTTCACATTAAGTTTACACATTTAAAACAAAAATCTTTTTTGTAATTTGTGAGCTTAAAATTATAGCAGTCACAGGATACATACATTTTACCATCCATACTTAAAAACAACCTTGGTTTAAGTATGGGATGTCATCAGGGTAAATAACTATACAAAAAAAAAACCAAAGTAAGACAAGCATAGTATTGTTATGTATGTGGTATACAAATGGAAAATTTAACAATGAAAAAAAAAAAAAAAAAATCTTATACCCAAGCGCCTTTGCGTGTCAATTGAATAACAAATGACCTGGTGACTATATACTAGAATAAATACTTACATAAACCAAAAGGTGACCAACACAACTAATTAACCAATTAAAACGATATTGTCATAATCAGTTTTTAATCATTCACAATTTGATAGAATATTACATCATGTTGAATGTGGGCAGTATATGAAAGAAGAAATTTGGAAGAAATGAAAAACAAACAACCCCTTCATCACTAGTTACACAATAATAGTTATTTGAAAGGGTTTTGAGTATCTTAATAAGCTCAGTTGTTTTCAAATTTGGCAGCAAGAAATAACATACGATGTAGTTTTCAAAATCTGAGAACATTCAACTTGATGTATACAAAAACAGTAAAAGGCAATCATCAAATAAATCCTTTGAAGTTTCAAACGAATTTTCTGTGGTACTCAGGATTCTAACCTGTTGATAAAATATTAAAATGAACCACTTTTTGAACTAAACTTACATATTAATCTGAATTATTTACGTGTGCTGACTCACAATGATCCGAGGGTGACATGTAAAATGTGAATCCCTAACCGGGGTGACATGTAAAAATGTGTATCCCCAATCGGGTGGCATTTTAAAATGTGTATTCCAAACCGGGGTGACATGTTGAAATGTGTATCCCTAACCGTGCGAAAAAAAAACTCGGAGCCGTCCATTCTCATAATCCGTGAAGTCTTTGGTTTGTGTATATCAAGGTAGAAAGCATAACATGAAATAAAAGGCGATGTGAGATATACATCTTTAAGCCAGTCACATAACACACAAATAAACAAAATACAAATAAAGACCATTATACATACTTCAACAATAGATTAGTGACCTTGCGACATTTCAAGCTCTATGTCGACCCCTGGTCTCAAGAGTTATGAGCATATCACACAGAGATTATCAAAGATCTGCCAATTTAAAACAAAACAAAAACTTTTAAGACATGACAACCAGTGACGAAGCTCCCGACTATGGACAGGCACATAAACATGTGGCTAAGTTAAAGTTGTAATGTTGTCAGAATTTTTTAGCCCTTGTCTGTCCCTTTGAGTTAATAAAAACATCAATTTGGTTTATAATAATTCGATTAACCCTACTGCATTCTTTAACGAATTGCTTGGTCTGAACAGAGACATATATACACATATTATATTGTATATATGTCTCTGGTCTGAATAAGTATGGAATAAGTGTGTTTAATTATTTACATATTATAACTTGATGGTTCCCCATAACGAAAGCTAGTTTTTCACAACAAATCTCTCTCTCTCTTACAGATCTCATTTATCTTGTGTATAGTCCAGGGAGATGGGAACGAGACATATTATTTATTAGCTTGTAATACTGTTAGTAAGTATATCGTTCATCTTACACAGGCGCTTTGGGAATAAACCCCCCTTTTTCTATATACATAATTGTGTGTTTTATTATTCTTATTTACATGTAAAATAAGAATAGAGGGCGTCATATGTAAACTACCTATTGAAAAATCATATGAATCAGAGCAAGAAACTCAAATATTAAGGAATATTTACAACAACAAAAATATGAAAGGAAAAGGGGGGGGGGGGGTCATTCTGCAAGCACCTGTGCCATCTTGGGGATAATTCTTTCTTTGCTCTGAGCAATAGCAATAACAATTAAATTAAGTTAGAGATACAACAAACAGATTGACATTCAGAAGTGTCATATCTTAAATAAAATGCTCCGCTGGGTGCAGCTTGATACGACCGCAGGGGTCGAACCCTGAACAGTTGGGGCAAGTATGGACACAACATTCATGCTTGATACAGCACTGAATTTGGATTGTGATTAAATATTTGACACAGCATAGGTTTCTGACACAGAATGAATGTGGTCTAAAACTTAAAAAAATTTAATTTACCTATTCAAACCATATCATTATTATTTGCTTTTATAGATAAATCAGAAATAACCAATTTAAAATGGAAAATTTTAAAGAAAAAAATCCCCCCGCAAATGTTTTGAACCCCCTTATGATTCATCACCCCCAAACTTAATCCCAGCCTTCCCTTTGTGGTATGGTACCTTGCAGTACAATTTCAGAGAGATCCATACACTTGAACACAAGTTATTGTCTGGAAACTAGAAAAATGCTTGTTTTTTGGCCCCTTATTCCTTAACATTTAGGGCAATTACCCCCAAACTCAAACCCAGCTTTCCCTTTGTGATATGGAACCTTGTATTACAATTTCATAAAGATCCATACACTTACACACAAGTTATTGTCCTGAAACTAGAAAAATGCTTGTTTTTACCCCTTTTTGGCCCTTGATTCCTAAAATTTTGAGGCAATTACTCCCAAAATCAATCCCAGCCTTCCCTTTGTGGTATGGTACCTTGCAGTACAATTTCAGAGAGATCCATACACTTGAACACAAGTTATTGTCTGGAAACTAGAAAAATGCTTATTTTTGGCCCCTCTTTGGCCCCTTATTCCTAAACATTTTGGGCAATTACCCCCAAACTCAATTCCAGCTTTCCCTTTGTGATATGGAACCTTGTAGTACAATTTCAGAAAGATCCATAGACTTACACACAAGTTATTGTCATGAAACTAGAAAAAAATGCTTTTTTTTGCCCCTTTTGTGGCCCCTAATTCCTAAAATTTTGAGGCAATTACCCCCAAAATCAATCCAAGTATTCCCTTTGTGATATGGAACCTTGCAGTACAATTTCAGAGAGATCCATACACTTGAAAACAAGTTATTGTCATGAAACTAGAAAAATGCTTGTTTTTTGCCCCTTTTTTGGCCCCTAATTCCTAAAATTTGGAAGCAATTTCCCCAAAATCAATCCCAGCATTCCCTTTGTGATATGGAACCTTGTGGTACCATGTCAGAGAGATCCATACACTAACACACAAGTTATGTCTGGAAGTTACAAAAATGCTTATTTTTGGCCCCTTTTTCCTTAACTGTTGGTACCATAACCCCCAAAATCAATCCCAACCTTCCTTTTGTGGTATTGAACCTTATGGTAAAATTTCATAGAGATCCATTCACTTAAACTAAAGTTAGAGTGCGAAAACCAATGTGTCTTCGGACGGCGACGACGACGCCAACGTCATACCAGTATACGACCGCAAAATTTTTTTGCGGTCGTATAAAAATTACTTTTGTGTCTAGTACAAAACAAGGTTCATTCAGATCTCATTAACATGTTTTCATAATCATATGTGTGTAATATTTGCCACATAACCTTAAGACACCAATTGGTCCTTTTCATCCAGGCTCTTTGTTTAATGACAAAAAGGCTACTCAAAGTTAGATTCTATCAGTTGTGATACAAATATTTTTTATTCCTTTTTCAGTCAGTTGTCTTGTTGGAATTGTTGTGGTAAGTAAAATTTATCAATTAAAAAATTAAAACCCACTTTTCAAAACCATTGAATGAGTTGATATATGTTTGAATGGAAATTATTACAATCATTCTTTTAGCAGATTTGTGTTTTTGTATTCCAAAATCATCAAAAACAGTCAAGATAAGTCTTCCTGACAAAAAGTTCTTCTGCTTTTGTGTAATATCACTGTGCAGTCCTAAATACAATTAACACCTATAGGTAAAGAGATAAAGGAAAAATCGATAAAAAAGTTATATTCTAAGGCTACATATATACTTTCTTTACAGAACTGGTGGTACAGAAGTGGAGATCTAGTATGTATCTAAATTACACAAAGGAGAAGTGGTTTGATCCTCAATGAGACAACTATCCACCAGAGACACACTATACATCCCTTTAATCAGTAGTCATCAACATATTTTGAAAAACACAATATTTCTGAGTTGTACTGGCTTTTAAATATTCAAAATATGCTTTTGTGGAATTTAAATTTTGTGACTTTCTGTTTGAATTAAGCAATTATGAAGGTTCTGAAAGATAAATATTATCCTGTTGGAATGGAATGGTACAGTTAGCTGTTGATCTTCTGTCTAAATAATTTTTCAAAAAAAATTGTACAAGTACTTGCTCATCTTATTAGGAAATCAAAAGATGAAACTAGCTACTATACACAAAAAAAATCACCATACAGATGTTTACAGAAAACTAACTTAGGAAGATTTAAACATATAGTTTACATCCAATGTTTTCAAACATGAAATCCAAAATATTCTATTGAGAGCAATACAGATAATATAACTTTGAAAATACATCTAAACAGCTATTCTAGTTTCATACAGAAGGTCTCCATATTTAACACCCTACACCCTATACAATTTTGGTACAATGTACTGTATATTGTTCTCTTCCTCACAGAGCAATGCAGGGTTTTGGAACTTTATAACATTTTCTTCATGGCATGTCACAGAAAACTTCTGACATCTTACAATACCTCCTTTTTTTACAGGGTCCAGAAAAGTTCTGGTACATCTTTATAGTAGGTGCAGTAATCATGTTCCAGTGTATTACAACAGATATTTTTGTGTTTCATGTTCTGAATGAGGATAGCAAGAATATAAATCCTCCTTCTATTAACAAAACAACAATTTTCCCTGCAATATCTGTCAAACCTGCTTCAACTGTAAAAACTTTATTTGATTTTGCTGACAGACTTTAAATGAAATTATATAACTTTTTGCCATATGTTTGGTTTTGTGCAATGGAATATTTATAAGCCATCTTTTTATATGTTCAGCTGTTGTTAATATTGGTATAGTTAATAATCTGATATGTATAAGGTTGAAAATAAACAACTACACTTGTCAATGTATTCCCAGTTAACATATTGTTATGAATACTCATGTATGAATACACATGTAATAATTGCCACTGGACATATCAATTGATCAATTAATTTATACACGGCCCTTATTTCACTTCTTTTAACTATTTATCAGTGAGCAAGCAATATGTGATCAGAACAGAAGATCTCTGTTTTATGAATAATTTTCTTTTATCTTATATCTATTAAACTGTCGGATCAAACATTTTTTAAAACATGAATTCTTTTATACATTTTCAGAAAGTATTTCAGTCATTTTGGAAATATTCTGGTCTTTTTTTCTGTGGAATTTTATAGATTTAAGCAAACCTTCCTTATAGATTTGATTTTATGAATTTGTTGTGATATGCACTAATGGAGATGTCAATCCAAATAAATACTTGTATATTTGCAAGGATAAAATGTACAACAATTCACAAAATTTTTTTTAGTGTATGATTTTTTCCATTTTGTATTTTGTTTAATAAATTCATGTGAAACATATAAATCTTTAGTATCTTCAACATATGATTGCCTGTATTAAAACATATCCATAGAATTATTAAATTCCTCATGTATTTCTCATCCTTTAGATTTTGAGAACTCAACTGCCTTATATCAACTCCATAATAGAATCTAAACAAAAAGCATCTCAACTGCCTTGCATTGCGCCAATTTCTTATTAAAATCTTTAAGATCTTTCACTTTGCTCAGTAGATGTTTGTAAGATCTGAAAACATCCAATATATATGAGGTCTTGGACATAGGCGGATCCAGGGGGGCCCAGGCCCCCATTTTGTGGGAAAAATTTGGTAGATTATATAGGGAATCACTGAAGCGTGACTGGAGCGGGCCCCCTTAGGTCAGTCAGCGGGCCCTACTTACAAAAAATTCTGGATCCGCCACTGTTGGATGACCTAAAATGTTATTGCTTTCTGTAAATTTGCTGTTGTGTCTTCAAGAAAGAAAGGGAACCATGCGTGATGACATCTTGCAGAAATTACACACTCTTCTTGCAAACCATTCAAAAGAAATATAAAGAGTGCTACAGATTCCATCATCCTATCTTGTGCCATAAAATATTTCTAGATTTTCAACAGTTATAAATTTAAAATAATTAAAAGCCTCTCATTTTAAATTTGAAAATTTAACCATATCTAGAAAACAGATTTAAGCACACTTAATGAAATGGTAGAATCACATGTACTTTTCAAAAATCAGCAAACAAAATTTTGTCAAACTTAACAAAATTCACGAAGAAAAAGATAATATATTAAGTCTGTGATGCAAAATGTGTCCAATATTCCAACTTGATAAAATTGATATATGCTGTCTTGCTAACAACTGTACTTGCTTTGCTTGAATCCTGATTTTTTATCTTCATAAACCCATGAGCCAATTTGGATAAGTTTTTTTTCAAAGTCTATATTACAGGTCAGTTACCAAACAGGAAACATAGAACCATTTTAGACAAACATTGTGTGATAGTTTTCAATGCAGTTCCTTTATCTTGTCCTGAACATATTTTGGCTACTTTTCAGTAGATATATTATTTTCCCTCTTTTGGCCACATAATTAGTTTTCAACTTTCACATTTTACATTCTGTAGGTAGCTAGCTTACTGATGTAGTAATTATCATTGGGATTTGTTATAGACAGAAGTATCTTAGCTCATGTGTGAGTAGAAAATGGCCACAAATTCAAGAAAAATGAACTCTAAGGAAAATTCAATATTTTATTAGCACTTGTCCACATTCTTCAACAGCATTTTAACAATCTTCTCATGATTTCATTGTTTTACAGAGTATTTGCCCATTATGAACAACACAAACTTTACCATAGATATCACTTATTTATTCCTCATCCTTGAGCCATTTCTGAATCTACCATTTTTATCATCCATTCAGGATTAGTTTGGTCTATTTTTTCTATGATTTGATTTACTTGAAAACACAGACTTTGTATTTGTTTATCCCAAAATGGCAATGGATCCCGTTCTGAAAAATATAAACCAAATCATATCAATCTAGATAAAAATGATGGCTGCGAATGGATATTTATCTTTAGGTGAAAGAAGAAGCAAGTTGTAAAGATCCATCAATGAGCTGATCGAGTTGTTATACACAAGAAAATTTTATTTAATTTCATAAACTGATAAGATCAATTTTGTATAGAATGCATTCCAAATTACAAATATAAAGTCAGGTTATTTGAACAAGGTGCTGTGTGTTGTTTGTCTTTGCTAGTGTGTTTATTTTCTTAGAGAAGTTAGTAGTGGGTGTGGTCTGTTGTCCAATGTTTTGGTAATTCCAGTTATACTTTTAATGTACTCTTAAATAAGGTAATATAACTCGAAAATCTAAAATTATCTAATAAATCATTAAGGGTGATACAACTCTAATTCAGAACATTGGAAAAATCCATTTAACATCCATACGTTTCTGACCAGTTAAGAGGCTGATTCTCCTATTAAAAATCTAGCATTTAGTTGGTGCTAGCAAAAGCAACAAAGACAAACTGTTTATATTGAAACTTGAAATGTTTGTGAGTATGACCAAGTTCTTGCACACCTCTGAAACCATAAAAATGCTTAAATGAGTTTTCCTTGTACATCAGTTGTTCTCATCTCCACAGTACATTGTTTTTGTGAAACTCACTATATTTATGACATTTTTTTTGTACTTGGTTCCCATCCTATAAGGTATAAAATGATAATACAGTAATTTTACCTTCAAAGTGTACAATGGAATCTATCTGATCTATACATCCATGCATTCTTTCCTCTGTTATCATCTGTGATGCTATTTTTTCAGCCTAAAATCATTTATTGGATCTATGAACAGTATAATCTATACAAACATGAAAGAAGAAAAATAAATTTTATTTCATAAGAAAACTTTTATCATTTTACATTTCTTTTTAACCTTTGATATTGAATGAAAATCAACGGCGTAATCATTATTCAAAATGTACACAGATTTATGGTCGGAAGTAATCTCTTCCATTTTTTCAAGTAATATAGGATTAAATAAAGATTTCATCCATTTGTTATACCCCTGCCTCAAAGAGGTTATGTCCCTTATCTACCTTAAAAATGTGATTATTTTTAATTTCCAGAGGTTAATTAAAGAATCACTCAACCAAATCTTTTGAGCTTTGAACACAAATTTCATGAATCATCAAATACAGGTCAAGTTTGATTTTTACAATTTTGACATTTTTATTAATCATAAGCTATTTCCCTTAGTTACCTTAATATTTGGATTTGTTTTTTGTCTCCAGGTGGTAATGAAAGTACCATTTGATGAAATCTTTTTAGATACATTGTTATGAAATATAACATACAGGTCACATTCAGTTTGAATTTTGGTTTTTGCATTTATGGTTAAAGAATTTTCTGCAACCAGGGGTATCTGTGTTCATTAGATCAACTTAACAATCCCCCTCTCCAATACATGGTCCTTCATTTCACATTTTTCTGATACAAATTTGAAGAGGATCTTATAAAAAAAATGTTGAATCAGAAAATAATATTGCATGCATGTAATTTTGATACATTGTAGTAAAATGCAAATGTTTGATATTAAATGGCTATATATTAACATGTAAACTTCGGGGAGTTAGACAAAAATGAAGGCACTATCTTGGCAACATGAATTATCATTGAGTTTTTTACAAGTTCCCTCTTTGAAAAATAGTTCCCTTTTTCAGATTTTTCTGTTTCATGAACTCATCCATGCATGATTTTGATAAGCACAAGCCTTCAGTGTTGACAGATGGACTAACTGATGGGACAAAAACATAATACCCTATATAACTTCTTCGTGTCAGATATAATAAAGGAAAATAATTTAGTCATTCATTGATATTTCATATAGTTTATTATCTGAATGAATACTGTGTCCTGTAACATACCTTGCTAGGTGGTATTTCAAGTAAAGAACCTAGTTCAGCAAATGAAATATTATTATATAATTTACTGGCAGACAGGAGATTGTGTTCTGTAACAGCTCTGTTTAATATTGTTGAACCTGGAAAAAAGAATGAGTACTGTCTTGACTAACCATATTGAATATCTAAAGAACCCCCCACCCCATTTTTTTAATGTATCCAAGTTATTTCCATATAAAAAGACTCATCAAGTCAGGCTGAAATTCTTTTGTTAATTACTTGATTGATTCTAAGTGATAAGTAGCTGTTTTAAAAACACAACCTCAACTGTGTTGAACAGTTATAAAAGAGGACATTAATGGTTTGAAATAAGCCTTGTTTTAATGGTATCAAATTACATCAATCAATATGATTTGACTATAACTGATGGAAAGAAATATACTTTTGGTAGCATGTTTCTAAAACCAAAATTTGTAAATAAAGATGGATTTTCAAAACATTTTAGAAGATATTAAATAATATGAATAAGAAGAGGAAGTATTGTGAACTATTAAAATGGCAAAAAAAAACCAATGTTACTGGGACCGATGATATGTGAACAAACCACAAAAAATGAAATTCACAGTTAAATTTTTTGGAATAAATGTGCTCTTGATTTTCCATTTCATTTTAAACTCTGGTGAGTACTACTGTGAAGTTTTTAATAAAAAGATTATCTATTATGGTCTCTCTGGTCTGTATCTATGAAAAATTTGTAAGGGTTCAGCGGAACCCAGTGTCTCGCCTACTTTTGCTGTTAGTCGCAGGCTCAACAAAAATGGGGAAAAAATTATTAAAAAATTTTCCTCTAGATACTATCTTTTGATTGTAAGAAGTTCTGTTCAAGTTTGTTTAAAATCCAAGAAGGTTTATGAATCTAATAAATGTTTTAAAAACTTTAACTGCAGACTGTACGTAATGTTAACTGGAATAAAACTAAGTCCATCTATAAGTAATATACGGAAAAACCGGAAATAAATTTTTACAAAATTTCCTTCTAGATACTAGTTTTTGATCATAAAGAAGCTTCTGTCCAAGTGTGGAACAAATCCAGGATAGTTTAAGAAAGTTATTAAAATTTTGAAAGCTTTAACCACAGAGTGAATAATGTTAACTGGCAGAAAAACTAAGTCCATTTATGAGTAAAATACGGAAAAACAGGATTTTTTTTTTACAAAATTTTCTTCTGGATACTATCTTATGATCATAAACAAGCTTCTGTCCAAGTTTGGTTGAAATGCAGGATAGTTTAAGAAAGTTATTAAAATTTCAAAAACTTTAACCACAGGGTGAATATTTGTGGATGACGCCGACGACAGAATGTAGGATCGCTATGTCTCGCTTTTGCGACAAAAGTCGCAGGCTCGACAAAAATGTTAATAAAACCATTTAACTATGAGGCCACTAAAATGGATCTTTTCTTCGTTTTTTCACATTAATAAAGTATAAAATAAGGTCAGGTTAGCCTACTTTCACTGATAATAAGTTCAAGCAGGAAATGTTACAACAATTTCAGATAAAAAATTTGACAATCCTTCATACTTGTGGGATAAGCTTGGATATTAGCTTTGACCCAAAATCATAGCAATTTATGCTGATTGTAACTTAGTGAAATTTGATCTCCAACATTTGTTCAGATAAAAAGGTACAACACAAACATGCAATATCTCAATACAAACCATCAGATGTGGAAGCTTTCTGATGAGGTTCTAGAAGAGCTGAAAATTCTTGTAAATCTGTCTGTCTAATTATTCTGTCTAAATACCTACAAAAGATTAAATTTGATTGCTGAATCTCAGTTGTATTAGTTACTATAAATATAAAAACAAGGAGATGTGGTATGATTGACTCTGTTAACTCTCCAATGTAGACCAAAAGACTCAAATGTGAACAACTACAGGTCATCATATGACCTTCAAAAATGTGCAAAAGCCATACCTTATAGTAAGTCATAAAAGGACCTACTGTAGAATGACAAAATGTGAAACAATTCAAGAGAGATGTCAATAGCCTGATTAATAATAAAACAAAAAACAATAACATATGTTTTGAGACAATAATTAAACATTGTAAACTAATTTTCACCATTTTTATAAATAATGAATTAGTATCTCACTCTCCAATTTCTATTTGCTAGTGTTAGCTCTTCTAGTGAGGTACAGAATATCTATTTGGGTGTGTGCAAATTCAAGAACATTGAATATGAAAATTCAGCTTGTTTCTAAATATTTTCAAAAAAAATCAAAATGACTTTTTACTTCCTGTCCAAAGTGTAACAATTGTTGTTATCTTCCAACCATATCATAGGATAGGCAACAAAAAATTACTATAAGACCAGTGTGTTTCTAAATATACAAAAGCCTATAAAGTATATAGTGTTCACTTAAAAGCAACAAACCTCATATAGTATGCACTATAGACTCTCAACAAGTTTAATGCCTGTCCCAAGTCAGGAGCAATAAATATGTATGGTGGCCTATAATTGCTGATTACCACTTCATTTGAATTCTGGTGGATAGTTGTCTCATTGGCAATCATACCACATCCTTTTAATTTTTAGATAAGTCGTAAATTTCAGCATATTTTTAGTACATTTCGGCTACCTAGCATATATATTGTACTGTATTGCTCATCTCTACATCAGTGTTTTTTTTTTAAGAATAATATGATATGTTAGTGTAGTTGTTGTGATTTCATTCAATATTTCTGGCATTTTTTAATTTAATACCTACATTTTTTCTAAAATATTATATGCTGGTAGCTGTTGGCATCTTTCATCTTTGAACAGTGTTGCTAACATTCTAGATCTCTGCTGTCCTGAAATTTGAAATAAACTTAACTGTAAACAAGACAATCCAAAATATTCTTGTCCTCTCTTTACAACTCTAAATATATTTTTTGTTTCATATAGATAGTATCTTATTTTTTTAAATCAACAAGGTATATCATATAATTGATATCCATATGGCAGAGGTATAAACACAAAGAAAATCCATTCAAAACAAGAGGTTCCAAAGAGCATGCAATGGCTAACTGACATAGTTTTTTTTTCAGATTTTGAAACAAGCATGGTGTTATGTGTAGTTGATTGTTGTTCTCCTTTTACATATCAAAGCTTTCATATTACATTCCACAAAATCTATTGACCCATTTGCAATATAATAACTAACCTGCAGATGCTAATATAGTACATATTAAAGCGTTTTTCAATGCTGTCATTCTCTCCTCTTCAGCTATCATTGTTTTATATGATAATTCATTATATCTTGCAGCTGCTTCTATGAACTTCCTCCTGTAGTCTAATACTCTAGCATAGCAAGCCTGTAAATAGATATATATAACATGATCAAACATGTCCATTACACCCAGATGTAGTCTAATACTCTAGCATAGCAAGCCTGTAAATAGATATATATAACATGATCAAACATGTCCATTACACCCAGATGTAGTCTAATACTCTAGCATAGCAAGCCGGTAAATAGATATATATAACATGATCAAACATGTCCATTACACCCAGATGTAGTCTAATACTCTAGCATAGCAAGCATGTAAATAGATATATATAACATGATCAAACAATACACCCAGACATGTCCAGTTATCCTAAAAAAGCCAGGAATGCATGTTCCTCAGCAATTTCAACTTTCTGTTTACTTCCCTAAATGCATCTGTATTTTTTCAGGATAGATTTATTTTCCTCATTAATAATTTATGTTGTGAAGGGGGAAAAAACTAGAGGGTCTAAAGAGCCTGTGTTGCTCACCTGCATCTTCAACAATGGCCACTTTTAAGTAAAAATCATCATTAAAGGTGAACAACTCTATTAAGAGTTAACTGACAATTTCATTCATGTGGACATTTGTAGATTTGTCCTTCTGATACTTTTTTTCTTTTTAAAGTTTCTATTTATCTATTATAGTTTTTAAGATAATAGGAAAAAAATGCAAAATACAATTTAAAAATTAACAATGACTCCAATAACGAGTTGACTAAGATTTTGGCCATTATGGCTTATTTGTAGATCTTGTCTTGCTGATCATTTGCGCTATTCAAAGTTTCCATTTATCTTTTTCATTTTTCAAGATAATAGGCAAAAATGGGAAAAAATAAGCAAAATTCGTTATTGAAGGGCAATAACTTCAATAAGGAGTTGAATAACGATTTTGGTCATGTTGAATAATTTTTATATCTTGTCTTGCTGATCATTTTTGCTTCTTAAAGTTTACATCTATCTATTATAGTTTTTAAGATTTAAGGCAATTTTTTGTAAAAGTTGACAGTCAAAGACCGACAACAACGACAGATGACAACAGATGATGACAGACATCGACGGAGGCCATGTGATGAGAACAGCTCACTTGGCCCTTTGAGCCAGGTGAGCTAAAAAGCAAAAATCAAAAGTATGTTATATAACCCACACTGTACAAGGTTCACGGAAATCATGTAATAATATTAGCACATAATAACTTATATTGACAATACTAACCTTATAACGTATCTGTAATTCTTCATTTTTGGAATCAGCTTGAAGAAGAGATGCCCTATTGATATAAGCTTCTGCTTGTACAGGATCTTCATCTTCCAGATATAACCTGGCAATCTTTAAGTATGTCTTCAGTTTGTAGTCAGCTGGATACTGTCTGCAATCAAATGAAAAAGGATGTAATTATAGAACATAAAATCCTCAAATTATACTATCCTTTGACATATTTGTTGCATGTAATTTTGCAACAAACAAATGATATTTTAAAAGTCTAATAATCAAACAACCTATTCACCTAAGAAAAACTTCCTAAATATCCTACAAAACATGTAGGCATGAGCAAGTTAACAATGTTTTTTTTTTTTAATTTCTATTTCCAAGGAGCAAAACTCCCGTAAAAATAGTTGATCAGCACTGGTTAACCAACTCTTCAAAGACCTTGCTGATATAAACCTTTGATTAATTTGATGAAAATCTGACAAGAAATGTAGGTGTGATAGTGCTTACACTGTAATGCTTAATATAAATGACATTTCAAAGGGACATTATTCCAGCAAAAATTGTTGTTTGGCACTGATTTTCTCACTCATCCAAGACATTACTGATATAAACCTTTGATTTTAATTTGATAAAAATCTGACAAGAAATTTGGGTTTGACAGCGCTTACAATGCAGTTTCCAAGACATAACTCCTGTAGAAATAATTGATCAGTGATGATTTTCCAGCTTGTCCCAGAAATTGCTGATATAAACTTCATAACAATCCTACAAGAAATGCAAATTTGAGCGCACTCACAATGCAATTTTCCATATAATTTATGTTACCAAGGGGTATAACTCCTCTTTAAATAATTGATCAGTAAAGATTTTAATGTAAGAGAAATTGCTGATAAAAAAATTTATTAATTTGATCAAAATCTGACAAGAAATGTAGGTTTGAGAGTGCTAACAATGCAATTTCCATATAATATATATTACCAACTCCTTTCAAAATGTTGATCAGCACTCATTTTATGCCTGTACCAAGTCAAGAATATGACAGTTGTTTTCCCTTCGTTTGACGTGTTTGAGCTTTCGATTTTGCCATGTTATAAAGGACTTTCCTTTTTGAATTTTCCTTGGAGTTCGTTATTTTTGTTATTTTACTTTTTCGATATTGTTCAAGACATGGTTGATAAAAGAATTTGAAATGAATTTCATAATAATCTGGCAAGAATTGTACATGTGAGTGCTTACAAGACCAGACAGACAGATGGTATTTCTATGTCCCCTGCAGAGTGTTGTGAGGGGACAAAAACTTAATATTGGCTAATGAATCAAGAAATCAAATCAAAAACTGAAAAAAAAAGCACCAAAATTTTACAGAGATTTAAATAAGTCATCAAAATATCAAAATGATGTTTGACTGTTGGTATATGTTAGACAAAACTCTACACCATAGGCTATTATCGAATCTTTTAAAATATGTGTTCTAGAATATTAATCTTAAACTTTTAGTTGACATTGGCACTGGATAAGCAAACATTTTTCTCACATTAATTACAGGAAGGACATTACAATGTTTGGTAAAACTATTTCATTATATAATTATCCCTTCATGTAACCATAACTGAAAAAGAAATTGATGAGTGATTGTCAATTATGGTAATTATCCATCTATTTATACTTTTCTAACCTTTGTCCTGTTTCAAGTGGTATCCCTACCAATACATTTGCAGCTTCTCTCCAAGACTGTTCTCTTTCATATATATTTGCTAAATGTTGTCTTATTGCACCAACCTAAAATATAAAAATACAGATTGGTGATGGTTTGGACTGAAGAAACTGTATTTTTCTTCTTTTTTCTAAAAAAAATATCAAAACATTCTTGGTTTCATATTGGGACTACATTGTGAGTTCCAAAGATATTTTCTCCATCTCTTTGATAATGTGAAAGTCAACCAAATATCAGTCCAAAATAACTAAATGACTCTGTAAAATGACATGCCAATTTGTGAAGTCCTAGATGTAGAGCCATGTTAATATAATTACTGTCTGTAAGTACACTCATATAATACATACAAACAATACTTTTTGTGTTGAAAAAAAGGTAACAATTAAAGTTGCGAGTCTACAATGTAAAATAAATTGCTTCGCCAAGCGCAGCTGGATACCACCGCAGAGGTCCAACCCTGAACAGTTGGGGCAAAAATGGACACAATATTCGCGCTTGATACAGGTCTGAATTTGGATTGTAATTAAATATTTGACACAGAATAACTGTAGTTAAAGAACTTCGAATTGGTTATATGAATTGAATTTATATTTAATTTTTGCTTTAGTGCAATACACTGTTGCGAATTGACCCCCCCCCCCCCCCCCTCCCCCCATTTTTTTTTGCAAAAAAAAAAATATTTGAAGAAATTTTCTTTTTAATTTCTGAAATCTGAAATGAGAAAAAATTGTCCCCCACCTCACAATTTCTTTATTACCCCCCACCACCAATTTTTTTTCACCTCCCCTCCCCCCCCCCCCCCCCCTTTCTTCCAAAAAAAAAAAATCTTTCCCTCAAGATATGGTCATCTCAATTCAAATTTCCAATGGAGTTTGCAACCATAATTACCCATTTAAATACATCATAAAAGTCTTAAAATAGAAAATGACATACATAATCATTGGTAAAATTAATATTCCTTAATCAGCATTTTTAAATAGTAACTTCTAAAATTAAATTGACAGGTAATCACCTCAAGACAATACAACATTTCTTTATACATAATTTAAAAGCAGTGTAAGGGAGGTAATCCAAACATAACATTGTACTTTTTTTTAATTGTCCATTAACCAGGACACCTTTGTTTTTTCTCACTTTTTTGCCTCTAATTGGGTCAATATCCCTAATGGACCTTGAGATGAGGAACTCAGATGACGTAATTAAAAAAAAATATTAGTCCGCCATACAATTGTGGATGCTGTGATTTAAAAAATGGACATAAATGAACAATAAGAACTGTTTTATAGAGCTGATGTGATGAGAAAAGAAATATGTAGATTTGACCTTTAATAAATTATCAGAAAGGACAAATTTTTTATTGAATTTTATGATCAGAATTTTGGGATTATTTCATGAGGAGAGTGACATTTTTCCCCATCTTCCGGGGTCTGGCAATTTTTGAAAAAAGTAATCTCACTTGCCACCCCGAAAATTTAACCAGACATGTATAAATGTATCAGCTTTGATATGAGCCACCATACATATTCAAGTAAACAATATGGACTGAGCAACGGAGGAAAATGTTACCATTACGGCCTATGGAGAATTAATTAAAGATCTTGACCCAAATTGGGTCAATATCCCTAATGGACCTTGAGATGAGGAACTCAGATGACGTAATTAAAAAAAAAATATTAGTCAGCCATACAATTGTGGATGCTGTGATTTTAAAAATGGACATAAATGAACAATAAGAACTGTTTTATAGAGCTGATGTGATGAGAAAAGAAATATGTAGATTTGACCTTTAATAAATTATCAGAAAGGACAAATTTTTTATTGAATTTTATGATCAGAATTTTGGGATTATTTCATGAGGAGAGTGACATTTTTCCCCATCTTCCGGGGTCTGGCAATTTGTGAAAAAAGTAATCTTACATGCCACCCCGAAAATTTTACCAGACATTTATAAATGTATCAGCTTCAATATGAGCCACCATACATATTCAAGTAAATGATATGGACTGAGCAACGGAGGAAAACGTTACCATTACCGCCTATGGAGAATTAATTAAAGATCTTGACCCATTTCCTAAACGGTTTGAGCCATAACACCCAAAGCCAATCTTAACCATCCCTTTGTGGTATGGAAACTTGTGGTATAATTTCAGAGAGATCCATACACCGTTCCACCAGTTATTGTCTGGAAACTAGAAAAATGCTTATTTGGGCCCCTTTTTGGCCCCTAATTCCTAAACTGTTAGGACTATAACCCCCAAAGTCAATCCCAACCTTCCTTTTGTGGTTATAAACCTTGTGTTCAAATTTCATAGATTTCTATTTACATTTACTAAAGTTATTGTCCGGAAACCAAATGTCTTCGGACGACGCTGATGACAAAGTAATACTAATATACGACTGAAAAATTTTTTTTGCGGTCGTATAAAAATCAGAACAACACATATTACAGTACTTATACAAACAAACCTGTTCTTCGAATGAGATCACACGAGTGTGAACTTTCTCCAGTGTGAAATGAGCCACTTCTTTTGCTAATGCATCTGGTAGCTTTGTAAGGTGGGAACAGAAATCTGACAATAACTGTCTTGAAATGACTAGACTAACATTTTCATTTACCACTGAAAAGGAAATTTATAAACTGTTCGAAAATAATATTTTGCCATCTTAATTTCAAATCATAAAGATTAATTTTTCATTAATTTTTATTTATATTGGAACTACAAAAAGAACAATGCAGATTTGAATTACATGTTAGTGTATTTTTTTTCTAATTTGGGCTGTTCAGCTTCATTATTTTTTCATTGGTAGGTAAATTACCTGTGAAAAGTTGATGGCAGATTATTCAAGTGATCTGTAAATCATTTACCTTGTGTTACACATCTATGGTTTTAGAATATATGATTGATTGATGGTTGCTTAACGTTCTTTAGAATATATATGCATTTAATTAAGAATCCTGTCCAATGTGTAGTAATCACATAAGACAACACTTGCTGCCTAAAAATCAATTCAAACATTTTACAAAAATGAAGTTCAGAATCAGCAGGAACATGTATTAATCTCTGATGTATGACACTTATATCAAATCACCAGTTTTCAGCTGTCATAATATATCTTTTGTGATTTTCGGTTGACTAAAACATTTTTAAGGTTTTCATATGCCTGTACTCATCTTAGAGTAAACACTTAATTGTTTTAATCCATATTATTTGGACTCTGTTGGATAGTTGCCTCATTGGCAATCATACCACATCTTCATATTTTATACTAAAAGAAAATTCAGGGAAAATTTACTTTACTTACATGCCTCTACAAATGCCTGCAAGCCCTGAACAAGATTACTGCCTTCAGACTTCAAAATTTCTTCCAAAAATCCTTTATACCTTGATTAATAAATTATTATTTTAAACATGATTATTAGCAAACTTAGAATATAAGGATGTTTAAATAACACTGAATAACAACAAGTGTACTTTTAAATCAATCTTACAACACAGAGATATATCTAACCTGCTTTGCAGCTAGATCAAAACCACTCTAATATTAGTACTTTACTGCATATGGACAGTATTATTCCACTTTAAGCCTTTTTATAGGGTGCAGAATCAAACCTTTTTATCCAACACCCTGTTGACATTTTCTTTTTATCTTGGCATCCTGCTCTTTTTGTTGAGCAGCTCTTTCCTTTTTACAACAACCAAATTTATATTTTTTATCACTGATATACTTCCAGTTTGTCACCACATTTAACTGAAACTAAAACACGTCCTGTCTGTGTTTTTGTTAGATTTTTTTTCTGCTTTGAATCGATCTGATGAGTTAATAGATATAAGAAGATGTGGTATGAGTGCCGATGAGACAACTCTCCATCCAAGTCAAAATTTATAAAAGTAAACCATTATAGGTCACAGTACGGTCTTCAACACGGAGCCTTGGCTCACACCGAACAGTAAGCTATAAAGGGCCCCAAAAAATTACTAGTTTAAAACCATTCAAACGGGAAAACCAACGGTCTAATCTATATAAAAAACGAGAAACGAGAAACACTTATGAACCACATCAACAAACGACAACTACTGAACATCAGATTCCTGACTTAGGACAGGTGCAAACAAATGCAGCGGGTTTAAACGTTTTAATGGTACCAAACCTTCACCCTTTTTCTGAAACAATAGTGTAACATCACAACATAGAAAGACACACTATAAAATATCAATTGAAATAGCTTAACTCAATCAAAGGACATATTAACACCATTGAACATACACTGAACAAATAAATTTGACCTATGACACAATGTAAATACAAAATAAATAAACTAAGGGAAGAATAATAAAAGTAACATGTTATATCGGTAAGAAATGTTAAACAATTAAAGAAAAAAAATATGTTCGAACAAAAATACCATCCATTTGCAATAACTTTAAACACAGGTAAATGAAAATAATTTTGTTGTTAGGTATACGTGTACAATACCAATAGAGAAAGGAAATATTTTTACAAAATAAATAATTTTGATATTCATAGTACGAAGTGAAAATTTATAGTTATACCAAACACTTATCAAAGCTGGTATATAGACTAGATATAACCCTGAATAACATTAAATAACAAAAAAGCAATACAATTAGTATCAACAGGTCAAATAAACAAGAAAGTACGATTTGAGAGTACTCGCAGTTACTGACAGCTAGTTAAAAGCCAAAACAATTAATAATAAAAAATCATGCATCAGAGACTAAAATCAACTAAAACACATCCCAGGGATTTAGTATTTTAACGTCATGGACAGTCAAAGAAGACATGACTAGTGCAATGCCAAAAATAAATGTATCGACAGACAGTAGGATAGTTAGTTTAACCTCTTTATAGATCTAAACGAACGTGGGTGTGTCTTTATACATCCCACTTAAGCATAAGCCTTTTTTAACTGATTTTTATAGTTTGTTCGTACTATATATGCTCTGTACAAAAAGTCTCTTATCTTATTCACAGAAAATGAAAACATGGAGCAGATTTTTTTAAGTAGGATTTGTATTTCAGATATATTAGTTGGAACCATATCAATCTGCTCTCATCTGTCTAGAGCTGATGCAAGCTCATGACAAAGCGTGCGAACATGTTTACATCAAGAGAAAACAAATACAACTGATAACATAATCATGAAAAAAAATCCAGCCATTTCTGCATCTTTTAACCCCTGATTTGTTTAAATCCAACCAGAAAATTATGCCTTAAAAATATTATTTTGAAAAAAAAATGTTTTTAAAGGAGCAATAAAATGTACGTTACGAATATAAGTGGACATGCACTGTACTTCAGTTTTTTAGTATATTTCTTTAACAAACGAATATATTTTTACTTTTCTGTGACATCTTTATGGGAACCTCCACCGTGCGATAATGTGGCTAACTGAGAAAGTTGTTGTCTAAAATTTGACGCCATTTTGACGCAAATATTATTCGAAACTAACGTCGTTGGCACAATTTGCTGTGTGCAAAATCAATAAAACTTTATCGGGAAAGACATGCTCTAAATGTCCGGAAAACAAAATTTTAACATGACGTTTTCCCCTATTTAACTTTGTTGGCATTTTCAGAAAAAAATTCTGGGCATAAATAAAGATTTATCCTGTCTAGTACTATAATAAAAAAATTCACACAACATTTCACCGGTAGTAAGCAAAGCAACTGTTTACCCCTTTTTTTTCTTCTGTTTACAAGCTTTATTATAAACAAGGAATTATACAAATCCTTGTTATAAATTAGGCCACCTCAAGTCACCTCAAGTTTCCTAAATATTCAACAGAAACACCAAATAAAAAAGAATGGTGATTTAAAACACACAATATATATTGGTTTATGACTAAAGCAAATTTTTCTGCATTTATTTTGAACGGTTAATTTCCCTGACAACTGTCGAATTCAACGGATTTTGTTCGTGCCCTTTTTACATGAAACCGGATATGTCGTACTATGGGACAACTATGTTTTGGTGGTATTAAACCCTTATGTCACAGGCGCTTGGGAAAAGGACTTTTCTATGTATTATTTTATTGTGTTGTATATTTTTTCATCAATATTCGTTAATATTTTAACTTCTTTAATGTGTTTTTCCCCTATTACAATTTTACAATACCAGCAGTTTTTATATGATACCCCTCTATTCTTATTTTCCACTAAGAATAGAGGGCATCATATAAAAACTCTCAATAAAAACTACTGGTATTGTAAAATAGAATGGATAAGAGCACTGAAGAACACATCAGTAAATAAGAGAAAATAAGTGAAAATATTACTGAATGGCCGTTTACTTAAAAAAATATAAAGAATACATGTAGAAAAGAGAGGGCATTCCCAATTAAGCACCCGTGGTTTATTTGTGCTTGAGCTAATACATGATATCTGTATGTCCCAGATTTGTCCACATTGTAAATGCGTACTTGTAAATTTAAAAAAGTTCTGTGATTATTTTATTCAAAATTTGCCTGTATAAATTTGCATCTTATTTATGCACCGAGTCTGTTCAAACATGAGCAACACAATCTAATTAAAATATGGCAGTGGCTATTTTGCCGGCGCCGGCAAAATAGAAAATATGCCATTTTGCCGGCTCTGATTAAAATATCTTAATGTTAGTCGGCAAAATATCATATTTCTACAGCAATGGCTATTTTGCCGGCGCCGGCCATATAGTGAATTTGTTATTTTGCCGGTTCTTTGTAAAGAGTGAATTTTAATATTTACTTTTGAAAAGTACTACGAAAATGAGCATTGTCAACTTCAAAGAATCAAATTATTACTCCATATACATGAAGTAAAGTAAGATAACACTAACAATATTTAAGTTACACATAATCGTTTATAATCATTTATGAGTCCAAGTGATAATAGGAATTTGTAAAGACATAAAAATAAAAATATTGAGCATCCCATTCGTAGCAATGAAATCATATCAAAACATGTAGTTGAAATTACTTCAAATTTAATCACACAGCCTAATACTGCATAAGAATAAAATCTCAGATTTTTAACTGTATGGTGTTAAAAAAAAAGTTAAAAATCTCATTGCATATAAATTTGATAAAACATTACACAATCTAACAAAACCTATCACATAGCTTCAAAACCAAAATTATTTAATAACATTTGCTTTTGAAATAATAGTCAGTTCTTTAAATTGCATATCTGTAAACACAATCTTTTTTACTAGCAAAATTGGCTTCCGCTTACCTAGAGCCGGCAAAATAGCCATTGCTATAGAAATATGCTATTTTGTCGGCTTAAACTGGGAACAGTATATCTAATATATATGTTCCTGGCTTAAATTAAGATATTTTAATCAGAGCCGGCAAAATAGCCACTGCCTTAAAATATCGATCCATCGTAACTCCGTCGAAGCTCATATGAGTATATAACGAAATCAGAGATATATATTTTAATTAGATTGTGAGCAACACGACTAGTGCCACATGTGGAGGAGGATCTGCTTACCCTTGCCGCGGAGCACTTGAGGTCACCCCGGTTTTTGTTGGGGTTCGTGTTGTTCAGTCTTGAGTTTTCTGTGATGTGTTGTGTTTTGTATACTGTTGTTTGTCTTTTAGCCATTTTTCTTTTATTTTTACATGGCTTTGTCAGTTTGTCATTGATTTATGAGTTTGAAAATACCTTTGGTATCTTACGACTCTCTTTTATCACAATGTCCATAAGGTGGCGAAACTTAATATAAAAGTGTTTTTTGTCTAATGATGAAATGAGACTGGTGCAACCTGATGATCTTCCAAAGGCTATAGTTTTGCTATGGATTTTGCTGGTTTATTTTACATGTCATAATACTTTTCAGAAAATGGGATTTACAATTTTTGCGGGAAATTGTTTGCTCCTTTTTGGTATAATCGGGTACAAATTGCGAAAATTTTGTTATGCTTATTTATGGGTCGATGTCACTGCTGACAGACATTTCGACTCCGAATGTATCACCAACCCAGTGGTCTGCACTTGTGTCTTGACATGGAATATCATTGATATGTTCATGTTAGTAAATGAATTGCTACAAAATGTTGAATTAATCGAAACACTAAAGTTGTTCTACCCCCATGCACATATTGCCTAAGCTGTATTTTACACAACTTATTCGGAAATTTTAGATTTGAGTGTTTTAGATCGGAGCGCCACTGATCAGTCTAATGTTGACGAAACGCGCGTCTTGCGTAGCAAATTATAAGCCTGGTATATTTAAGGAGTTATTATGGTGTCATAAAAACGAAAATTGAAACTTCGTCGCCATGTTGAAAGTTTTCAGGAAAATATATAAGTTAACTAGACCCAAATCGACCCTTCTACAATTTATGATTGCTTCAGGAGCATACAATATGAGGCAGGTGCTATACCTGATCAAGGTAACGAATGTTGTGATTTGCAATTAATTTGGTCAGAGGTTTCATACAGCCCGGAGATCAGATGAAACCCTAGATATTCCAGATGATTGTAATTTTTACAAGTTTCTGAACAGAAAATGCTTGTCAAATCTAATAAAGATACGACAACTGCAGTTCTAGTTGTTTGTCAATCACTTAGAAAAACCCCAAACGAGTTTGAGGGGGGGGGGGCGATCACAGTGATAATGGTGGGGAATCAAATTGAGAATGGAAATGGGGAATGTGTCAAAGAGACAACAACCCGACCATAGAACAGACAACAGCAGAAGGTCACCAACAGGTCTTCAATGCAGCGAGAAATTCCCGCACCCGGAGGCGTCCTTCAGCTGGCCCCTAAACAAATATATATACTAGTTCAGTGATAATGAACGCCATACTAAACTCCAAATTGTACACAAGAAACTAAAATTAAAAATAATACAAGACTAACAAAGGAGAGGCTCCTGACTTGGGACAGGCGCAAAAATGCGGCGGGGTTAAACATGTTTATGAGATCTCAACCCTCCCCCTATACCTCTAGCCAATGTAGAAAAGTAAACGCATAACAATACGCACATTAAAATTCAGTTCAAGAGAAGTCCGAGTCTGATGTCAGAAGATGTAACCAAAGAAAATAAACAAAATGACAATAATACATAAATAACAACAGACTACTAGCAGTTAACTGACATGCCAGCTCCAGACTTCAATTAAACTGATTGAAAGATTATGTCTTCATCATATGAATATCAGGCACAATCCTTCCCGTTAGGGGTTTAGTATCATACCATCATAACATATATGAGAAGAACATAACTCGTGTCATGCAAACAACTGGTTTTTAAATAATTGTGTTTAGTGCCGATGCAAAGACCCTATAAGTGAATCAATATTAACGCCAAAATATGCAATCTTTAATGACCTGACAACAGTATCGTAACTATATCCCTTCTTAATAAGTCTATTTAAAGGTTTTGTTAGCTTCAGAGGTGAATACTGACATTTTTGTGCTTTATAAAGAATATTTCCATAAAAAATTGGATGTGAAATACCTGAACGTATAAGAAGTCTGCATGTTGAGCTATATTTACGAATGATTTCCTTATACCGATGATAAAATTTAGTAAATGTTTTGACTAGTGGGAAGTCTGTTTATGCATCCGGGTGGTTTTTAGTCCAGAAATGTGACTGTCAGGTGGTGCATAGATTACAGGAAAATTAATGAAGCACAATTGAAGATGCCTATCCACTTCCAAAAATTACTTCATGTCTTAATTGCTTGGCAAATGCATCAGTGTTCTCAGTTTGTAATTTACAGTCAGGTTATTGACATTTACAAATGGCAAAATAAGACCGTCACAAGACGGCATTTATTACAAAATATGGCTTGTTTGAATATACTAAACTTCCATTTGGGTTGAGCAATACTCAGTCTACTTTTCAGCGTTGTATTGAATTAATATTTATAGGTCTACCGTGTAAGACACTTCTTATTTACCTTGATGATAGGATCATATATAGTTCGAACCTTGATGGTCGTTATTTTTGAACAATTAAACAAAGTTCTGGGACGTCTGCAAAATTCTGGGTTAAAACTTAAACCTTTAAAATGTGAACTGATTGAATCAGACCTTCTACTTTAGGTTGTATCATTAATCTAAAGTTCACTGTGAAATATGAGATGTAGGCACTCATTGAAATGTGGCTTTTTGAGTGCATGACAGAACAACATCAATATATCTGAAAGCGAAATAAAAGAAGTTACTTTGCTTTTTCTTTTTGTCTCTGAGAGAGTTCTGTATGGATTCTGATTTGAGAAATACTCAAGATATGCACATACAAGTCACGATGGACATTGCATAGTCATGCTATCAGAGTCAGTCTGTCGTTGGGGATTAAGATCAAGGATTTCAATCAGATAGTTTCCTACTATCAAATTCGTTGCTTAGATGTATATAATCAGTTTAGAAAAACAGCAGTCGATTTTTGAATGTGAAATCTCAATAATAAAGGTGAAAGATATCAAAGGTATATTCAAAGTCGTAAACTTACAATGCCAAAAAACGTCAAACGGCGAAAAGACAAACAACAGTACACAAAAAACATTATAAAAAAATAAAGACCGAGCAACACGAACCTGAATTAAGTCACAACTTTTGTTCCACTCTGACAGATTTAGAGATTGACATGTTGTATAGAAGGCTATATGAGGGTTGTTGCAAGGTTGCTGTCTCAATTACGGAAACAACATTCTCAACAGTTTTATAGACAATCTGGGACATAATATATTGACTATATATATCAGTCATGATACTATTCCCAGAGACAATAGACAATACCTATTTGCACAAACACATTTACATTAAAATTAAGTAATTATGGCATGATCAAATACAAACATGAATAAAACAGGAAATTGTGTAAATACATGCGAGTGACAGTGGCTTTCATGTGAGAATTTGAAAAAATATAATAATAAATGACAAATCAAACATTAGTGTATTCTTAAAAAATCATTTGTGACCATGTACACAAATGTAAAATTGAGAATGGAAATGGGGAATGTGTCAAAGAGACAACAACCCGACCATAGAGCAGACAACAGCCGAAGGCCACCAATGGGTCTTCAATGCACCGAGAAACTCCCGCACCCGGAGGCGTCCTTCAGCTGGCCCCTAAACAAATATGTATACTAGTTCAGTGATAATGGACGTCATGCTAAACTCCAAATTATACACAAGAAACTAAAATTAAAAATGAAACAAGACTAACAAAGGCCAGAGGCTCCTGACGGGACAGGCGCAAAAATGCGGCGGGGTTAAACATATATACACTTAAAATTTAAACACCTGACAATCATAACTATATTTTTCTGTGTTTTGTATATGCCTAGTGAACTGCGGCTCAACAGTTAGAACATATGCCTCAGTGATATTACTGAATGTTACTAAAAATCAAATTATTTTATTGGTGTAAATTCCAATACAGCAATGATATCAGCTGACATTTATAAAATGCAAATGCAAAAATAAACAAAGATGAACAAAGACGAATATACAGAGACATATTTTCTCAATGATAAGAGACACATATTTTATATCTACAATGCGTGTAGGTGTGTTTCATACTATGTTATCAAGCTATTACAATAAGCTTTAATACTACAACACGGTTCTTAACAACATTGTGATTGCTTTAAAAGAGTGTTCGTTTCGTATACAGAACAAATGTCAGTATCATTACTTTTCAAAATAAAACTAAATTTATCTTGTTCATACACATTAACAAAAGATGGAACTATATCACTTAAATTACAAAGTATATTTCTATCAAATTCTAACGCTTTACATTTATTGAGGAAATGGAATTCATCTTCAATTCCATTCTTGCAAAGTAGACCAATTTAATACATTTTAACATGTGTTTATCTTTTAAATATATGTATCTTTAAAAGGGCATGGCATGTACAGCCTTGAAAGAATTGATATCCATATTCACATAAAAAGCGTTGTTAAATCTGTTTCCGTATTTTAAACGGGGTTTATCCGAATAAACTTTCATATTACATTCTAATTCAGATCAGATAAAAAAATCGACTATTCTATTTTGTAATTTATATTAGAAATTTGATAGAAGAAATTTATTTTTTTCAAATACATTTAAAAATGAGCTCCTTCAAACAGATTTTCCTGTCATGTCACTTATTCAAAACTAAATAATATAGCTTTACTTTAGATCACCTTCGCGGAAATCAACACCGCAATGTATTATGGGATGGTAATGGTGGGCGCGTGATTTTGAACAAATACAGAATGCCTGCCCAGAGAACGGGTACTCTGCAATTAATCATAAGAACAAAATAATAATAAGCGTGTTATCATGCAAAGACTGGCTACTTATCTCTCTTCTCATATATAGAACGCCTGCCAAAGTGCAAAATTAACAGAACAGGGAGATATTTTCTGTTCATACCCCTCTCAATAAGTTCGATTTTTCCACGTCTTCACGATCAAATACTTACTGCAGCCTCCCTGATCAACAAAAATACATAAAAGTTATTGAAATAAAAACCAATTGATGTGATTTGATAAAATGGTCGACTGTTACGTTTGTATTTGACGGAATTAGGAAGTTGGATTTAGTTTCGTCATTTTAAATTTCCCTGCATTCATGTCGGGCAAATGGCGGGTTATTTGAGTTGTTCCTATGGAAAAATTTTCGTTTGACAGGAAAATAACGCTAATGGTAGTTTTTTTCCTAATACCATTCATAAAAAATATTGTAGAACACAAAATTCTTAGGCTGCAGAGGAAACATGTTTTATTATATGGTATTTTTTTGGACTAAAAAAATTTAAATTAACACTAATGTATCAAAGATTTCACCAGCTATAAGATATGTATATATAGCTGGAAATAGCATGCACTTTAGGTGCTCTTGTCAATGTATATTTGTTCCGCCTAAAGAAGTTCCACTTGAAACTTTGTTATAATCAATGTCATAATATCTGTTCCTGTTGGAACAAATATTCTATACAATTTATTCTGTTAGTAACATATACTGTTCCAGAATATTTTTTCCACTTGGAACTTATATTATAAAGGAACTTCTATTTCGTGACACTCTGCTCAATGCTTGTCTAGGCGCAGAACATTTCAACACAGACATTACAGCCCTTGGCTGCATTTATCATTTCACCTGTATTTTCAAGAGCCCATTTGCATTAGAAATAATTGCCTGTTTGAAAAGATTTATTGACTAGGCCTAGTCCCCAGAAAAAATTGATTGTGATAAATTTGCCGGATCAAAACTATTTTGAACATGTTGAAAGACAGCTTTCGAATTTGTGTACTTTCCTGTAAACTTCCTATGTCACAATGCTTATGTTAATATGTCACAGTAAGAACCGATTGCTCGATGACATTGATTACGCTGATTGACCCTGAAAAAATAAATTTGACGATCTTTTCTGCATTAGTGATTACTCGTCAACTTGAACTTCGAATATGTTCAAAATTTCATTTGTTATATTTCTTACTAGTCCGGTCAGGCTTGTGATAAATGAAAATAACTAGTCTGGTGCATCAGGCTAGTGGCTAACATCGCAGACTGTTAAAGTGATAAATAATTAGACAGCTGAAGCTAATGAAAATGTAAAATATAAAACCAAAAAATTGTATCATGAGGTTGATTATAGAAATGAAATCATTCTTATTTTCAAAGACAAAATTAACACAGAAGGGTTAAATTTGAAAAGAGCATGAAATGTATTCTATTATAACTATTTACCACCTCGGTGGTCTCGTGGTAGCTTATTCGCCTTGAATGTGGGAGGTTGTGGGTTCAAACCCTGGCCATGTCAAACCAAAGACTTTAAAATTGGTATTTGCTTCTTATAAAAATAAGATTTGGTGTGATCGCAAATGAGACAACCATCCACAAGAGACCAAATGACACAGACTTTAACAACTAATGATCACCGTAAGGCCTTTCAACAATGAGTAAAACCCATACTGCATATTCAGCTATAAAAGGCCCGAAAATGACAAATTTAAAACAATTCAAACTGGCAAACTAACTTCTAACGGCCTGATTTATGTACAAAACAATGAACGAAAAACAAATATGATATACAGCAACATACGACGACCACTGCATTACAGGCTCCTGACTTGGGACAGGCACATACAGAATGTGGCGGGGTTAAACTAGTTTGAAGTCGCCAACCCTCCCCTAACCTGGGACAGTGTTGTAACAGTACAACATAAGAACAAACTATAAAAATCAGTTGAAAAGGGCTTAATTCTTCAGATCGATACAAAGCAGAAATACATCTAACAAAAACGCAGAGTGGATGTGTCAGGGCACTTATACATCCCCACAACAAAAAGTACAGATCTGAGAGTACTCAGTTACTGACAGCTAGTTCAAAGCCAATAACAACTAATAAAAAAATTATGCATCTAAGACAAATATCAATCAGGACACATCCATGCCAACGTCCAATGGATTTAGTGTAAAGATTTCATTAACAGTCAGAGAAAAACATGACCTTGTGCAATGCCAAGATACAGGTATCGACAGATTGTAAAGCCATGAATGTGCATATGTATATAAAAATGATATTTAGTTTGATTTTAATTTACTGATAACAAAATCAATATTAATACCATTCCCGCTAAGCACACACAGGGGTTCAAATTTACTTTAGGCAATGAAAGGTCCAGGACCTTTGACCAAACATTCTTAAAGGTCCTCCTTTATTCTTAGAAGGTCCAATTTTTATTGAAAATTCAATTTATAAAAACAGAAAATGCTTACCACTCCAAAGCAATCATCATATCTTACTACATTAACCTCGTTTTTTTCTGAATTTCTTAAATAAATTCAGTCAGATAAAGGCTTCCCCTTTTCACCAACACTATATGCTGTGTTACATAACACTTTGTACCTTTTTAATTGTTTTGGTTTCAATAGCTGCTTAAGAACATACTGGCCTAACTTTGTGTCAGATAACAGCTCAACTTCATTTTCAAACTTGGGGTCAGTTTCTTTTAACCACTTTTTTGGCAAGATATATAGATACTGGGTGCTAATTTTTCATCCTGATTTTTTATGGGGTCAAGTTTAAAGTTTTTTGGTCTAACAATCCAGTGCACTTTCCCTTTCACTGTGTGTGGGAAAAATTTACCTTCTTATTTTTCCCTGTCATATTTTTGGTCTTTAGTCAAATCCTGTCTTTCAGGCTGCGTTAAACAGTTTCATCCATCACCCCTTGCTGTATCACCCATTTAATCTGGTTTTCTTTTGGAAGAGGTCACCCCAAAACCAAACAGACTCATACTGTTTACTAGTTATGTTTTAATAATATAGTCTCAAGTCCCAGTGTCATCTACGACGACCAATCAAGTGACTACACATCAAATCAATTGTGAAGAATTTAAGCGAACACAAGTTTCCTTTCAGTAAAGTTGCATATTTTAAGATTATTTTTATACTAGTTTTTGTCGAGCCTGCGACTTTTGTCGCAGAAAGCTCGACATAGGGATAGTGACCTGGCGGCAGTTACGGTGGCGGCAGCGGCATTAGCTAACTTCTTAAAAGCTTTATATTTTAGAAGCTAGAAGACCTGGATGCTTCATACTTTGTATATAGATGCCTTATGTTACGAAGTTTCCGTCTGTCATATGTCCATTGTCCTTGACCTCATTTTCATGGTTCAGTGACTACTTGAAAAAAAAGTCAACATTTTTTGTAATGTTAATTTCTTTCTTATTATGAGTAATAGGATAACTATATTTAGTATGTGCGTACCTTGCAAGGTCCTCATACCCGTCAGACAATTTTTATTTGACCTCGACCTCATTTCATGGATCAGTGAACAAGGTTAAGTTTTCGTGGTCAAGTCCATATATCAGATACTATAAGCAGTAGGTCTACTATATTTGGTATATGGAATGATTGTAAGGTGTACATGTCCAACTGGTAGGTGTCATCTGACCTTGACCTCATTTTCATGGTTCAGTGGTCAAAGTTAAGTTTTTGAGTTTTGGTCTTTTTTTCTAATACTATATGCAATAGGTCAACTATAAATGGTGTATGGAAATATTTTATGATGTAGATGTCAGTCTCACAGGTTTTATTTGACCTTGACCTCATTTTCACGGTTCATTTCTCAGTGTTAAGTTTTTGTGTTTTGGTCTGTTTTTCTTCAACTATAAGCAATAGATCAACTATATTTGATGTATGGAAGGATTGTAAGGTGTATATGTCTGTCTGGCAGGTATCATCTGACCTTGACCTCATTTTCATGGTTCATTGGTCAATGTTAAGTTTTCATGGTTAAGTTTGTTTCTTAGATACTATAAGCAATAGGTCAACTATATTTAATGCCTAAATTGATTGTAAGGTGTATATGTCTGTCTGGCATGGTTCATCTGACCTTGACCTCATTTTCATGGTTCATTGGTCAATGTTAAGTTTTCTTGTTTAAGACTGTTTCTTAGAAACAATAAGCAATAGGTCAACTATGTTTGGTTTGTTGAATGATTATAAGGTGTACATGTATTTCTCATTTGGTTTATCTGACCTTGACCTCATTTTCTTGGATCATGTTAAGTTTATGTGTTACTTGTAGTAAAGCTTTGTATTTAGGACTATCAACATAAAATCAATGGTTAGTAAAGAAGGTGAGACATTTCAGCGTGTGCACTCTTGTTTATATTTTTTGTTGGAAATGCTTTTGTAATTTTTTAACCTGCAAAAATACGAAAGTCTGTCGGGTGTAACTAACTACCGGTAAGAAGGTCCGAATCCTTAAATGGGAGGTCACGGACCTCGGACCACCGCTAATTTGAACCCCTGACACAGCATAAAGGAGTGAGAGCAAAGACTGGTCGACTCATGGTCAGAATAATGTGTCCGGGTAAGGTGACATGACTTCCTGCGGACTGTTACCTTGTGAACTAGCGTGTCAGTCTAGTACAAAACAGGGTTGATATTGATATTACATTAACATGTTCTTGTCCTGAATATGCATATTAATTTGTCACTGGACATTAAACAGCCAGCCATAATCATCATCATTATAATCTGGGTTGGCAAAGTATTACCCGCCCGGGGAAAACCCAGGTGGGACATCCCGGGTTTTCCCAGGCTGGGCAATACTCCCAGAAATGGTTAATACTGGGCAATACTAGGCAATATGATTTTTTAAGCTTATTTCAACACAAAATAGTAAAGACTTGTTGTAGTTTCATAGTATTATAGCTAAATATATACATTTTATACAGATAACCATTGAGAGTCATTTCTAGAAGATTGAAAATTCAATTTCATTCTCTTCTCCACTAATTCTATGTAGGCAGAATACAAGATTTGCACATTTTAGGATACCTTGTTAATTTCCAAGCATTGTTTCAATAATCCAAACTTTGAAAAATATGCATTTTATTGCAGTGTTTAAGTGAATTGTAAATTTAAATTGCTATGCAATCATATTGCTAAATAAACAACCTACAGGGTCATGTCATTAACACTCATAAAAATGAAAAGGCTGATTATTGTTATATAAACATATCTGTGTTCTTATCTGAATAATTACTTATCAATTAGTGATGTACATATAAATTATTTAAAAGTAATTTTTCTTACATGTAATTGTTAATTCTTTTTTTTAGGTATATATATATATTTGAAAAAAATGAATTCATTTGCTTATGTTAACAGTTTGACCAATCTAGACAGAAGGGTGATGTAATAGATTTTTAGGAGAATTATTGAGAAAGGCTTTTTTCCATTAATATTTGTCTAATGTGTCTTCATGTACACTTGTCTCAGAGTTGCTAGAATAATACTTTCTCAAATGTATACACTTGTATTATAAGACTCTCAAACAAGTAAACTTATTGATAAATTAAAATATGTTTATAAATATCTTAAGTGTATTGCATTTGTGTTTTATCACTGAATCCTCTTTAAAATTCAGGCCAGTATTTTATATTACCTAGTATTGCCCAGTATTTCCTGGTAAAACCCGGGTTTTCCCAGTATTTCCCACTGGGCTGGGCAATTCTTATAAAACCCGGGTTTTTGCCAACCCTGATATAATTATGTTTAGTTTGTACCAAATACTGAAATAAAAAATTCAGGCTTTTAAAGAGTAATAGCTATATAGGGAATATCAGATTTCTAGATAGGCTAAAATTAATTCATGGGAGCACCACTTATATTGCCCACTATGCATGCACACCCTCTATGATCCTCTAGGGAAAACACTTGAGCCTCCGTTCATTATTTGTGCTATTATATAACTGGAAAACACAGCAGAAAATGCCTATTTATGTTTATATTTTATGTTTGCAGGCATTGGTGTAGTTAACATTCATGAAAACGATCCATCTGCTCAGTCAATAGAGATAAATTCCAACAACAGCTTTTCTGGAAATACTATTTCAGTTGATTATGGTCAGTTAAAAGGCCATGTGTTGAATCCATTAGACAATCTGGAAGGTACACTTGGAAGTTTAGAGCCCACAGAATCCAACTTAGGAAATGTTGATCAGGTTCTAGTGGATTCATCAGACTCTAATAATCATACTCAAATTCAGATTGTCAACTCTACAGCAGATAGTGGACATTCTGAAGGAACTTTATTAAGGTTAAGTGATGGATCTGTTGTTAGTTCATTAATAGACAATTCACAAATTGTAAGTGCTAGTAGTTTATCAACTACATCTTCTCAGGCTGTTAAAAGACAATTGAATGCTTCATCATCTAGTCCTATGGTAACTAAAGTTATAATTACAAAAAATCCTATCTCAAGTCAACCACAAGCTGTACCGATTCAATTAAATCCATCATCTTTGCAGTCTTTACAACAGGGACAGACATTGACGTTTAATCAAACAATGGCACCTGCTGTCAGTGTGGTGCCGCAAAGTGCACAGACACCTACAAAGACCATTACAATTTCTCAGCAAGGAATTATGTCACCACAGAAACAATATTTTGCTTTACCTGTTAGTTCACCAAAGCCTGGGATAACAAAAATCCCTATTTCTCCAGCAAAGACTCCTACAAAAATAACAATGATACCAGTGACTGTTGGCAAATCTCCGCAGAGGATAGCGCCAGCTTCAGGTGTTTCTGTATTAAGTAAGAGTTTATCGGATAGTGCTACGTATACAGCTGTTCCTGTGTCATCAGGACCTACAATGATTACTTTATCACCTTCAAAAGTTTTTAAACAAGGCACAGTTGTAAGTATTATAATAGATAGACAATTAACAAACATATCTTAACATGTTTATTGTAAACGTTTAGTGTGTATGTCATTACATATTAATACAAAATGTATGCTTACAACGTACCAATATACAATACTAAAATTGATAAAAATAATAATCAGTTTTATAATACAATGTTAGTTGATTATGTTTTCATGTCAAATTTGAACCACATAATTGAACACCTGTAAAAGAATTTTAATTTACAAAAATGTATTGAGGAAATTGAGTTCCAGAAGAAAGTACATTTGGGCTTCAAAGGTTTTTCAGGATTATCTATCAAATGTAATACATCTTGTGCCTCCAATAACTTAAGGACAGTTATGTGGGCTAAAATAACGACTTCACTTATTTCTAAAAGGAGTACATGCAGGTATTTTTTTTTTAAATCAATGTGGGATCAAAGCTATGCCCTTAAGATGACTAACCATTGAATTTTATCAGGTTCAGCAGAGACCAGGGCAGATACAATTCCAACAAAATCAGGCTATTACAATAAATAAACCTCAGACACAAGGTGGTGTACGACAAGTGGCAATACCCTTATCTAGCATGCAACAGATTCAAGGCAGCAAAGTTCAATATGTTAGACTGGTAGCTCCAACACAGCAAGGCCAAACTACAGGTAGGAGAAACAAAATAGGTTAGACAGTTTCATTTTTGAAGCAAGAGCCACGATTTAGTTTTAATCTGTTGCTTCATTTCTTGATTTCAAGCTGAAATATAAGTTTGTCAGTCAGTCAATATGAAGAAAATAGGGCAAACACTACATGACACACTTTCAGAATCATAATAGAAATGCTTGTTTGGTCTCAGCTTTTGATTTTTGATTTTTACAATATTGCTATGTTGCATTTGTCTCCTAAACTTGTACTTATATTACCCCTGCTCTGAATGGAGGGCATATTGTCTTGTTTTTGCCCATCTGTCCCATAAAATTTTTTTATTGCATTTTTCTCAGGAACTTGAACTTCAAATCAGAGCTTCCTAAAATTTGGTATCAAGCTTCATTTGAGCATGCTTTACTGCATGTATGTGATATATTTTCAGATTCATCGCTAATTACGGTTTAATGAAGTTAAAAATATTTTTCATGAACACTGATTTGCATATTTAAACAATGTTCTATGAAAGAATATACAAACTGTCTTCAACATCAATGCTTTCACCTCCTTTACAAGAAATATATTGTTTATGTATTTTAGCTAAATTACTTACAAATGAAAAATTCAGTTTCATCAATTGATAAATAAGTGATGAAACACCAAAGCTCTTCATATTTAAGAGATAACTATTGTATTTAAAGCTTTGTTGACTTCCATCGGTAGTTTTGCTGTCACATATTGATTTTACCTGGTGACGCATAGCGGAGACATGTAAACAGATATTTGCGACAGTAAATCTTCTGATTGACTCCCACAAACCTTCAAATACAATACAGTTATCTCTGCTTTATAAACAAATCATTCTATTTTGGTCATTATGTTGGTGTAAAATTTTCATTAAACAGAAATTCAGCAAATTATGTTATCTTCTTTGGCATCTAAACTAGGCATGCTTCTGGTGTTAAATGTAAAATGGGGTGTTTTCTGGATTCTTGTCTGTCTTTGAATGTAACAAAATTTGATAAAAAGAAGATTTCTAGGTGCAAAATGTGGGTTTTTTTGCTTATTGTTGGAGAAATTATATGTCAATACATTCCAGAATTCAAAATGTCGGCTTCCCTTAGTCATCAGATCAGAACCTTTGATACAAAATAATTGCTTTAGAAAATATTGGAGTCTCGTGTTGATACAGGTGTGATAAAGAAAAAGCCATATTATATACCCTGATCAAGGATTCATATTACTAAAAGTATTCATTCTTGCCTCAACAGTCAAAGAGGATGTTTTTATACGTCCGTTTACAGGACGTATTATGGTATACTGTTGTCCGTCGTCAACATGTCGGACAATAACTCAAAAACGCTTAAACCAATTTGCATGAAACTTTGGTGAATTGTTTATATCTATTGACGTGAGCTCCCTTTCAATTTTTATAAATTTTGGATTTTACGTTTCCGATTTATGGGGTTTTATTCATTAAAAAAGGGGGATTTTCCAGTTTCAGACAATAACTCAAAAATGCTTCGAGCAGTTTTCATGAAACTTTGGTGAATTGTTTATATCTATTGAGGTTAGCTCCCTTTTAATTTTTATAAATTTTAGATTTTACATTTCTGAGTTATGGGGTTTTATTCATTAAAAAAAGGGGATTTTTCAGTTCTCGGACAATAACTCAAAAGTTCTTTGAGCAGTTTTCATGAAACTTTGATGACTGGTTTATATCTATTAAAATAACCTCCCTTTAGTTTTTATACGACCGCAAAAATTGCGGTCGTATATTGGTATGGCGTTTGGCGTCGTTGTCGTCCGAAGACACATTGGTTTTCGCACAATAACTTTAGTTTAAGTGAATGGATCTCTATGAAATTTTACTATAAGGTTCAATACCACAAAAGGAAGGTTGGGATTGATTTTGGGGGTTATGGTACCAACAGTTAAGGAATTAGGGGCTAAAAAGGGGACAAAAATAAGCATTTTTGTAACTTCCAGACAATAACTTGTGTTTAAGTGTATGGATCTCTCTGAAATTATACCACAAGTTACCATACCACAAAGGGATGGTTAGGATTGGCTTTGGGGGGTTATGGCTCAAACTGTTTAGGAATTAGGGGCAAAAAAGGGGGAAAAAACAAGGGTTTCCTGGTAAATGGACAATTTAAAAGCAGTGTAAGGGAGGTTGTTGGATTACCTCCTTTACACTGCTTTTAAATTATCTATTTAAGACTTTTATGATGAAATTATATTGGTAATTATGGTTCCAAACTCCATTGGAAATTTGAATTGAGATTATGACCATATCTTGAGGGAAAGATTTTTTTTTTGTTTTTTGGAAAAGGGAAGGGGGGGGGGGGGTAAAAAAGAAATTGGGGGGGGCAATTTTTTTTTTCATTTCAGATTTCAGAAATTAAAAAGAAAATTTCTTCAAGTATCTTTTTTTTTTGCAAAAAAAATAATTGGGGGAGGGGTCAATACGCAACAGCATATGTGTATTTCACAAAAGCAAAAAATAAGGGGGGTTAATTTGTTGTTGTTGTTGTTGTTGTTTGGGGGGGGGGGGGGGGGGGTCAATTCGCAACAGCATAGTGTATTGCACAAAAGCAAAAAATTGAATATAAATTCAAATCATATAACCAATTCTAAGTTCTTTGACTACAGTTATTCGGTGTCAGAAACCTATTATGTGTCAAATATTTAATTACAATCCAAATTCAGACCTGTATCAAGCGTGAATATTGTGTCCATTTTTGCCCCAACTGATTAGGGTTGGACCTCTGAGGTCATATCAATCTGTGCTCAGCGAAGCAATATATTTTTATAAATGTCTGATATGACATTGAAGAGTTATGGAACTTCATTCTTTGAAAAAGTGACAGTGTATCAAGCACTCATGGCACAGCTCTTTATTTTCACATTCCATGACATAATACAGATTAAGGGTTTAATAAAGCCTTTGCAATGGTGATCGATATGAGTTACATGACATCATACAGTTTAGGGGTTTGATAAAGACTTTGCAACAGTGACTATCTATTTCATCAAGGATGGCTGATACAGCATGATAGCACATACACTTTTCTTGTATTTACTACTATAAGTATATAATAAAACATAAAACTAAATGAAAGTTCATTCTTTTGTAAACCCTGGCACAAAATTTGATTGGTTAACTGATCAAAGTACATTCAAATATGTTATTCAGAAAAAAATAATAAAAATATGTATTAACATACCTATTGAATCAAGAAAATGATTGTGATACATTGTAACCTTGATTAATTTTTCTCTCATGAACTTTTGATGTGAAACATTGTAATCATGACTAATTTTTCTCTCATGTACTATTGATGTGTACTATTGTAGGTATTAAGACATCTTTGGCATCATTAGTCCAAGGTAAACAGATTTTTACCACAAGTGGTGCACATCCTTTGACCATACAACAAGCAGGAGGACAACAGATGAAGATTACATTACCAGTTCAAAGTAACCATCCTGTAAGTGTTTTCCAACAGTGTGCAATCGAAAATAAGTAAATAGCCATTTTACGGTAAAGCAGTATATCTCAATTACATAAATGTACAGTATTTTTTAGAACAAATAGGTTTTTGTCGAACGAGTTGCAGAGGGTATAATGTTTTTGACCGTCCGTCCGTCTGTCAGTCCGTCAGTCCTGTTTCTTGTCATCGCAACTCCTCTCAAACCACACAACAGAATTTCACGAAACCTTTTCAGATAATAAGGACATACTACGTAGATGTGCATATTGACAGGAATTATGATTCAATTTTGTTTTCTGATACAATTTTTGTCTCGCCTTGACGGAGTCAAAAAGCGAGACATAGGTATGCTGTTTCCGGCGTCGGCTAAGGCGGCGGCGGCATCAACAATGTATTAATTTGTGATTAGGTCTAGTTCATGGTGAACCACTAGTGGTAGGTCAATGATATTTGGTATGCAGTTGTATTAGCATTGGCACATCTCATTAACATGGAGATTATTTGGCCCCGCCCCCTCAGTCAAGGTCTTTTGACTGAAACTTTTCATAGTTTACATGTATTAGTTTGTGATTAGGTCAATTTATGGGGAACCACTAGTGGTAGGTCAATGATATTTGGTATGCAGTTGTATAAGCATTGGCATATCTCATTTCCATGGAGATTATTTGGATCTGCCCCCTTAGTCATGGTCTATAGACTTTGAAAATTTTGCTAAGTTAACGTGTATTTGTTTGTGATTAGGTCAGTTCAAGGGGAACCATTAGTGGTAGACCAATGTGAATTGGTGTTCAGTTGTATAAGCATTAGCACACCTCATTTCCATGGAGAATATCTGGCCCCACCCCCTCAGTCATGGTCTATTTACTTTGAAACTTTTGCTTAGTTACGTGTATTAGTTTGTGATTAGATCAGTTTAAGATGAACTGCTAATGTTAAGTCAATGATATTTGGTATGCAAATTTATTGGCATTTGCAAGTATCATTTCCATGGAAATTATATAGCCCCACCACTGATCATGGTTCATTGACTTTGAAACTTTTACATAGTTTACAAGTTAATGTTTTGTGTTTAGGTTTGTTTAAAGGGAACGACTTATAATAAGTCAATGGTATTTGGTATGCAGTTGTATTAGCATTGGCACATCTCATTCCATGGAGATTGTTTAGCCATGTACCTTCAGTCATGGTTCATCGACTTTGAATAATTGCATAACTTGCATGTTAAAGTATTTGCTGTTTTAATTTCAACATTTGCATTATCAAAATTACAAAAAGGCGAGACATATCTCTGTGATAACAGTTTATTTTTTCTTACACTTATTTTATTTCTCCAATGACAATGTGGGGACGTGGGGTATGTGAGCACACTCATTAAGGTTCTTCAATGATTTATATAAAATATCCAATCTTGACCAAACATTGTTTTATTTTGCTATAAAATTTTAACCATTTTGTTATCAGAAATGAATTTCTGTCAAGATTTTTGAAAAAAATGGTTTGTCCTGATGCTGAAAAGAGAATAATGGGTACTTAAATGTACAGTTTTTTTGTATAAAATTAAAGAATACAAAAAATTATGAGCTTGGGGTCGTAAACTTGTCATAAAATTGTTGCCAGGTAAATTTATTTTTTTTTTTTTTTTTTTTTTTTTCACTTTTACAGATTTAAGTGATGAAATGGATCAAAAATACTTTGAAATTTCTTTCGTAAATGTCGAAAATAATGAGCACTTGTGAAATCGCTGATGAACTTACTTCTTATGCATACAATTGACTTTGTAATGTTTTCTTTATTTCTAGAGACCTGTTATAGCTTCAAGTAATACACAGACAGTACAAAGAATACTGTTACCTGCTGGCCCAAATCAGTTGCAATTACGAGCAGTACCTTCTACCTTAGCTCAGATACAAACTAGTGGAGTGTCATCACTAAGTAATCTCCCTCCAGGAACAACTATTCTGTCCTCGGGTAATGCTGGTTCTGGACAAGGATTTGCCTTGGTACCTACAATGTTATCACAGGTGTGTATTAATCAGTACTGTTTATCATTTCCTATTGTTAATTATCCATTTTTAGCTCACCTGGCCCAAAGGGCCAAGTGAGCTTTTCTCATCACTTGGCGTCCGTCGTCGTCCGTTAACTTTTACAAAAATCTTCTCCTCTGAAACCACTGGGCCAAATTTAACTAAACTTGGCCACAATCATCATTGGGGTATCTAGTTTAAAAAATGTGTCAGGTGACCCGGCCAACCAACTAAGATGGTCACCATGGCTAAAAATAGAACATAGGGGTAAAATGTAGATTTTGGCTTATATCTCTGAAACCAAAGCATTTAGAGCAAATCTGACACAGAGTAATATTGTTTATCAGGTCAAGATCTATCTGCCTTGAAATTTTCAGATGAATGGGACAACTTGTTATTGGGTTGCTCCCCCTGAATTGGTAATTTTAAGGAAATTATGCCGTTTTTGGTTATTATCTTGAATATTATTATAGATAGAGATAAACTGTAAACAGCAATAATGTTCAGCAAAGTAAGATCTACAAATAAGTCATCATAACCAAAATTGTCAGTCGACCCCTTTAGGAGTTATTGCCCTTTATAGTCAATTTTTAACAATTTTTCGTAATTTTTTTTTAATCATTTACAAAAATCTTCTTCTCTGAAACTACTGAGACAAATTTAACCATACTTGGCCATAATCATTATTAGGGTATCTTGTTTAAAAAAAAATTCTGATGACCCCGCCTTCCAACCATCATGGCCGACAAGGTTAAAAATAGAACATAGGAGTAAAATGCAGTTTTTGGTTTATATCTCTGAAACTTAAGCATTTAGAGCAAATCTGACAGGTGGCAAAATGTTCATCAGATTTAGATTTATCTGCCCTGAAATTTTCAGACGAATCCGACAACCCGTTGTTGGGTTGCTGCCCCTGAGTTAGTAATTTTACAGAAATTTTGCAGTTTTTTGTTATTATCTTAGATATCATTATAATATCTAATATCTAATACTATTAATTATGATTTTAACCTTATTTTACATGATTTCCAAAGCATCAGTAAATACAGGTGAGCGACACAGGCTCTTGAGAGCCTCTAGTTAGATGGTGAAGTTCCTTTGTCACCATCTCATGGTGTTTATATATCTCAACTTGTTCGATTTGCTCGTGTATGTAACAACGTATTTGATTTTAACGAAAGAAATCTATGTATTACTGAAAAATTATTACACCAGGGTTTTCGATATCACAAACTAGTCAAAACATTTACTAAATTTTATCATCGGTACAAGGACATTATTCGTAAATATAAATCAACATGCAGACATCTTATACGTTCAGGTATTTCACATCCAATCTTTTATGGTAATATTCTTTACAAAGCACAAAAATGTCGTCATTCACCTCACAAGCTAACCAAACCTTTAAACAGACTTATTAAGAAGGGATATAGTTACGATACTGTTGTCAGGTCATTAAAGATGGCATATTTTAGTTTTAATATTGATTCACTCATAGGGTATTTGCATCGGAAATAAACACATGTATTCTAAAATCAGTTGTTGGCATGATACAGGTTATGGTCTTCTCATATATTTTATGATGGTATGATACTAAACCCCTAAAAGGAGGGATTGTGCTTGACTTTCATATGATGAAGACATAATCTTTCAATCAGTTTAATTGAGGTCTGGAGCTGGCATGTCAGTAACTGCTAGTAGTCCTTTGTTAATTTATGTATCATTGTCATTTTGCTTAGTTTCTTTTGTTACCTATTCTGACATTGGACTCGGACTTCTTTTAAACTGAGTTTTACTGTGCGTATTGCTGTGTGTTTGTTTTTTCTACATTGGCTAGAGGTATAGGGAAGGGTTGAGATCTCACAAAACATGTTTAACCCTGCCACATTTTTGCGCCTGTCTCATGTCGGGAGCCTCTGGCCTATGTTAGTCTTGTATGATTTTTGTCGAGCCTTTGACTTTAGTCGAAAAAGCGAGACATAGCGATCCTACATTCCGTTGTCGTCGTTGTTGGCGGCGTCCACAAATATTCACTCTGTGGTTAAAGTTTTTGAAATTTTAATAACTTTCTTAAACTATCCTGGATTTCTACCAAACTTGGACAGAAGCTTGTTTATGATCATAAGATAGTATCCAGAAGTAAATTTTGTAAAAATAAAATTCCTGTTTTTCCGTTTTTTATTTGTAAATGGACTTAGTTTTTTGCCGGGAAACATTACATTCACTCTGTGGTTAAAGTTTTTAAAATTTTAATAACTTTCTTAAACTATCCTGGATTTGTACCAAACTTGGACAGAAGCTTGTTTATGATCATAATATATATAGTATGCAGAAGTAAATTTGTTAAAAAAAAATTTCATTTTTTCCGTATTTTACTTATAAATGGACTTAATTTTTCTGCCAGGAAACAATACATTCACTCTGTAGTTAAAGTTTTTAAAATTTTAATAACTTTCTTAAACTATCCTGAATTTGTACCAAACTTGGACAGAAGCTTGTTTATGATCAAAAGCTAGTATCTAGAAGGAAATTTTGTTAAAATTTTGTACCTGTTTATCCGTTTTTACTTATAAATGGACTTAGTTTTTCTTCCAGTTAACATTAAATACAGTCTGCAGTTAACATTTATTAGATTCATAAACTATCCTGGATTTATACTAAACTTTGACAGAAGTTTCTTACAATCAAAAGATAGTACTTATCTAAAGGAATATTTTTATTAATTTTTTTCCCTCATTTTTGTTGAGCCTGCGATTAACAGCAAAAGTAGGCGAGACACTGGGTTCCGTGGAACCCTCACAAATTTTTAATTTTAGTTCATTTATATGTTTTGGAGTTTAGTATGATGACCATTATCACTGAACTAGTACACATTTTTGTTTAGGAGCTAGCTGAAGCACGCCTCCGGGTGCGGGGTTTTCTCGCTGTGTTGAAGACCCATTGGTGGCCTTCAGCTGTATTCTGCTGTCTGGTTGGATTGTTGTCTCTTTGACACATTCCCCATTTCCATTCTCAATTTTATTATCATTCTCTTAGTTACGGTAGTTGATAAGAGTCTCACAGTTAACCATATATTGCAAAACAGTACAAAAATATGATATTGGGTTTTAGTTTCATTAATCCCCATAATGATGTATAGTATAACTATCTACATTTATTTATATGAGAATCTATCAAACTACACTTAACAATGATTGTCAAACAGCCAGTTTTGCATTAAGGTCTGGGTACTTGCTAAGAAGTATATGATATTAACCTGTTAGTCAGTCATTTCTCCCAATACTTTATATAGGATTGCAACCACATTTAGATATATGGTAAAATAAAAAGAGAGGAAGATCATTTTTGAATTTGAGGTCACTTCCACCAAGCTTTAGTTCTAACAAATTTGTGGAGAAAGTGGTTTCTGGTGCTAAATAACAGGATTGCAACCATACTTTGAATTATGGTCACATTTGATAAGCAGGAAGATCCTTGTCAATTTAGAAGTCACTGCATCCAAGGTCAAGGTTGAAAGTTACTGGAAACATGAGAAATAAACTGAAATTTATGCAGGAAACAGGTTTCCTGATGCTATATTAAATACTAAATATGGAATTGCAACCTGACTTGGAAATATGGTCACATATGATTAGAGAAAGATCCTTGTAGACTTTGAAGTCACTAGGTCAAACTTTTTAAAATAAGATTTGTGTAGAACATCTTTACTGTCTGAAATCATAAAAGAAAAGAATCATGTCTTAAAGTAAACAGAAAAAAACTACTGTGGATTCATTATTATTAGTTGTAGATCAAATTTTGTGGAACTCCTGACAAAAAGTGAACCACGAATTTAAATGTTTAACGAAGTACAAATTTTCCATAAATATAAAAAGAAGATGTGGTAAGATTGCCAATGAGACAACTCTCCACAGGAGACCAAATGACACAGAAGCTTGTAAATATGACCTAAACAAAACCATGAAATCAAATATCCATGAAATACAATGATTCTTCAATCCAAGAAAATTGGTACCCATGAAAATAAATGAATCCACAGTATGTCATCAGATCATAATAAACTTTTTCCATTTACATTGGGGGTTTTGGGTATGTGAGCTTGCTCACTAGATGTTCTTTAATCGATACTGCCATGATTATTGATTACTGATGATTTTTATTAACATTCATATTTGACTTTTATCAGATGGCTCAGCAGCAGCAACAGGCAACAGTACAAGTGAGACCAATGACTTCCCAGGCAACAGTAATAGCACAACCATTACAGAATAGACAAGAGTTTATACCTATAGCTAGTAATAACCCAGTCCTTAGTGCTTCAGTGGCTAATTCAACGAGAAATAACAATAGTGAGGGGTATGTGAATAATAAAGTACATCCTGTTCTAAGATTAAATGGATTAAAAAGTAATTGAATTTCTAATTGTTGCCAATGCTGCTTAGTTATAAATAAATATATATGTTTTAGGACTAAATCTTTTCACCAACCTATTTCAGAGTCTTCATTGTGCATGGCTTTTTGTTTTCAGCATTTATAGAGCTGAAAGGAAAGATAATTCTATGTTCTGAAACTACAATTAACGTTTAACAAACTGTCATTTTTGCAGAGTTGAATTGACTTGTTGAACTTGGTTCTACTAAGGAATGGTAAATGCTTCAGTAGCAACTATTTCTCTCAGAATATTATACCTAAGGATAAATATGATGTTGAAATGAAATAATAGGTTTGATATAATTATATAAGGTTATTGTTTGTATTGCAGAGCAATTGAACCAACAGGTGCAAGACCTAGGAAACCATGTAACTGTACAAAGTCACAATGCTTAAAATTGTAAGTTTACCTAAATTGAAAAGATTACTTGAAGAAGATAGTTTTTGTTTCACCTTTTCTGCTGGTGGCATCAACAATTGTTAAGTTTTCTGCTTAAGTCAGTTTGATAGCAACAACTTGTGACAGGTCAATGATATTTTCTATAAAGTAGCATTAATATCAGAACATAACAGTTTGATGACTTTTGGGACCTTGCCCCCCCATAGGTCATGGTCCAGTGGCTTTCAATTAATTACCAACTTTCAATGTTAAGTTTTTTTAAGTAAGTTTGATAGGAACTACTTATAATAGACAATGATATTTTGTTGCCTGAACAGGTAAATTTCAGCTATCAAACATCTAATTAACCTGGATTGTAAAGAGGGGGTATTAAAGTAGGATTTGATTTGATAGTACTTATTCATCATGTGACTTTTAAGACTGGAAATTTGTGGCTGTAGGCAAAAGGTCAGGTCTAAAAGATCCCATAAACTTCAATTTTTTTAATTATGTTAAAATGCCAAACCCAGGGGCACTCTGGCTTCCTCCACCAATAAAAACTGAATGCCATGAAATAGCACAAAAGTGCTGAAAGTGGCATTAAACTCCAATCAATCAATCTTTTAAGTTTATGTCAGTAAAATATTAACATATAAAAATAAGGAGATGAGGTATGATTGCCAATAAAACAACTATCCACCAAAGTTCAAATAAAGTGGATGAAAGCAATTATAGGCAATATAGTCTCAGATTAGTTTATACAACATGTACAAACATCACACAGCTAACATCTTGCAAGAAAAGAAAATGGAACTTCCTTCCTACCTACCCTATTTTTTTTAAAGGATGTAACCTTAAACAGACATATATTTATTTTTTGCCTAAAGAGATATGGAATGATTAGATAAGACAACTATCTATTGAAGACCAAAGGAAAAGAATGTTGACAACTACAGGTCACTGTATGGCCTACAACAATGAGCAAAACTCTTTTAGTTACAGTATTAAGCTTTAAAAGGCCCAGCATTAACAAAATGTCAAATAATTCAAACCACTTCGGTGGTCTCGTGGTAGCATGTTCGCCTCGAGTGCGAGAGGTTGTGGGTTCAAACCCCAGCCGTTTCAAACCAAAGACTTTAAAATTGGTAATATGCTGCTTCTCCGCCAAGCACGCGGCATTAAGGAGTAACAGCAAAGACTGGTCAGCTTGTAGTCAGAATAATGTGTCCAGGTAAGGTGATAGTCTTCCTGTGGACTGTTACTTTGTGAACTAGCACATTAAAAATCCGGCTCAGCATGTCGGTCTTGTACAAAGCAGGGTTAATATTCATATAACATTAACATGTTCTCGTCCTGAATATGCATATTAATTTGCCTTTGGACATTAAGCAGCCATCCATCATCATCATCATCATCATCAAATAATTCAAAAAAGTAAACCAGGGGTCAGTAGTGAAACAAAACAACAGTAAATCAATCTAAAAATCAGTTGGAACATGTATGATTTAAAACTCTTTTCAAGAATCCATACCAATGTACTCCATATTTATTTTATATTATATTTTGTTTTTTACAGATATTGTGACTGTTTTGCTAATGGGGAATTTTGCCATAATTGTAACTGTACTAATTGTGCCAATAACCTTATACATGAAGAAGAACGGTCAAGAGCTATTAAATCGTGTCTGGATAGGAATCCTATGGCATTTCATCCAAAAATAGGTGAGGGAATATAAGCATGACAGTGAAATTACAGCTGTTCTCATTATAGAGATATTCATCTTTTGAATTAGAAACACAGAATATATGAAGATTATCTGGCCCTACCACATCAGTCATGGTCCATGGACTTTGAACATTTTTCATACTTTACATATTAAATTGTTCCATTTAAATTTTAACATTTGCATTATGCTATTCATATAACATACAGGCAAGACATATCTCTGCGTCAACAGTTTATTGCTATTTACAGGTAAAGGACAGATAGGTAATGGTAACAGACGACATAATAAAGGGTGTAATTGTAAACGGTCAGGTTGTCTGAAAAATTACTGTGAATGTTATGAGGTAAGTACTATAGGCTTAGTTAGATCAGGTTGTCTAAAAAGTTACTGTTCATGTTATTGAGTAGGTAATGTGGGCATAGTTAAGTCAAGTTGTTTGTAAAACTATTGTGAATATTATGTTATCACGTTTCTTATGCAATGCCATAAGTAATGTGGAAATATCCTTTGACTGCAGTGTTGTATTGTTACTGCTTCTGACAATCAGATGTATTCAACTAGATGTGGGTATACAGCAATCAGACACCAGCCCAACAACATAAAAAATCAAAAGAAATGAAACACTAATTTTCATCTCAAGCATTTGTCATTTTCAATGAAAAACTTGATACAACACATTGTTTTCACTGTATAAATCTAACCACACTTGTTATATTGTAAAAAGTTTTTCAGGAGTACCATATAGTGGGTTATTTTCGCGAGGTTTTTATTTTTCGCTTATTTTGGCGGGTAAAGGAAAATCACGAAAATTTAATTCCACGAAAAATTTAGGCATATGTTCGGGACTTTCTAATAACTAAAGCATTTTGTAAACGATCTATTTTTTTCCAGGTCGACGGGTCAATGACAGTTTATGATAATTTGAACAACATAAATGCCAAAGGGTATTATTCACATATACTTTATAAAAATTATAAAATGGCTGTCAGGTGTTAATCAATTGGTGTCAAATAATATAAGAGTGTAAGGTACTCTGTCAGGTATTTAACCCTTATTAATTAGTGTCAAATTATATAACAGTTGCAAGTCACTCTTGATAATTTTATAATCTAATTAGTACATCAATTTCATAACAAATAGACCGTAACATTTACAAGAAGTTTGTACACCTCTGACAAATATCTAAGTACCGGTATTCTATTGATTTACTGTGTCAAAATGTAATCAATAAATAAGACGTCATGCAGGTAAAACAATCATTTAGCCATAACAATAGACGCTTGTTTGTCAATTTTTACAACTTTTTAATGGCAACCATTTCAGTATCCGTCAAAATATTTAATAGGAATTGAGGATTAGGCCAAAATAAAAACCGCCATATTTTTCGTATACTTTGTTGCCCCCGCGAAAAAAACCCGCTATCGATATTATATCAAAACTGTGTCAGATGAAAACTTGTTAAAATTCAATCTCAGACACAGAAATGTCATACTTTAAAAATAGACCACTTTCGAATTTGTGCACTTTCCCATAAAATTCCTATGTCACAATGCTTACGTTATTACGTCACAGTAAGAAACCAATTGTTCAATGACGTTGTTAATGCCGATTGATCTGGGGTCAACTGGTGTAGCTTATTCATAAAAACAACTAGAAATTGGTGTATGACTACATTAAAACAATGTATTAAAAATCAGAATATTGTTCAGTAAGATTTATCTGAAAGATGTTAAGATATTTGATATCATTAAACAACTGTCATGTTAAGAAGGTGAGCTTTCAGAAAACCAGTCTTTAAGTAGTTCCCTTGCCTTATATTTAGTAAACTTCCATCTTTTGATTCCCTCTAGAAAAAAATATTTATGTTTATCTACTTTTTTCTTTTCAGGCAAAAATTATGTGTTCTAATGCTTGTAAATGTTTTGGTTGTAAAAACTTTGAAGAGAGTCCAGAACGAAGGACATTAATGCATTTAGCCGATGCTGCTGAAGTTAGGGTACAACAACAAACTGCAGCCAAAACGAAACTGTCTTCACAAATATCAGGAGTGCCATCCAAACCACCTACATCAACAGCTACAGGAGAAAGGTACAGAAAGGTTATCTCAAGATAGAACAGTTTCAATGTAAAGATGAAGGCAATTTTTTAAGAATTTCAGATCTCCTTTACTAGAAGTTTAGATTTAGTGTTGGTAAAACGTTATTTATGTCATCTGTGTATGTTAAAGGGTAATAACACTAGCATTATCCTACCCAAGAAACCCTCTTTTTCCAGTGGCTGTCCAAATTTCCCAGCCTTCCTACCAGTTGACTATTTCAGAATTGTTTAATTTGATCTTGTCCTCAATATATGTGTGAAATATTTCCCACTGAGCATTAAGCAATCAACAATCAGTTACTCTTCAATACATTATTACTCAATATGAGTGCAGTACACCTATAGAAGTATTATTATAACCCCACTAATAGAGTGAATTGACCTTGTCCATCTGTTTGTCCTTCCAAAACTTCTGTTACTTAATTCTCAGCTTCTTGAACTTTAAAATGTTGAGCTGTTCAGTTTTAAAGATTTTCAAATTTAAAAGGCAGTCATTACCTTAGTTTGCAAAACTTTGAATATTTATTAAATATACATGGGGGAATTTTTTGTATGACATTGCAAGGAACATGTTGTTGTCCCACATGCAACATGGTGTGGGGGACATAGAAATACTGGGTTTCTCTTTTACTTCCTCCTATCCATCCAATCTTGTAAGCTCTTTTACATGTACACAGTCCAAATCTGTATGAAATTTAAATCAAAGGTTTATATCAGCAATGTCTAGAATGAGTTCGTAAATCAGTGTCAATCAACTATTTGTAAAGGCGTTTATGCCCTTGAAAATGTGAAATTATATGAAAAAATTGCATTGTAAGCACTCTCAAGACTACATTTCTTGTAGAATTATGAAATTTATATAAAGGATTACATCAGTATTATCTGGATCAAATTTGAAAATCCGTGCTGAATAATTATTTTTACAGGAGTTATGTTTTTTGAAATGTTAGTTTAAAGCATTTTACGCACTCTCACATCTACATTTCATGTTGGATTTTTGTGAAACAATTTCAACAAAATCTTGGAAGAGTTTGAAAATCAGCACCAATCAACTATTTTAAGAGGAGTTATGCCCCTTTGAAATATAGATTGAATGGAAAATAATATTGTTGGCAAGGGTATTAATGAAAAAATTTTCAAAGAACAAAAAAAAAATTGGAAGTAAGTACCCTTTGACTCATCGTCCTAGGATATTGGAATGCTCTTCTTTATATTCAACATGTTTGACTTTTTTAGATTACCGTACACCTTTATAACAAGTGAAGTTGCAGAAGCTACATGTGCCTGTTTGTTAGCACAAGCTGAGGAGTCAGAACGAATGAAGATGCCACCTGTTGTACAGGAGCGTATGGTGATAGAGGAATTTGGACGATGTTTGTTACAGATCATAGAATCAGCTAATAAAACCAAAGGTATATCCCTATTTTAGAATGTATAAAGATGACTTTATTTGTATAAAGATTCTTGGAAGTATAAGTAATGATGAGTATGATATTGTATAAATTTTCTGATATGGCTCTCTATTCGAATAATCATTTATTGTTACATTGACTTTCAATTTGTACAAATTTGTTCTATGGTTTAACTTTTTAACAATTGAAAAAAGTACAGAAAGCCTTTTTTTCATTTTGTACATCAGTTCATTTCATCAGTTCTGTTCATTACTCTCATTCATTTTCCAGAACTCATCATATTTGCTGAGTAAAAAGGTGAGCTGTGGTTATGTGGTCTGTATTCCTTCCAGACAAACCTTTTATTGTTGAAATTCTCATTTTATAAAGATTTCGTGAGAGTTGACCAAATTGCTATTAATGAAGAGGGTAAACATTGCTTGTTGCATTATTTTTCTGTTCACATTACAAGTTGTCTGAAGGAATATGAATTCATCAGTTGTTGCATGACATTGTTGAGTGGATTTGAATGATATTGCTTTAGGTATTTAGTTTCAATTAGAAAATGTGAAAATCAAGTGCAAGCATGATTTTCTGTTTTATTTAGTTGATTGTAATGTTTACATACTTGTTAATCAATCAGCCATTTTCCTATAACTGGCCCAAATTTTGCCAGTTTGAAGTATTGCCATTACTTGCATTCTGTTAATAATAGGCCCATTCTATTCAATGGATGTGGTAGGATATGAAGCGACTTTTAAAATCTCCCCGCAACCAACATACTTTCTTAGGTTATTTGGCATACACCAAAGGACATAAAACCATTAATGACCCATGACAAAAATAAACCCTCGAAATTTCCCTACCACATATAGTTTAATGGAATAGCCCTAACTTAAATATACCCCACGCAATTTTTGCGTCGGGTATAATGTTTTTGACCCATGCGTCAGTCCTGTTCTTGTCATCGCAACTCCTCTGAAACCACACAATAGAATTTCATGAAACTATAGATAATAAGGACATACTATGTTGATGTGCATATCGACAGGAAATTATGATTCAATTTTTATGTCCGTGTCGTAGCGGAGGGAGCATTAAGTTTTACCCTTGTCCGTCTACGTACATACGTACGTCCCAAAATTGGTTTCCATTCTCTTAACTTTAGTTTGCCTCTACCAAATGTTATGAAACTTATACACAATGCTTATTACCACAAAACACAGATCAAATTTGAATTTTGGGGGCGTCACTTTTACCATTCTAGAGTTATGCCCCTTTACAAATGGAAAAATTGCTGAATTATTTGTTCCCGTTCTCTAATTTAAGTTTGCCTCAACCAAATGTTATGAAACTTATACACAATGCTTATTATCAAAAAACACAGATCAAGATTGAATTTTGATGGCGTCCCTTTAACCGTTCTAGAGTTATGCCCCTTTACAAATGGTAAAATTGCTGAACTATTTGTTTCCGTTCTCTTACTTAAGTTTGCCTCAACCAAATGTTATGAAACTTAAACACAATGCTTATTACCACAAAAAAACAGATCAAGTTTGAATTTTGGTGGCGTCACTTTTACCGTTCTAGAGTTATGCCCCTTTACAAATGGAAAAATTGCTGAAATATTTGTTTCCGCTCTCTAACTTAAGTTTGCCTCAACTAAATGATATGAAACTTATACACAATGCTTATTACCACAAAACTCAGATCAATTTTGAAATTTGGTGGCGTCACTATTACCGTTCTAGAGTTATGCCCCTTTACAAATGGAAAAATTGCTGAATTTTTTGTTTCCGTTCTTTAACTTTAGTTTGCCTCAACCAGATGTTATTACCACAAAACTCAGATCAAGTACAAATTTGGGTAGCGTCACTTTTACAGTTCCTGAGTTATGTCCCTTTATTAGTTATGTGCAAGTGGGGGCATCATCTGTGTCCCATGGACACATTCCCCATTTATTTTTCTAAGAGTTATGCCCCTTTGAACTTATTGGCCTCAATATACTACAGTCTGTCAGTCCTGTTCTTGTCATCGCAACTACTATGTACATATCAACAGGCAATTATGATTCAATTTTTTTCTAGGAGTTATGCCCCTTTGCACTTACTGGCCTCAATATACTACTGCAACAGTTTGTCATTGCAACTCCTCTGAAACTACACAACAGAATTTCATGAAACGTTGTAGATAATAAAGACATATTATGTAGATGTGCATATCGACTTGAAATTATGATTCAATTTTTTTTACAGGAGTTGTGCCCATTTTAACTTAGTATACTACTGCAACAGTTTGTCATAGCAACTCCTCTGAAACCATACAACAGAACTTCATGAAACTTTGTAGATAACAAGGAAATACTATATAGATGTGCATATCGACAGGAAATTATGATTCAATTTTTTAAAAGCGTTTTCTTTTATTGTCATCGTATATGGCCATTTTGTTTATTGTCAAAATAGAGTACACACGTTTTTCATTCTAGAGTTCTTTCAAGATCGAGTAAAAGTATGTGTTTGCTTGATTTTTGTATTGAAAATAAGTAAATTTGATAAAACATTCCTCAAATGCAATATTTAAATGGAAGTTTAATAATTAACCCTTTTACTTAGAAATTTTTATCCTCTAAAGGTTCGTAACAGGCTTCATTTTCGAAGCAGTGATTCAAGAAATTCAGCACCCAGTACCAGCTAATTCTCAATCAGTCTTATTACCAATTTAAAGGGAACCAACACGTTATTTTTTTTTTTTTTTTTTACGAATTAAATTTTGATGTTTTTAAAGAATAAGTATGGGCTCTCTTGCTTGTTTAAATATCAAAATACTTATGTTAATTTAATCGGAGTATCGTATTAGTATAGTTTTTGCAGATCTGTTAAAAGATGTGTTTATTTTCACGTTGTAATTTGTGGTATTAAGATATATCATTACGGGGACTGTTTAACAATGCCTGTTATTTCGTATGGAAACAGTTTTAAAAAAGCGATTTAAGTTTTGACATTTTCTGTAAGCTATACGGCAAATGCTTTTACCAGCGCTATCACGCTTTGATTTTTCTAGAAGTTATGCCCAGTTGAACATAGAATTTTGGCCTCAATATACTACTGCAACAGTTTGTCATTGCAACTACCTTGCATCCACACAACAGAATTTCATGAAACTTGGCAGATAATTAGGACAAACTATGTAGATGTGCATATTGACAGGAAATTATGATTCAATTATTTTCTAGGAGTTATCCCCTTTGAAATAGAATTTTGGTCTATGTATACTACTGCAATAGTTTGTCATGGCAACTCCTGAATACACACAGAATTTCACGAAACTTTGTAGATGATAAGGACATAATATGTTTATGTGCTTATCGCAAAGAAATATTTATCAGTTGACTTTTGTAGGAGTTAAGAGTCTATGAACTTATGAATCTAGTGAGATTTTGTTTGCCCAGTGACAATGTGGGGGCGTGGGGTATGTGTGCGTGCTCCCAAAGGTTCTTTCATTATATGGGGGTATACTGTTTTACCTGTGTCTGTCCATCCGTCAGTCCGTCCGTCCCATGAATATTTTTCGTCGCATCTTTCTCAGGAACTTCATTACAAGGATTTCTTTAATTTGGTTTCAGGGTTTATATGAGTCAGCTATACAGTATGATGTGTATTTAGATTCATCACTCAACAATTTCCTGTTTACTTTATACTTTTAGCGGGGCAGGGGTATCATTAGTGAACAGTAGCTGACAGATTCACTTGTTTTATAATATTTTGTTCAATTTGTTAAGTTGAATATGCTATATTGTGTTTTTTAACTGAATTTTGTGAATAAAATGTTGACAGTTATTGACTGCATCTTTTAGTGTTCGCATGTGGATGTCCCCCTCCTTATTGTGGAATTTTAACAGCATGATATTCCCCAAAATGAAAAATGATGAGCACCATTCTAACATGAGGAATGTTATAGGTACTAATATGTCTTGTTATCAGTCGGTTTTATTGTCCAGTTGAAATTTGCATTCAAGAAACAATTTTGATAGGTCTCTAAAAATTGGTTTCCATAAAGAAAATGGAACGGTCACTCTGATCTACATTGTATGTTTCACTGGTTTTGATTGAATTTTGATACTAAATGACCACGACCATATAACTTGTTGTGTAGGGATGTATCTTTGGTAGTACAGCAGCTTTTCATAAAATGTAGTTCACTTATTGATTTGAAGAATCTTTCCAACATTCTATTTTTTTCTGTTTATTTAGGCAGTTGTCAAAAGCATTTACTGAACAAATTGCATGATTTAGAATAGTTTTAATTTGAATGACTTGTATGTTCAATAACTTGAATATATGCAATAAAAGGAATATTTAAAAAAAAAACTCAAAAAATATCTCTATTCATTTAAGTTTTATGATTTTTCTTGAATATTTCAAAAGTTAAAATTTCTGGTACTTATTAAGTGGGCTTAAATGAGACCGAAATATCGTGAATGCTTCATATTTTCAAAGTACATATTCATCTTGACCTAATCCAAGGTTAATTTTAACTGTATCATATGTCCTTAAATTTTACATTTCATTACTTTTTGTCTCGCCTGGGACGAAAGTCGCAGTATGTGAGACTTGGGTATTACTATATTTGTATGAAGCTTTATATTTCAGAAGCTAGAAGACCTGGATGCTTCATATCTTGTATGCAGATACCTTATGTTAAGAAGTTTCTGTCTGTCATATGTCCATCGTCCTAGACCTCATTTTCATGGTTCATCGACTGCTTGAAAAAAAAATTGAGTTTTTTGTTATATGTATTTCTCATTTATTATGAGTAATAAGATAACTATATTTGGTATATGGGTTCCTTGCAACATCTACATGTTCTCCAGACAGGGTTCACCTGACCTCTACCTCATTTCATGTATCAGTGTTTAAGGTTAAAGTTACATGAATAGGTCAGTTTCTCAAATACTATAAGTAGATGGTCAACTAAATGTGGTGTATGGAATGATTGTAATGGGTACATGTCAGTCTGGCAGGTTTTATCTGACCTTGACCTCATTTTCATGGTTCATTGGTCAATGTTAAGTTTTAGTGTTTTGGTCTGTTTTTTTCAAATACCATAAGCAATAGGTCAACTATATTTGGTGTATGGAATGATTGTAAGGTGTACATGTCTGTCTGGTAGATATCATCTGACCTCATTTTCATGGTTCATTGGTCATGATAAGTTTTTATACGACCGCAATTTTTGCAGTTGTATATTGGTATGACGTTGGCGTCGTCGTCGTAGTCGTCCGAAGACACATTGGTTTTCGCACTCTAACTTTAGTTTAAGTGAATGGATCTCTATGAAATTTTACCAAAAGGTTCAATACCACAAAAGGAAGGTTGGGATTGATTTTGGGGGTTATGGTACCAACAGTTAAGGAATTAGGGGCCAAAAAGGGGCCAAAAATAAGCATTTTTGTAACTTCCAGACATAACTTGTGTGTTAGTGTATGGATCTCTCTGACATTGTACCACAAGGTTCCATATCACACAGGGAATGCTTGGATTGATTTTGGGGGTAATTACTTCAAAATATTAGGAATTAGGGGCCAAAAAAGGGGCAAAAACAAGCATTTTTCTAGTTTCATGACAATAACTTGTGTGTAAGTGTATGGATCTTTCTGAAATCGTACTACAAGGTTCTATATCACAAAGGGAAAGCTGGAATTGAGTTTGGGGGTAATTGCCCAAAACATTTAGGAATAAGGGGCCAAAAATAAGCATTTTTCTAGTTTCCAGACAATAACTTGTGTTCAAGTGTATGGATCTCTCTGAAATTGTACTGCAAGGTACCATACCACAAAGGGAAGGCTGGGATTGATTTTGGGGGTTATTGCTTCAAAATTTTAGGAATTAGGGACCAAAAAAAGGGCAAAAAACATTTTTTTCTAGTTTCAGGACAATAACTTGTGTGTAAGTGTATGGATCTTTATGAAATTGTACTACAAGGTTCCATATCACAAAGGGAAAGCTGGGTTTGAGTTTGGGGGTAATTGCCCTAAACGTTTAGGAATTTGGGGCCAAAAAGGGGCAAAAAAACGCATTTTTCTAGTTTCCAGACAATAACTTGTGTTCAAGTGTATGGATCTCTCTGAAATTGTACTGCAGGTACCATACCACAAAGGGAAGGCTGGGATTGAGTTTGGGGGTGATGAATCATAAGGGGGATCAAAAAATTTTGGGGGGGGATTTTTTTTTTCTTTAAAATTTTCCATTTTATATTGTTTATTTCTGATTTATATATAAAAGCAAATAATAATGATATGGTTTGAAAAGGTAAATTAAAAATTCTTAAGTTCTTAGACCACATTCATTCTGTGTCAGAAACCTGTGCTGTGTCAAATATTTAATCACAATCCAAATTCAGTGCTGTATCAAGCTTGAATGTTGTGTCCATACTTGCCCCAACTGTTCAGGGTTCGACCTCTGCGGTCGTATCAAGCTGCGCCCAGTGGAGCATTTTATTGTGTTTTGGTTTGTTTTTCAAATACTAATAGCAGTAGGTCAGCTATATTTGGTGTATGGAATAACTGTAAGGTGTACATGTCTATCTGGCAGGTATAATCTGACCTTGACCCCATTTTCATGGTTCATTGGTCAATGTTAAGTTTTTGTGTTTTGGTCTGTTTTCCAATTACCATAAGCAATAGGCCAACTATATTTGGTGTTTAAAAAAATTGCAAGGTGTATATTTCTGTCTGACAGGATTTATCTGACCTTGATCTCATTCTCATAGATCTTTAAAATGTTAAGTTTATATGATACTTTAAATAAAAAATTATCTTCAAGACTTTCAACATAAAATCAATGGTCAGTTAAGCAGGCGAGACATTTCAGCATGTACACTCTTGTTTCAGATAGTGATCGTGACTTACAATTATGTAATTTAGTGTAAGGAATATAAGAGAATACAAAAAACCTCTCACAAAAAGTAGTCACTTTGACCATATCTTTAGGCTTCATTGCATGATTGATTCTTACTGAGTTTAATATCCAGTTCTTTTTTCAGATATTTGTGATCACATTTCATTCTTTATTTCACTGAAGTTATATTCCATGTCTTTTAACTTTTATTTTTAAGATATAAGGATTATGAAGGTGATTTGGGGAAAAGGTAATTTTTTTAATCCTACATTATCTATTTTTTTTATATAGGTGATGACGAAGAAGAAAGATGATTTCAATGGAAGATATCTGATTGGTTAAGAAATCATGTGATAGAAAGAGTAAAGCTGAATGGAAGGAGGGATAAAAGAAGTCATTATATATATTTACTATGTAATTATATTAGACTGTTTAACCTGGCAGCAGTGTATCTATGCATGTTATCATGTCGTCCATCAATATCATACTTACACCAAAGTAAAGCTTGAAAATAACCCCTACTGCTCACATTCAGAAGTCATTTGATTTTGTGTAGAATGTTAGTGTGTGAAGGCGTGAATGAAATTCTTAATGCTGCATATCTCTTGCTGGTTATCATGTTAAAAAAAAACCAAGCTAGTAGTGAAATATAACATAGCCTTATTACATACATACATTGAAGGCAGAGGAAATGTGTATTGTGTTTTGGATTGGATTGTCTGAGCTATTGTGTAATTTCAATTAGAAATTGTTACTGGATAAATGTTAATAAATATTTTATGATATTGTACATTTTTTTAATTTCAACAAGTAATATTTGTTATTTCATTATAACTGTATAGAATTATTGTAAATAATGTACATAATTGTTAAGTAATAATATATAATTAAATTTTTATCATGTCAAGTTTGCTTCCAAAAGAATGGAAGTAACATAAAATATGTGAGGCATGTTAATGTTTAATTCTTCTTAACTACACAAACTTTATCAATCTGTAGGTTCTGTCTATTTATTGTTTTAATGTGTGCTGTAATAATATAGGGCAATTAGATATTCAGAATGATGGAAATTTGTTTAATTTAGATATCAGATTTTGTTTCAATAATTTCAAATTTTCATGTTCCCAGTTTGCAGTAAAAAAAATTTTTTTTATATGTTGTACATATACAAAATTCAACCAAAAGAAAAACCCTTAGATCTAACGTGATATTATCAACGTGATGAAAACAAATTCTTTTTAGTATCCAAGTAAACCTCTCCTCATTATTTTGTGATTATTAATGAGTTAACTTTCAGGGGCACTAGCTGTCAAATTCATGTTCACCGATTTGACTCAAATTTTCATATTTGATTTATAATAATGTAAAACAATTGTCAAAATTATAAAAAGTCTAAAATAAACATTTTACAGAGCATGGGCTCGATAATATGTAACTTCGTTTCATGTGTATTTTAGTCTTGACGCCATCTAATTAACTATCGAGTTGACCTCTGAACATGTCTGATTGCCATATAAGGGATATATACATAAATATAGATATAAATAAGATATTGAAATCGTGCAATTAGATTTTTCTAGGTCTGTTTAATTTCGTATCATAGATTAAAACTATATGTTAATCGTCATTTTTACCTGTATAAGTATGATTTTTTTGTGGATCGAATCAGTCAATAAAATTATTTACCTTTGTTTCACTTTCAATGTTGACATTCTTTTCCTTTAAATACCTTGACACGCACAATGCATGCGTTATCAATCTCTAGCTAAGGGGTTAAATTAAAGTTCACATGAATACGGATTCAATGAGGTCGAAATATTCACTTGCAAGTGAATAATTCATCATCAATGTTTCTTAGCTTAATTTGACAAAATTGAACCATATTGGCTGCTAAAAGCGAATTATTATTTCACGATTTCACTTTCATTAAGGATTGAACAAAAAAAAATCATACATTGAATTTTTTGTATATCTCATAGCTAGTGCCCTTTTAATGATTTGATTTTCACCATTCTGAAAAATATAATAATGATCCGTTTAATTTATATGACATACATGAGTATAGAAAAGAAGCATAAAGATTTCATCTTGCACACCAATATAAACTCTAAAACAAGATTGCTGAATTTTGGGAAAAGTCTTGTAAAAAGCAGTTTAACTCATAATTTGAAAAAAAAATAAAAATATCCATTAATTTTTATTTATAGATCTGAAAATATTGAACCAACTTTTTTTTCATCATAACCTGTTAAATTCTTAACACGACTTTTAAGTTCTTTACTTTCAGTTATGCCTATCACATTAAGTGATATTATTTCATATTTCATAGCATTTACAAAAACAGTCTTTTTCATTGTTGACATACTTGTAGTTTTAATCATAAACAAAGGGCTTTAGTTTTATCATTACATATAACTTTTACTGCATTTAATTTTAATCTTTAAAATTAAGGATTTTGCTTGTCATGTATGATTTGTATGGTTTTTATTTTATCATGACTGTTTAATTAAAAAGACTAGGTGATTTAGAAAATAAGTTTTCAAATTTTGTAGTACATGTACCTCATTTCTCTCTTCTCTTTCAATCATTTTAAAAATCATTTTCAGTTTAATAGGAGTCATTACAATTACATCATATTTAAAGTTACATCATTGATATATGTATTGTTTAATGTAGTATTGTTTTCTCTTAGGCAGCTTTCAGAATATAGAAATAGTGGGATGTTTCAAAGGTGAATGGAATATTGATATATCAGAAAGATAAAAATTAGTACCACATATATACACATATGTTACATATTAAATACATGTATACACATTTATGTTTATAATATTGAATCAATTTGACCTAAGGGCTATTAGGAAATTAAATGAATGGGGGAAATGGCAAACACCTTTAGGCCATAACCACCCATAATATAAAATTTTCTTTTTTGTTTATGTTTCTAACAAAAATCTAAGGAAAATGCATCCAACTGACAATGAGAACCAGTCGTTCGCCAACCTCTGTCAATTTTGAAACGACCCTAAAGTATTTACTGTTGGCAGTTGAAAATTGATAATTATTGCCCATTACATTTAAATTTTAAGAACTCCCATAAAACAAGAAACAATTCAGACTATTGAATAATGCTTTACTATCCTCTTTTGATTTATGAGATCTGAACATGGTTAAACTTCTGTTGCCTAAATTTACTGATCATACATTGTGAAGTTTTAAAATTAAACATTGCCTTTTGTTAAGCAAAGAAACATATTAGGTAAACTTTTGAATTGAAATTTGTCAATTGTTGGAGTTAAATGCTCTATTTTCTATTTCATGTGTAAATTTTGGTTGAATAAAACTCGACTTAAAGGGGTATTATCGGCCAAATTCATGTCTGCCGAATTGACTCAAACTCTCAAGTTTGATTTATAACATACTAAAATGCATATTAGAATTACAAAAGTCCCACTGGGAAAAATAAACATTGCCTGAAATCGTAAAAAGTATCAACATCTTATTTATGATGGACATGGCCTTTGAAGATTACAGATAGGCATGTGACCCCTATATAGATATAAAAGGATAATAATAAGTAGCATGTTAAATAGTATAATGCTGAGTTTTCTGTTTTTATATCATGGATTCAAAAAAATTAGGTGCATCTCTTTGCCTTTAACCTGTATAAAAATTTTATTTGGTGGGTCCAAAGAGGAAACCAAATCTGTCTTCCTGTTGAAACTTAGATTCATTTTGAATAACTGAACTTGCTAAGTCATACAGGTTGCATGCATATGGATCTAAATGAGGTTGAATTGTTGTCTTGCAAGTCAATAATGTATCAATGAAGTTTTTGGTCTTATTTTGAAAAAAATTTAACCAAAATCAAATGCTTATAATGAATAAAGTTCAATATTCAGTTCTTGTAAATGATTTTCAACTTATTCTGTCAAAATCGTAGCTAACTAAAATTTGGGCAAAATATTTGCTTTAACAATTTGATAATGTCCCATGAGATTATTATGATTTCTATCGACTTTGAGGTGACTTGGTCAAAGGTCAAGTTACAGTATTCATTAATAGACTGGAGTGAGGGCAAACAAATTTTGGATTGAGTGATATCTTTTGAAGCATATGAGAGTTGTGATCTGTTATACCTTTTGAATAAGGCTAGGATTTTTTTTAATTGAATCCCTTATTTGGCTTTGATATGCTGTTTCAATTTTTTCTCGCAAGTTATGTTATTTTAAATGCTTATTGAAGTTTTTGCTTCAAAAAAAAAGGTAAACGGCTAGCACCTCTTCAGAATAATAGGTAGAAGGGACTTCTCTTTTTGAAACTGATGGGGAAATGTGGTGAGACTTAATTGCCTGTTGGCTCATGGTGCTATAATATTTGGGTTTTACAATGATTTATCTTGCCTTTACTACTTTTGTAAAAGAAAACACCTCAAAATTTTATGTGAAATGTTTCCCTTACATGTTGTGGAAACCAATTTTTCTGAAGATAGGTCAGTGTGTAATAACATTGTAACTATTTACCACTTATGCCTTTTGACAGTATATACATGTTGGATTTACTTTTCCTCTATGTGTAGAATCTTTCAATCAAATTTCTATATTTTGTTGTACATATTGTAGACCCTTGTAGATATTGTTATCTAATGTTGTTTGTACAGTTAATCATTGCTCACACTTCACCCTGGGATTGAATTCCCCAGTATGTAGTTATTTCTATCTGTTTTGCATGAATGTATTTTAGAATGGAATCTAGTGTGTTATTGAACATGTGATTTATCTTAACATTGCTTTAGTTGGTATGCGAGTGTGATCATGAAGAAAATTTACTTTTTTAACTACCCGAATATATGATAATATTTTTGTGCTATAATAAAATGATGTACAAAAATAATGTATTAATTGAATTTGAAAACTAATTTTTCTGGCATAAATGCAGAACTTATAGTTTCAATAAAACCATACAGTGTATACACAGAAGTAACAAAGCCCCTGTCAGATACTAGTGTTTATAGAGAATTGTTATTACACTTTCTTATTGTAAAATCTAATATACTGATAGACCACTCAGATTTTCATTTTGATATGGTCTATTTATAAAATTGTATATCAAAATATTTGAAAAACAATATGTTCTGTTTCATGTGCATTCTGCACAATAATTTTTGACTTGATTTACCTTAGAAAAACTTCAATTTATTATTAAAAAAGAGAAAACATGTCTATATTTTTTAGTTTGAAAAAATATCAAGGAAAATTATTTTTGTTTTTCTAGTTTTCTTGTTGATATGCATAATATTAGAATACAGAGTGCACAGTTTTTAATATGACAAGCTCCATAGTGAAGCTTTATTAACCAGGGACTATTAGTAAGGTAATGGAAGTGTGGTTTATGTGCAATATTATAACTGTTGAATGGTATTTCATTTCCTTGCAGCTTGTGTGAAGCAAACAATAAACAATCTCTATAATCTGGCATTTAACTTATTTTTTGTCTAGATTTAATTAACATGGCTGAATAATATCAATTACTGTGGATTCATTATTATTTGAAGGATACCAATTTTCGTGGATTTCAAAATTAAATGTTCAACAAATGACAAATTTTCTATAGGCTTGTATGCAGACTTCGGCAAAACCACAAAATCAAATATCCACGAACATGCAAGTTTTCCTTAATCCACGAAAATTGGTACCCACATAAATAATGAATCCACAGTAACTGACAATCATCCAGATAATGTGTGCTGTTTTTTTATCCGTCAATGAAATGTCACAGAAAAACCGAATTCAGGAAAAATCTCTTATTTGCATGTTGTTTTTTAAGCTTAATTGGCTCTATGGCCATCTCTTCACTTGGATTGTGTGCCACAGACCATTTGATATTATTCCATCATGTTATATCTGTCATCTTATTTTGTTATGAACACTAATCTAAAAGGCTGGAGAAAATAAGACCAAACTTTGGCAGCTACACAAAACTGATTATGATTGCTTAAGTTAAGCTACTGCTTTAGTCTATTGTGTTAACATAAATCTCTGCCTTGACAAACAAAAGTGCAAATGCCAAAATACAGCCTGTTTACTGACCATGATTGTATTTATTTTTAAAGGATTTAAGATTAAGGGTTTACTACTTGTATCACATAAACTTGATATCATTAATTCTCTCTGTAAATGAGGCCATGGTCAGAAAAACCCTGTCAAAAGACATGAACACCTTACAATCATTCCATACACCAAATATAGTTAAGCTATTGCTTATAGTATCTGAGAAACAGACCTTATCATGAAAACTTAACTAACTAATGAAGAGGAGGTCAAGATCAGATGATCCTGCTAGGCAGACATGTACACCTTACAATCATTCCACACACTATATACAGTTTACTTATTGCATATAATATCTAAAAAAAAAGACTTAACCAGGAAAACTTAACATTGTCCAAAGGTCAGGTGAAGTCTGGCAGATAGACAATTTCACCTTATAATCATTCCATACAATAAATATAGTTGACCTCTAAGAAACCGACAAAACAACAAAAATTCTACATCAACCAATGAACCATATGGTATCTGAGAAACATACCTAACAATGAAAAACTTTATGTTCTCCAAAGAACCATGAAAATAAGATAAGGGTTTGATAAAACATGCCAGACAACAGACCTGTACACCTTTCAGTCATTACATACATCAAATATAGTTGATTTATTACTTATAGTGTCCCTGGAACAGACTCTACTATGTATTGGTTACCTAACTACACAAATAACTTCTATGTCATTTGGTCACTGGTGGAGAATTGTCTCATTGGCAATCATACCACGTCTTATTTTTATATACGGTAAACCACAAATACTAAGCATGAATGAACCATGAAAATGATGTCAAGGCCAGATGATACATGGCAGGCAGACATGTACACCTCACGTAAGGTAAAGTAAAGTAAACTATCATTGAATTCAATACATATAGTTACCTATTGCATATACATGTAGTATCTTGAGAAAAAGACCAAACCACAAAAAAACACTTAAATATTGAAAATTGATCCATGAATATGAAGTTGAAAGTTTAGATGAAACCTAGATAGAGATGTACACCTTAGAATCATTTTATGCACCAAATATAGTTAACCTACCGGTACATTGCTTATGGTATCTGAGATCAGGACTTCACTTCAAAACATGAACCATCATCTTTTCATTGATCCATTAAATGAGAGCAAGGTTAGGTGATCTGTCTTACAGACATGTAGACCTTTTGAGGATCCCATATACCTTTAATATATAATTATATTACTCATAATATTAAAGTGAGAAATTCATGTGAAAAAAAAAATTGCTTTTTATTCACTTTCTGAACCATGAAAATGAGGTTAGGGATATGAAGATACAAGATGGAGCCTTGTTACATGTGGCATCTTTATATTCTAATTTGCAAACACAAACGAAGATAAAATATTTATCAAATAACCACAAACTATCACATGGGAGACGCCACTTGAAGAGACAAATGCACTCTTTATTATTAATATTAGTGTAATAATGTAGAAAGTTTGTGTAAATACACAGAAATTTAGCAGCTGGTACAAATACTGGTTTCCATGTACTAGTGGTCTACAAATGTGATAATAAATGATATAAATTATTATATTATTCATCTATTTGTCAAAATGCTTTTGTACACTTTGACTGCAATGGCTCGAATGACTTTAAACTGCCTAAATTTACTCATGTATGAACACAATACCCCGATCATACTGACCTTACTATAAATAACCAAACACATGTTAACTATAAACAAACAACATTTTTACATATAAAAATAAGATGTTCATATTTTTGTACAACTTCTGAAGCATATAGGTTTTTTATTATCTGAAATATAAAGTGTTCAATACAAGTAAAGGCAGTGGCCAAAATTGCAACTGAAGAAGCATCTCTATGTTTCCCTTTGGGAAGACAAAAATTGCTTTTCTGACGATACTTAAAACTTGAAAGAGCTTGCCTTGACAACGACAATAACAGAATAGACCAAGTACTATGACAGAAATGTCCCTTTCATGGTAGTTATGTAGAATTGCTACTCAATCACCATTTGCAATGCCATTGTAGAATTTATTTTCACACTTGATCTTATGAGAAGAATTTAGAAAAATCATCTTGAGAACTTTTCCATATGTCATTAAAGTTTATTGTGTGGTACCAACAAGGAGTGGTTCCTTAAATGCTTATAAATATGGCCATTAATAAGGGACTGCTGTTGTTTGCTGTCTGTCATATTTGTTCATTGTTTTTAGAAGACACCAAACTGTTGTTTTTTCCTTTGAATTGTTTCATTTGTCATGCTGGGGCCTTTTAAATCCTACTAAACGGTATTGGTTTTGTTCATTGTTAAAGACGGTACAATGACCTATAGTTGCTTTCATCCATGTCCTTTGGTTTCTGATGCATAGTCCTCTCATTTACATCAGTGTTTATATTGAACAGATTGAAAATATATTATTGATATTAAATAAATACAAAATCACAAGCAGTTTTTTTTAGTTGAAACATGTATTTTTAATCTTTAAGAAGATATTTTTTTTACTCAGGTAAATTAATCAATGAGTGATGGATTTCTCTTGGAAGAAATTTAAGCTTCCTAGTGAATAAATTACACAGAGAACAATAGCTTTTGTATTTATTCAATGGGACAATAGAACTGACAAAAGTTTAAATAGAGTGACCAATAGATGAATCTGTGGAAAAGTTTCATTTAGTTCACAATAATATAAAGATAAGGAGATGTAATATGATTGCCAATGAGACAACCATCCACCAGAGTTCAAATGACGTGGATTTATGCAATTAAAGGTAACCATACAGCCTTCAACAATGAGAAAAACCCATTCTGTACAGCCAGCTGTAAAAGGCCCAGACTAAATGTGAAACAATTCAGACAAAAAACTAACGGCCTAATTTATAACAATACAATTTACCAAAAAAAATATGACAGACATCAACCAATGACAAGCACTGAATAACAGGCTACTGACTTTGGACAGGAACATAAAAATCTGGGTGGGATGGGGGTAAACATGTTTCTGAACACTCAACCCTCCCCTTTACCTGGGACAGTGGTGTAACAACACAACATAAGAACAAACAGTTAAAATCAGTTGTAAATGACTTAACTCAATAGGCCACTTCACAGTTATTGCAGCCATATTGAATAGGGGCAGATTTCTTGGATGGAGAAATAGTAAGAAAGTAAGGGAAAATCTATGCATGTTTCCAAGCAACTTTTCTGTTTCAATATGTTTTTCAAAGCATTTTCACCTCCAATATGAAAATCTGCCATTATTATACATGGCTGCAATACCTGCGAAAGGGCCTATTGATAGGTATAAAGCACAAAAAAAATAAAAGATCCAAAGCACCCATATAGTACTCGCCATTTACTAGTAAATAAAGTCATTTTCTCAGCAGCTACAGCTGAACTAATTGGGTCTATAGAGTCATAAGGTGTTCATGTCCAACTGACTGGTCAGCAGACCTTCCCCTGTATCAATGTTCAATAATCCACATACATTTTCATACTTAGGTCAGTTTTCAATTACTATATGTAATATGTCATCTGTCTTTGATCTGTAGAATTTATGTTAGATGTACATCTTAAAGGGTTAAACTGATCTTAACCTTATTTTCAAGGTAAAACGATCAAAATATTTAGATTTCTTTTAAATGTAAAACTTTAATATGTAAAATTTTAACATACTATTTGGTCATTGTTAACTAAGCATATATTTTACAGCTCTTCTATAAAAGCATGCAAAGCAAACCTTTGATCAACTTGCTTGCTATGTTTGTTTGGATGTTTGTAAACAAAAGGTAGGTAGTCTGTTTCAGTCTGTTTACTAATCAAATCCCAGTATATACAAAACAGACTGAAATTCCGCCTACCTATTGTTTGCAAACATCCAAGCAAACCTAGCAAGCAAGTTGATCAAAGGTTTGCTTTGCATGCTTTTAAAGAAGAGCTGTAGTGTATATACACTTGTCTTATCATGTATAAATTAAAAATATATAGTGAATGAATGTAAATAATGACTACTAAATGAATGTAGATCAAAATGACCACAAATGTTCACCTGTATGAAACAAGAGTGTGCATGCTGAAATGCTTAACTTAACATGATTGATTTTATGACGATAGTTCCTAAAAATAAAGTCTTACTACAAGTATCACATATACTAAACATTATCAATGATCTATGAAAATGAGATCACAGTCAGATAAACCAAGCCAGACAGACATGTAAACCTTAATTACAATCATTTTATACACCAAAAATAGTTGACCTATTGCTTATAATATAGAAGTTTATAGTTGTCTCATTGGCAATCCTACCACATCTCCTTATTTTTATAAAAACAGACCAAACCATGAAAAATTGATATTGACCAATGAACCTTGAAAATGAGGTCAAGGTCAGATGAAACCTGCCAGACAAAAATGTACACCTTACAATCATTCTATGCATCAAATATAGCTGACCTTGATCACTGATCCATAAAATGAGGTCGAGGTAAGGGGAACTCTATGTTAAGGACGCGTAAGCCTTACAAGGAACCCATATACCAAATACAGTTATCTTATTACTCATAAGACAGAAATTCACATGACAATGAAACTGAACTTTTTTTTCAAGCAGTCACTGAACCATGAAAATGAGGTCAAGGACAACGGACATAAGACAGACGAAAACTAAAGCATAAGGCATCTGTATACAAGGTATGAAGCCTCCAGGTAGTCTACTCTCTAAAATATAAAGCATAATACAAACAGTTTACGCCAAAAGTGAATTGTAATCTGAGACAATAATAACACAGAATTTTAGTAATTCGTTTTATTTTCTTTCTATAATTAACAGTTTTAATAGGAGTAAGTGTAAAATGTGTAAAAAAATAGTAACAACCATGACATAAAAACAATTACATGTATACATAAACACTAACCCACAAAATATAGAATGGTAAATTTTCCAAATCTGATGCAATTTTTTTGACAGTCATGGTAGTTCTTTGATACTAGCAATATCATTCAGATATCTAGGTTGCTAATAGATTAGGAAAAAAACAATAATAACTTCCTTAATTATGATAATTTAAAGGGAGAACATTCATATTGTTTACTTGGTATATTGGTTTATACAGTCAATACTGCATTTAACCTTAAAAGTTATCTAGCAATATAAAAAAACAACAGTGTACCCTACTTATCCACATAGTTTCTCTGTCCAAGGGTAATAAATCCAAATTACAATGTTTTTGTTGTTTTAAACTTTTTCATAAATCCTGCAGAAATGTAGACATGAATCGCTTACAATGTTATTTTCCATATAATTTCTATTTTCAAGGGGCTCCAGAAAATATATGTTATTGACACTGAATTTTGAACTCTTCCAATAGTTATACCTTGATGAAATAAAACTTTAAAATATATGTTACATAATTTTTTTTACAAAAAATGTAGGTGTGCAATTTTCTTACAATTAAATGTTCAATTTAAATCACATTTCAAAGAGACATAATTCTTGTCAAAATGGTTGATTATAGGCATTGATAGAAATTTCATAAAAATTTGACAATAAATGTATGCATGAAAGCTGTTACAATGCAATTTCCATTAGAATTTACATTTCCAAGGGACACAACTCTAGTAAAAATGGTTGATTGGCACTAATTTTCAAAACTTGTCCATGACATTGCTGATATAAACCTTTGATATGAAATGTGGACGTGAGTGTGCTTACAAGACCCGACACAAGGAAACACAGACACAGGGATTTTGATTGCTGAAGACAGTTGAAAATAAGTGCATTCAAGTACATTTTGAGGCTTATTTGGCTCTGAAAATTCACATAAAATTAAAAATCATAATCTGGTCATTACAAATCAAATTCTTGATTATAAGCTTAAAGAATGGCTTTCATAAAACTTAAATATTTGCTAAGCATTGATTATACCATTTTGTCTTTGACATCATAAAAGTGTGTCATAAGGGAGTTTTTTTTTCAGATTTTAGCAAAAATAGGCTCATTACAGAACATTTTTGCTGAATTAACATAAAGCAAAAGTATGGCCAAGATTAATTTCGACAGTGGAAAGATAAATAAATATACACTTACTGTCAAAATATCTTTATGGACAACAGTTATGCTGTATGGTATTTGTAGCATGTGCAAGCCAAATAATTAGAATTTTGAAATTTTGCTTTATTTTCTGTCCTTCTATAGCTGTTTAACCCATGAAAGGAGTATATTTCAAAACAAACCAATGTTAGTCACACACATGACATCTCAAAAATTTATACCATGTCTTATTATTGGTATGCATAATCTACTTCGCCAAGAAATTGACAGTAATTCATCACCAAATAATACCTGAATATAACATACAGCTTTTATACTTTACAATGCTGTCAGATAACACTAACTAGAATAAGTATTTTTTGTTGTTTTAAATACTAAAACTAAAGAAAAAAAGTAAAGGAAAAAAGACAATATTTCAATGAACAAATACAGCAAAGAATAAATTAAACACGAAACACATAATGCCTCAAAAGTACATTATACAAACAATGTACTTGAACTAGCAAAATAAATCAAAACATTCTGCATGTTATTTTAGTAATCTATACCATAATAATTAACAATGTGATCACCAGCTGTATGAACAAAGTAATTAATCATGTGATCACCAGCTGTATGACCAAAGTAATTAATCATGTGATCACCAGCTGTGTGACCAAAGTAATTAATCATGTGATCACCAGCTGTATGACCAAAGTAATTAATCATGTGATCACCAGCTGTATGACCAAAGTAATTAATCATGTGATCACCAGCTGTATGACCAAAGTAATTAATCATGTGATCACCATCTGTATGACCAAAATTTATAACATGATTTCTCAGTAAACTATGGATTTCTTGACGAGAAAAATAATTAGTATATTTCAGTAGAATTACTATATAAGGATTTGATGTAGTATGGTTTAATGATGTCAATCATTCCAGATATTCTTTAATATTACGATATTTTATAATCTTATCATGGTATAGATACCTATATTAACCTCTTAAAACTTACATGTACATAAATTGAAATTAAATATGGTGAACCAACACCTGAAGTGGTGATCGTGTGGTAGGGTAAAATATACATAAATCGTGAGGTAACAATAATATGAGTTAATGCCTGCTTGTGATAAAACTGAACAGCCCTGAGTGACATCACTTCTTTGTACATTTTTAAAACATAAAGACTATTGTGTATGTTGAATATAAATGCAATTCTAATTCATCACTTACACAGACGTGTTTTACCTATAAAGCATGAGGCTCTGTATCGCTCACAAGACTTTTGTGTTGAGGCCTAATTAGTCATACCAACATTATTTTCTGCAACAAAATCAATGTCATTCAGACAAAAATTCCAGTGGTCAGTGGAACATTTTAAGCATCGTTAGCATTAAAGTCATGCTAAGAAGATAAAAATATATAGTAATATGAACCAGAAGATGTTTGCCAAGTGGTGTCATAAGGTCACCAAGCCCTACAAATTGAATTAAAAACAAGTTCAATGATTGTATGTTATGGCACTTTTTTTTTAACAAAAGCACTTAACGCTTGTAAAGAAGTTTCAAAACTGCATTAGTCAATCTTAAACAAACATAAATTTGATTTATCAGCATCTATGAGTCTTCCAAGGAAGATGTGTGTTGCTTGCTTTTTCCAAATAATATTTGCAGTAATGGAGAAGTCCATGTTTTGGTATGGGAAATCTTAAATATCACTTAGAACAAAAATCAACAAGAGTGCACACTCTGAAATAACCATATGAAATGCAAACAGACAGAATTAGTAAATGCTATCAACGTCAATTCTAAGGCTTCTTTACAAGTTTCCAGTAGGTTTTATACTTCACCAGACATTTATATATACATGTATCTACAGTGTTAAAACACAACCATTTAAATGAAATAACTAAAACAACAACCTTAACATGATTGTACTTCTAAAAACATGATGCATATATGAATTAAATATCACAGTCTTACTTGTCTATCTATGAAATCATTAAACAACATTTAATTCTCCAAGAATAACTCCTAATATTTTTTAACATACCTTCTATTTTAAACATTTCTTGTTCAGTTTGTTATATTAGGGCTTAATGCAACAAAGTGCTTACTTATGTTTTAAAAATAAAAATGGATTTTTATTTTTAAATATAATATAAAATACAAAACAAACAATATTTATACATAAATGCATATTACTGTTTTCATATAGATTTTCACAGCATATAATTCTTCTGGTTTCATAAGTCACAACTTTTTATCTTAGCTGTTTTTCAGTAACGATATGTTTTACACTATACATGCAGTTTTTAAATTTTTCAATTCTGATGGGAAAAAACATTGCGAGAATTAGTACTTTTCTTGTAAACTTGTATTCAAACAACTTATCTTATTACATTCCTGCTATTATTCAAATCATAGGCTTAACATCATCCACCTGACAAAAATCTACCAGTATCTGAAAAAACATCTCTTTTAAGTGTTTTGTATGTAAGGTACGCAGCTTCAGCAATAGTCTGTGATTATTGAAATAAAAGGATTTTCAACATGTCAAGGACTGCAATGACCTGATTTGTACTGTAAAATCAGATACAATAAATAAAATACAAAAATGTTAATAAATACATGTATACAAAAGGAGTTATTTTCTTTCTTTTTTCCTGTTAGGAAATTCATAACATAGTTCAAGTAATTTGTCATTATTTTAAAATGTAAAACTATAAATATTGTACTAATAAGTTAAAATTAAATATGAAAAAAATGCATTAAGTATCCTATACAATGTACAACTAAATACATGTACTTACAAACAAATACAAACTAGACAAGACAAACTACAATTAGAGTTAGTATAATAGTTAATAAATAGTTTAATAACTACATATTTATACAAATCATACAAATGTACATGTGTGTGATGAGTCAAGATTGTATTGTGTAGTTTCTTTATATTTGAAATTTCTGTTTCTATTACAGCTTTTCTATAAAAGCATGCAAAGCAAACCTTTGATCAACTTGCTTGCTATGTTTGCTTGGATGTTTTTTAAACAAAAGGGTAGGCGAAGTTTCAGTCTGTTTAATATATACTGGTATTTGATTGGACAATAAAAATTCACATACAATGTGAAACTTAACATTTAAATGAAGTTAATGTTTATTGTCCAATCAAATTCCAGTATATAGTAAACAGACTGAAATAGACTACCTACCTGTTGTTTACAAACATCCAAACAAACATAGCAAGCAAGTTGATCAAAGGTTTGATTTGCATGCTTTTATAGAAAAGCTGTAAACAACAAAAAGATTTGTGAAATACATGTAATATTTCAATCAAATTTATAAATTTGTCAATTGTATTTTAGTGATTTAGATTTAGATTTTGTTTCAAGAACTGGTATAAAAATGTAAAAATATCAGATCTATTTCTTCTATCTACAATAAGGGTTTTAAACTATTTAAATTAAATTTGTGAAGTTACATTAAAAACTAGTAACAATAATATCAAATGCATCTTAAGAAATGTGGAACGTAATGTAAAAATTTCAAGAATGAACAGAGCATTATAAAATCCCATATAAAATATAAAATGACATGAAGTGGCTCGGATTTGACAATTTTGTTATCATATAAAAATTATATATATATTTCTGTAAGAAAAAATGAAAGTTTGATTTAAAACTCAGGAGTGTATTGAACATTTATAAATAAAATTTTGTAAAGGATTTTAAAAGGTTAAAGATTATATTGATTATTGGGTAAGTCAAAAAGACTTGTCTTTTTACTACAAAATATTCCTTACAGAACTTGTTGAAGAGAATTGTTCCTAATTGATATGTCATCTCTAAAAGAGGTTATATGTATAATAAACAAATGACTCCTCAAGAAGAACATCCTTGTTATTATAGTGTTCCTTCAAAATAAATTTCTTAAAATACAACTTATCATTACATATACTATTCAGGCTTTAAATACCAAATTTGATTGTTAATTATATATTAAATAAGTTGTTCAACATACTAATTTGAATCTTTTTTCTTGACAAATTTTGTATTCTTCTTTGTCACAGTGATACATGAATTCTTTTTTACTTTATTCTCAGGGTAAGATGAATAATGTACAACATGTTTTATTTTTAACTTCAAGCCCTTATTACTAGGTATCTGGATGAAGATTTGTAATATCTAAGGATGGTGTCTGTAGCTGATTTTTCTTTAGATCCAGTAACAACTTCTCCATTCTGCTCATTGCTTTGGTCATATCCTGAACTTCTGCATGCACATAGAATGCTAATTTATCAAACTTTTCTTGTATATTCGGTCCCTGTACAGAAGCTGTTGTTGTAGTGGACATCCTGTAGATAAAAAAGTATTTTTAAAGCATGGCATGGATTAGTTAATTGTATCTTGTCCCATCTGAAACATAATTCATAGGAAGTGTAAAATAAGCATATTGTTTAACATTTCATACCGATATAACATGTTACTTTTATTATTCTTCCCTTAGTTTATTTATTTTGTAGTTACATTGTATCATAGGTCAAATTTATTTGTTCAGTGTATGTTCACTGGTGTTAATATGTCCTTTGATTAAGTTAAGCTATTTCAGGTGATATTTTATAGTGTGTCTTTCTATGTTGTTATGTTACACTATTGTTTCAGAAAAAGGGTGAAGGTTTAGTACCATTAAAACGTTTAAACCCGCTGCATTTGTTTGCACCTGTCCTAAGTCAGGAATCTGATGTTCAGTAGTTGTCGTCTGTTGATGTGGTTCATAAGTGTTTCTCGTTTTTTATATAGATTAGACCGTTGGTTTTCCCGTTTGAATGGTTTTACACTAGTAATTTTTGGGGCCCTTTATAGCTTACTGTTCGGTGTGAGCCAAGGCTCCGTGTTGAAGACTGTACTGTGACCTATAATGGTTTACTTTTATAAATTTTGACTTGGATGGAGAGTTGTCTCATTGGCACTCATACCACATCTTCTTATATCTATATGTGTTCCCTAAAGGCAATGTTTACAAAATTAATCGTATCATCTCTTTCACTTAATTATGAACCCTAATTTGTATGGAGATAACTTATGATGTTGAAACCTTGTTGGTCAGTTTTCAACAAATTTTCACGATCAAATAACCAGATTTTGGGTAAGATGTATTGCTTAGTAACCAAATATTATATGTCAATTGTCAATAATATTTTGAATGTAGATTTTTTGGCAAGGAATAATTGTATGTTGATTAGTTTTCGGAATTATGTATAATAAATCTCCCAAAAGTTTTTACATATTTTTCTTCCTAACTTTGTGGTCTCAGGCAAACCTGATGAACATTATTATAGAAACAAGTTTCTGAAATTGGTATCATGGATTCATACTATATCTAAAGACTTTACCCTTGTCATTAGACTAAGATGATAAGGTCAAACTCAAGCTCAAGTGACAATAAACTGCTTCGCCGAGTGCAGCTGGATATAACCGCAGAGGTCCAACCCTGAACAGTTGGGGGCAAAAATGGACACAATATTCAAGCTTGATACAGGTCTGAATTTGGATTGTAATTAAATATAAATTTGACACATTATAGGTTTCTGACACAAAAAAAATGTAGTCAAAGAACTTGAAATTGGTTGTATGATTTGAATCTATATTCAATTGAAGATTTCTTGCTGTTGCGCAATACACTGTGCAGTTGCGCAATACTTAGTAAATCTGTTTTCAGACTATATACAAACGAATTAGCAAAATAAATTGTGACCCCCAATTTTTTTCTTTGGAAAATTGACAATTGAGGAAACAAAAATTGACACCCCCCATAATAAATTTTTTTTTAACCCCCCCTCCAAAAAAAATAATATTTGAAGAGAATTTTCTTTTGAGGAAAAAAAAATGCCCCCCATCCCCAAAAAATTTTTTTTTACCCCCTCCTTCCAAAAAAAATAATTTTGAAGAAATTTTCTTTTTGTAAAATGTGGTATGAATTAAGAGACATCCATACACTTAAACACAAGTTATTGTCTGAAAACTAGAAAAATGCTTGTTTTAGACCCTTTTTGGCCCCTAATTCCTGAACGGTTTGGGCAATTACCCAAAAATGAATCCCAACCTTCTACTTGTGGTATTGAACCTTGTGGTACAATTTCAGAGCAATCAAAATACTTATACACAAGTTATTGTCCTGAAACTAGAAAAATGCTTGTTTTGGCCCCTTTTTGGCCCCTAATTCGTAAACGGTTGGGACTATAACCCCCAAAAACAATCCCAACCTTTCTTTTGTGGTATTGAACCTTTTGCTTAAATTTCATAGAGATCCATACACTTAAACTAAAGTTATTGTCCGGAATCCAAATGCATGATTTGAATTTATATTCAATTGAAGATTTCTTTTTCTTTGGAAAATTGTCAATTTCTTGAATCTTGAGGGAAAAAAAATTGACCCCCGCAAAATTATTTTATTTACCCCCCCCCCCCCCCCCCCCCCCCCCCCCCCCTTTCCAAAAAATATAACATTTGAAGAGAATTTTCTTTTGGGGAAAAAAAATTGTCCCCTCCAAAAAAAAAAATTTTTACCCTCCCTTCCAAAAAAATTAATTTTGAAGAAATTTTGTTTTTGTAAAATGTGGTATGAATTAAGAGACATCCATACACTTAAACACAAGTTATTGTCTGAAAACTAGAAAAATGCTTGTTTTAGACCCTTTTTTGCCCCTAATTCCTGAATGATTTGGGCAATTACCCCCAAAATGAATCCCAACCTTCTACTTGTGGTATTGAACCTTGTGGTACAATTTCAGAGCAATCAAAATACTTATACACAAGTTATTGTCCTGAAACTAGAAAAAATGCTTGTTTTGGCCCCTAATTCGTAAAAGGTTGGGACCATCACCCCCAAAAACAATCCCAACCTTCCTTTTGTGGTATTGAACCTTTTGGTTAAATTTCATAGAGATCCATACACTTAAACTAAAGTTATTGTTCGGAAACCAAATGTCTTCTGACGACGCTGACGCCGACAACAACGTGATACCAATATACGACCGCAAAACTTTTTTCCGGTCATATAATGACTAGTTAACAGTCTTGTAAGCATTAAGTTGGTATTTATAATAAGTGGTGCAGCATGGGGCTCTCCATTTTTGAAAGTCATTTGAAAATAGAGTAAATTAACTAAATAAATCAGGAACAATTTTTCTGTTCATAGATTTTGTTTTATTCATTGCTATCCTCAAAAGGCTGTATTACTTTCTCTGCACCCATCCTCTTACCAACTTGACTGACATTTTTCACTGTGTGTTTAGATAAGAGAAGGGTGCCATATTATTGTTGAATAAACCTCATTATTAATAAAACTTTGTCCATCTTTCTATCAAAATTGTGATACATAAAATTTAAACAAATATCATCAGGAAAAATAAAAATATCCCATTATAATTTTATTTATGATACAGATACTAGTATTGATGGCTTTATTTACCATCCCTTCTTTTATAGAGGAGAGTGTTTACACTATTTTGTATAATGTACGAACAAAAAAGACTATTTTTTCTAGGGATATCTTTCAACAGCAATGTCATTGAAACCATTCACTCTGAAAGTGTTGTTCAGATAAGATATGCACAAATCAGTGGTGCAACCAGAGGCTGTCCATTTCTGAAAATTTGTAACACTGGAATTAACTATGATATGATACTTGTCAATAAAACATGTGCATTGTCAATACAAGTCCATGTGAATTTCCCCTATATTTATACTGATTACAGAAAAAAATATCAATAGCACCAACAAATGCAAGAGAAAGAATAGCATAAATGAGATGCCACACAAGACCACACCATGCAAATAGTATCATACCCAATGTTTGAAACGTTAGATTTTCTGAAAGGCAAGTAAAGAGAATAATAAAAAAAATATTTTGAAAGGGGTGACTAAGGTTAACCTGAAATGACTGAAAAAGGTAGGTTAAAAAAGCTAATATATGTGTTAGTACATGTCTCAAAGTTGTCTAGCAATAAAAAAAAACATTTATAAATTATTCTTTCCTGCTTAGATCATGTTCTCCTTTTAAAACTTAGAGCCATTCATGTGTAAAATGCAGGTTATGGTAGTTAAGTGATTTTATTGACCTCATTATCACAATGTTATATTATTATTAAGATGTTTTCTCTAATGAAATATCATTATCCTATGAACTGTATTTTCATGGCAAATAGATGTCCAGTGAACAACATTTTAACTAAGTTCAAGATAAGAAGAATGTGAATATTGACACAAAGTGTAGTGGTTGACATTTAAGAAGGCATGATTTCTAAACAAAAAAATCAAGCAATTTGAGCCAACTTTCTATATACTAGTCATTGATTCAGTTTTAGTTTGTATTGTTTACTTGTTGCTGTGTTTTAGTTACATCTAATGCTAACATTATTTAAATAAGAGCTATACTTGTTTTATTGTTGAAGGCCATATGGTCAACTTTGGATGTCTATTTGGTGATTTGTGTTGTTGGGTTGCTGTCACATGTTTTCTTTTATTCACATATCACCTTCTCTGGACACAGTATTCAGACTGCAAACTGACCAGAACAAGCATTCTGAGAGTATTGCATGGCAATATATAGTCCCCTACCGTTTAAGAATTCATTGTACTGGAACAAAATGCTAACTTGATCTATAATTTATCATGGTGTTAACTATATAACAAATATCAAGTCAATATCTTTAAGCATGATGAAAAAAAGTGTGGAAAACTGATTATTTGAGTGAATTTTCTAAGTCCAAGGACCATAACTCTGCACAAAATCATAAGACTGGAACAAAATTCGAACTTGATCTGTAACTTGTCATGATAAAACTATATACCAATTATTAAATCAATATCTTCAAGCATTACAAAAAAAAGTGTGGAAAACTGATTATTTGAGTGAATTTTCTAAGTCCAAGGACCATAACGCTGCACAAAATCATCAGACGGGAACATAATTCGAACTTGATCTGTAACTTTTCATGATAAAACTACATGCCATTTATTAAATCAATATCTTCAAGCATGACAAAAAAAAGTGTGGAAAACTGATTATTTGAGTGAATTTTCTAAGTCCAAGGACCATAACTCTGCACAAAATCATCAGACCAGAACAAAATTCGAACTTGATCTGTAACTTGTCATGATAAAACTACATGCCATTTATTAAATCAATATCTTCAAGCATGACAAAAAAAAGTGTGGAAAACTGATTATTTGAGTGAATTTTCTAAGTCCAAGGACCATAACGTTGCACAAAATCATCAGACGGGAACATAATTCGAACTTGATCTGTAACTTTTCATGATAAAACTACATGCCATTTATTAAATCAATATCTTCAAGCATGACAAAAAAAAGTGTGGAAAACTGATTATTTGAGTGAATTTTCTAAGTCCAAGGACCATAACTCTGCACAAAATCATCAGACCAGAACAAAATTCGAACTTGATCTGTAACTTGTCATGATAAAACTACATGCCATTTATTAAATCAATATCTTCAAGCATGACAAAAAAAAGTGTGGAAAACTGATTATTTGAGTGAATTTTCTAAGTCCAAGGACCATAACGTTGCACAAAATCATCAGACGGGAACATAATTCAAACTTGATCTGTAACTTTTCATGATAAAACTATATACCTAAATTCAAATCAATATTTTATATCTTAGTGTATAAACAGCAAAAATCATTTTAAAGTCTTTGATCTGACCTGGGCAAATACCAAACCCAAGATTTTGAATTTTCAAAGCAAAATACTTTAAGATCACAAGTTTATTTTGAAGTTTCTTAAATTTGAACTCTTAATAAAAATGACAATTATTCAACCATTAATAGAACAAGCATTTTGTGAGTATTGCATGGCAATACATAGTCCCCTACCGGTTACAAATTCATTGTAATGGAACGAAATTCTAACTTGATTTATAACTTGTCATGGTGTAAACTACATAAAAATATCAAGTCAAAATCTTCAAGCATGACGTAAAAAACTGTTGAAAACTGATTATTTTGTGAATTTTCTATGTCCAAAGACCATAACTCTGCACAAAATTATCAGACTGGAACAAAATTCCAACTTGATCTGTAACTTGTCATGATAAATCTATATACTAATTATCAAATCAATATCTTCAAGAATGACAACAACCTACCACTAAATTCTTCAAACAATTTACCAAAGAAAAGGAAAAAAATCCAAAATGTCATTTTGTCTTTTAAATCTTTTAAAAAATGAGTTATTTCCCTTTGAACAGAAATCTACTAATTAATAAGTATTTCATCAAAAATTTAATTCTAGGGAAAGGGCTTTAACTGAACAAAGAGAAAAGCTAAATTCGTTAAAATTGAACTTGACCTGTAACTTGTCATGATAAATCAATAAACCAAATATCAAATCAATATCTTCAAGCACGAGAAAAAAAGTCTGGAAAACTGATTTGCCGGACTGACAGATGGACAGATGGACAGACACAGACAGACAGACAGACAGACAGACGGAGTGCAAACCTTAAGTCCCCTTGGGACTAATAAAGGTGAGGGTAGCAACTGTAACAACCAAATATATGTGCAAAGTAAAAATGTCTAATATATGGTATAAAATAGAAGTAAAATAAACACATTTCTTATTTTCTTACATATTGAGAATTGGTTATCACATAAAAAGACATTGGAAAATTGAGAATCTAAAATAACAGTGCAACTAGGGTTAAAGATTAGATCTATAGAGTGTTCAATCAATGCTTCAATAATCTATTTCATCTATTTCAATGTTATTATTTTTTGTGTTATTCAGAAGATTAAAAGCAATAATTCATAGAATTTAGAATAAAAGAGATTTCCCCCTTACTGTGATGATCTGAATGAAGTTCTGAAATTAAAAGAAAAGGATAAAAATAACATATATACCATGATATCAAATAATATCTTTCACTTTTATGTCACCTTGGCATGATCTTGCATGTTATTACTGATACACAAATACTTTGGGTAAACCAGTTGTTACATTGTTGACAACAATAATGGTATACCTCATCTTCAGACAAACATTATAGTTAAGACACAATCAAAATGCAGTGTAAAACAAGAGTACACATGCTGAAATGTATCACCTGCTTTACTGATCATTGATTTTATGTTGAAAGTCTTAAAGATAAAGGTTTTACTACAAGTATCACAAAAACTTAACATTTTTAAAGATCCATGACAATGAGGTCAAGGTCAGATAAATTCTGTCAAATAGACATGTACACCTTACAATTATTCAATACACCAAATATAGTTGACCTATTGCTTATGGTTATTTAAAAACAGAACTTAAACATTGAACAATGAACCATTGAAAATGAGGTCAAGGTCAGATGATACTGGCTAGACAGACATGTACACCTTACAATCATTCTATACACCAAACATAGTTGACCTTTTGCTATAAGTTCTTGAAAAACAGACCAAAACAAAAAAACGTATCAATGAACAATAAACCATAAAATAAGGTCAAGGTCAGATGAAACTTGCCAGACTGACATGTACCCCGTACAATCATTCCATATGCCATATATTGTTGACCTAAAGTTTATAGTATCTGAGAAACGAACCTAACCACGTAACTTTAACCTCGATCACTGATCCATGAAATGAGGTCAACTTAGGTGAACCCTGTCTGACTGACAAGTAGACGTTGTAAGAAACCCATATACCAAATATAGTTATCCTATTACTCAAAATAAGTGAAAAATTCACATGACAAAAAAAACCAATTTCAGTTGCTGAACCATGAAAATGAGGTCAAGGACAATGGACATATGACAGACAGAAACTTTGTAACTTAAAGTATCTGCATACAAAGTATAAAGCATCTAGGTCTTCTACCTTCTGAAATATAAAGCTAATTTTACACAAATAATTTACACCACCGCCGCCAGATAGTAATCCCCATGTCTCGCATACTGTGATTTTCATTACAAGAAAGACAAAAACTGAGTTAAATCTTTGTTAAATAGTAATGGTATATTAGCTGTGCCTGGAAGATATTGTGGTAATTATTGTACAACTTACTTAACATCTCTGTTTAAGAAAAAAAAACACAATTTAAATTTTCTAGTCTTTTCTCCACTATGGTGCTTTTTCTCAAATAATTGGTCCAAATATGATTTGTGCAGATGATTAGAAAAAAATCCATACCCCACAGTTAACTTATATTCATCTATGATTTGACGTCATTTTAGTTTGATAACTTTTATAAGATTTGTACTTTGGAAAATCATTAAAAACGTGTAGCATGATGTCACCAATAAAAAATTTGAACTGGACTGATAAATCAGAAAATACAAAGTTTGTAAGAATCCTGTATGATTCAATTTTCACTAGAGTATAAAATATGTTGACTTTGTATTTCAAGTTTCTTATTTCCATATACCTGTTTTGCAGCTGTCTTTTTAACTTTAAAATCAAACTTATTTGTAGAAGAGAAATAATATTAAGTTTTAAAGCAGACATTTAAGAAATAGAGCTATAAATATTGAAAGCTTACTTTAATTTCACTTGCTCAGGAAGGCAAGTGCATATGTGCAAAATTTTGTTAAAATTTTTTGGCAATTAAGAGGTCTGAACTTGCCACCAACTGGAGATATTAAAGCTTTTTTATTATTTCATCCTATCATAAAATCAAAAGTGAAATTTCTTTTCCTGAATGTTCCCCTTTACCATCTGACTTCCCTCTGTATATCATCCTTTTATCAAAGGCCAGCTTTTCATGTATGGTTACATTTTGGAATACTTTTAACCAAATCATCTACCTCACAAGAAGGTATCTATTTTATTATGCATTTTTGTATGACATACCTTGCAGTTAGTGGAGGTTTGCTGTCTGATCCTTCCATACTGTGGCGTGATACACTCTCTTTTATTTTATCTAATTCATCTATAACTCTCTCCAATCTAAAAAAAAAATATTTGTATTTTTACACTCACAGTTGAACAAAGAAGTCTTTTGCAATAAAGAGATAAAAGAAGCCATTTCATACATTGATTCAAAACAAAATTTGAAACTTTAATCTTAGACACAGAGTTTCCAAAACTATCAAATCTGCCAGTTAATAAGTTGGCTGAATTATTTCCATGTCTGTCTTACAGTTAACAAAAACTTCAGATCAATATATAATACAAAACTAATTACAGAAATAAGAAGTATACCTTTCTGATGTAGAAGACACCTGGAAGTTAAGATCATTGCTCATTGCTTGCTTAGTTTCATACATATAAGTCTCCATAGCTTCCTTTTCAAACAAATGTAATCTAACAATGTCTTCTTCATCCTGCATTTCCAGTCCTATAAAAAGATTTCTTACTTGTCAAATTTTCTTCTAATTATCCCAGCTGTAACAGGGAATATATCTATAAGTTAATTGAGTCAAATGACAATGAATGTCAAATGTCATCTGACTGATTGATGGTTATCTGTGTAATGTCAGGAACAAATATATAAATTAAGACACATAATGGAAATATTTATAAAATAATGAAATGTAAAAAATGTTAAGTTGGAGCTGATTGAAAACAAGAGTGCACACACTGAAATGTCTCACCTGCTTTACTGACCATTGATTTTATGTTGATGGTCCTAAATATAAAACTTTACTACCAGTATCACATAAACTTAACATGATCCAAGAAAATGAGGTCAAGGTTAGATAAACCAAGTACACCTTACAATCAATCTATGCATTAAATATAGTTGACATATTGCTTATAGTATCTAAGAAACAAACTTAACCATAATAAAATGCTCCGCAGGGCGCAGCTTGATACGACCGCAGAGGTCGAACCCTGAACAGTTGGGGCAAGTATGGACACAACATTCAAGCTTGATACAGCTCTGAATTTGGATTGTGATTAAATATTTGACACAGCATAGGTTTCTGACACAGAATGAATGTGGTCTTAGAACTTAAAAATTTTAAATTGGACATTCACCTATTATGGTCCAATATCCAAAATCTAAATACATGGTTAGATTCAGCATATCAAAGAACCCCAAGAATTCAATTTTTGATGAAATCAAACAAAGTTTAATTTTGGACCCTTTTGATCTCAATGTGGACAAAAATGATAACAGGGCCCAAAAATCAAAAATCTAAATACATGGTTAGATTCAGCATATCAAAGAACCCCATATATTCAATTTTTGTTGAAATCAAACAAAGTTTAATTTTGGACCCCGATTTGGACCAACTTGAAAACTGGGCCCATAATCAAAAATCTAAATACATGGTTAGATTCAGCATATCAAAGAACCCCATATATTCAATTTTTGTTGAAATCAAACAAAGTTTAATTTTGGACCCCGATTTGGACCAACTTGAAAACTGGGCCCATAATCAAAAATCTAAATACATGGTTAGATTCAGCATATCAAAGAACCCCATATATTCAATTTTTGATGAAATCAAACAAAGTTTAATTTTGGACCCTTTTGATCTCAATGTAGACAAAGTTGATAACGGGGCCCAACAATCAAAAATCTAAATACATGGTTAGATTCAGCATATCAAAGAACCCCATATATTCATTTTTTGTTGAAATCAAACAAAGTTTAATTTTGGACCCCGATTTGGACCAACTTGAAAACTGGGCCCATAATCAAAAATCTAAATACATGGTTAGATTCAGCATATCAAAGAACCCCATATATTCAATTTTTGTTGAAATCAAACAAAGTTTAATTTTGGACCCCGATTTGGACCAACTCGAAAACTGGGCCCATAATCAAAAATCTAAATACATGGTTAGATTCAGCATATCAAAGAACCCCATATATTCAATTTTTGTTGAAATCAAACTAAGTTTAATTTTGGACCCTTTGGACCTTTATGTAGACCAATTTGAAAACAGAACCAAAAATTAAGAATCTAAATACACGGTTAGATTCGGCATATCAAAGAACCCCAATAATTCAATTTTTGATGAAATCAAACAAAGTAAAATTTTGGACCCTTTGGACCTCAATGTGGACCAATTTAAAAACGGGGCCCAAAATCCAAAAACTTAATACACGGTTAGATTCAGCATATTAAAGAACCCCAAGAATTCAAGAATAAAACCCCATTGAAATTGATCAAGAAATAAGCAATTTATACGAAGTATCTTCTTTTGCACAATACTGTGCAATTGATTATTTCTTGCTATTGCGCAATACTGTACAATTGACAATTTCTTGCTATTGCGCAATATTGTGCTATTGGATATTTCTTGCTATTGCGCAATACTGTGCAATTGAAGATTTCTTGCTATTGCGCAATACTGTGCAATTGAAGATTTCTTGCTATTGTGCAATACTGTGCAATTGAAAATTTCTTGCTTTTGCACAATACTTATTATATAATAATTTACACATCCTGTTTGGTGTGTATCTCCTACCATATCATTATTATTTGCTTTTAAATATAAATCAGAAATAACCAACTTAAAATGGAAAATTTTAAAAGAAAAAATAAAAAAGGAAAAAAAGAAAAAAAAAAGAAAAAAAAAACCCCACCCCCAAAATTTTTTGAACCCCCTTATGATTCATCACCCCCAAACTCAATCTCAGCCTTCCCTTTGTGGTATGGTACCTTGCAGTACAATTTCAGAGAGATCCATACACTTGAACACAAGTTATTGTCTGGAAACTAGAAAAATGCTTATTTTTGGCCCCTTTTTGGCCCCCAATTCCTAAACGTTTCGGGCAATTACCCCCAAACTCAATTCCAGCTTTCCCTTTGTGATATGGAACCTTGTAGTACAATTTCAGAAATATCCAAACACTTACACACAAGTTATTGTCATGAAACTAGAAAAATGCTTGTTTTTTGCCCCTTTTTTGGCCCCTAATTCCTAACATTTTGAGGCAATTACCCCCAAAATCAATTACAGCCTTCCCTTTGTGATATGGAACCTTGTGGTACAATGTCAGAGAGATCCATACACTTACACACAAGTTATTGTCTGGAAGTTACAAAAATGCTTATTGTTGGCCCCTTTTTGGCCCCTAATTCCTTAACTGTTGGTACCATAACCCCCAAAATCAATCCCAACCTTCCTTTCATGGTATTGAACCTTATGGTAAAATTTCATGGAGATCCATTCACTTAAACTAAAGTGAGAGTGCGAAAACCAATGTGTCTTCGGATGACGCCAGACGACGCCGGACGACGACGACGACGACGACGACGACGACGCCAACGTCATACCAATATACGACCAAAAAATTTTTAATTTTTGCGGTCGTATAAAAACTCGACATTAACCAATAAACCATGAAAATGGGGTCAAGGTCAGATGATACCTGCCAGACAGACATATACACCTTACAATCATTCCATACAATAATTAACCTATTGCTTATAGTTTAATAAAACAGATCAAATCATAAAAAAATTAACTCTGAGCAATGAACCGTGAAAATGAGGTCAAGGTCAAATAAAACCTGCCAGACTGACATGTACATTGTAAAATATTTCCGTACACCAAAGAAAATTGACCATTTGCATACAGTATTAGAAAAAATGATCAAAACACAAAAACTTTACTTTAACCACTGAACCATGAAAATGAGGTCAAGGTCAGATGACACCTGCAAGTCAGACATGTACACCTTACAATCATTCCATGCACCTAATATAGTAGACCTATTGCTAATAGTTTCTGAGATATGGACTTCACCACGAAAACTTAACCTTGTTCACTGATCCATGAAATGAGGTCGAGGTCAGATGAAAACTGTCTGACAGGCACAAGGACCTTGCAATGTACGCACATATTAAATATAGTTATCATATTACTCATAATAAGAAAGTAATTAACATTACAAAAAAACTTTTTTTCAAGTAATCACTGAACCATGAAAATGAGGTCAAGGACAATGGACATATGACAGACGGAAACTTCATAACATAAGGCATCTATATACAAAGTATGAAGCATCCAGGTCTTCCACCTTCTAAAACATAAAGCTTTTAAGTAGTTAGTTAACACCGCTGTGGCCGCCGCTGCTGCCCGATAACTATACCTAAGTCGAGCTTTCTGCGACAGAAGTCACAGGCTCGACAAAAATAACTGTAAATCACTCTGTTTCAATGTATTCTACATAACTTTATATCCCATGTAAAATTGTTTGAAGTCAGAACTTAATAAGTAAAATGTAACTTATTTCTTCTAACTTTATAATTCATTATACATACAGTATGTTATACTCACTAAAATCATTATAATAAGGGAACTTCCCACAGCACATCACAATCATACTTCTGACTATTCTGAATATATGGTTCAGAAGAATAAATGGTGGAACTAATGCAGGTCTGTCGTAGTACTCATATACCAGAGAAAATTTGTAAAACTTCCAAACTTGCTCAGATTTATCCTGGACCTTCTGAAAGGTGTCTCTGTAAAGACAATGAGAATCTTGCGAAATTATTCCTATTAGCGCTCTTTCTATAACGCATTTCTGTATCTGGTGATTATGCTTCAAATGTTTGGAATGTAAAAAATGTTCACAATGTGAAATACCGGTAATAGTAATATTATCTAATTTCTACTATTTATACTTATTGGGTAAATCTTATCTTACCCAAATGAAGATCATTTGTTGAGGATCTTCTAAACACCATTCCTGCCAAGTATTGTAAAATATAGAGAAAAAGACAAACATGGTTTCACCATAGGGTTTCAATGGGAATCATTTGATATCAATGCTGCCATGTTTGTCTCCTATCTAACTTCAAATCAGAATAATTTGTGGAAAGTCTCACAATCACGAATCCCCTTTAGTTTCAAAACATTTTCCATTGCAGTTTCTAGGTGGAAGATTTTTGACAATTGGCCAATCAGTATCACAGATTGACTCTGTGGTCAATGATTTTCATTTGAACAAAATGATGATCATTTGTAGAGGACCTTCCATACATCATTCCAGTCAAGTTTGGTTTAAATTGGCCACATAGATACAGAGAAGGACATGTGATTTTCTATTGGGACTCAAAGGGAACTTGTCACTATTAACTAAATATCCCAATTTTGCAAAATATTTCAAAAAGCAAATTTTATTGTGAATTTCTAGCATCATTAAAATATATGATAACAAGAGGTCTGTACTATAGGTCTTTGGGCAATGAATCTAAGTATAAAATTTAATAAACTGTTGACACAGAGATATGTCTAGAATGTACATAATTTGATAAAAATTTGCAAATGTTGAAATTAAATTAGCTATACTTTAACATGTATATTATGCGAAATATTCAAAGTCAATGAACCATGACTGAGGGTAAAGGGCCAAATAATTTCCATGGAAAAAAGATATTCCAATTCTAATACAACTGCATACCAAATATAATTGACTAATAATTATAAGTGGTCCCCCTTAAACTGACCTAATTACTAATTTTAACATGTAAACTATGCCAAAAGTTCTAAAGTCAAAAGACTATGACTGAGGTAGTAGGGCCAAATAATCTCCACAGAAAAGAGATGTGCCAATACTTATACAACTGCAAACAAAATATCATCGATTTACAATTAGTGATTTTCCTTAACCTGACCTAATCACAAATTTTAACAAATTGTTTACACAGCTGCCACTGAAAACAACATACCTAAGTCTTGCCTTTTGACTCCATCAAGTCAAGACAAAAAGTCAATAAGCATGAAACATGATCCAGTGCCCTAAATGTTGCAATTGTTAAATATTGACATTGGTTTTGGGGAAATGAACCAAAACACATGACTTAACCACACAAAATTTACAGACAGACAATTAACGGTGAATCTGTAAGACCAAACTGTACTAATTAATGAAACTGCAATAATAGAGGATAAAATATCTGATTGATATCAAAGCGATACCATAATGAAAAGACTTGACTGCAATATTTTCCATAAGAAATAAATATACTCACGAGAACATGGCAATCAATAGATTAACCAATAAGATATTTGTCAGCACCATATAAATAGCTAAGAGTAAAGGCACTATGGCATTCTGTTGGGGACATCTAGTCATTGTCCCATTTAGGTATAAGGCAGGATCATCTGTACATGATGATGGCTCTGATCCTAATTGAATAAAACAAAATATACATTCTCATAGGGCAAAAATATCTTTAAACATATTGTTGAAACAAATTAAATCTCATATAAAACATTTTGTTTTAGCTGCTGTTAAGTATGAACAAGAATGTGTCCATAGTACACGGTTGCCCCACTCGCACTATCATTTTCTATGTTCAGTGGACCATGAAATTGGGGTCAAAACTCTAATTTGGCATTGTAATTAGAAAGATCATAATTATCATAGGGAACATGTGTACTAAGTTTCAAGTTGATTGGACTTCAACTTCATCAAAAACTACCTTGACCAAAAACTTTAACCTGAAGCGGGCACTATCATTTTCTATGTTCAGTGGACCGTGAAATTGGGGTCAAAACTCTAATTTGGCATTTAAATTAGAAAGATCATATCATAGGGAACATGTGTACTAAGTTTCAAGTCGATTGGACTTCAACTTCATTAATAAACTGCTTCGCTGAGCTAAAATGGACACAATATTCAAGCTTGATACAGGTCTGAATTTGGATTGTAATTAAATATTTGACATATTATAGGTTTCTGAATAAATGTAGTCAAAGAACTTGAAATTGGTTATATGAATTGAATTTATATTCAATTAAAGATTTCTTTCTATTGTGCAATACACTGTGCTGTTGCGCAATACTAGTAAATCTGTTGTCAGACTATAAACAAATAAAGTTCAATAACTTCTCAATGTTATATTAGAAATTTATAAAAAAAACTAAAGGGAGGTTATCTTAATAGATATAAATCAGTCATCAAAGTTTAATGAAAACTGCTCTAAGCACTTCAAGGATATTGTCCAAAAACTTGAAAATCACCCCTTTTTTATGAATAAAATCTTGTAACTCGGAAACATAAAATCTAAAATTTATAAAAATCAAAAGGGAGCTTACAACAATAGATATAAACCATTTACCAAAGTTTCATAAAAAATGCTGAAAGCATTTTTGAGTTATTGTACGAAAACTGGAAAATCCCCCTTTTTGTAACGAATAAAACCCCATAAATCAGAAACGTATAGTCTAAAATTTATAAAAATCAAAAGGGAGCTCATGTCGATAGCATTAAACAATTCACCAAAGTTTCTTGCAAATTGGTGAAATTGTTTTTGAGTTATACTGTTGAAAACTGGAAAATCCCCCCTTTTTTAATGAATAAAACTCCAAAATAGGAAACGGTAAATCCGAAATTTATAAAAAACGAAAGGGAGCTCACGTCAATAGATATAAACAATTCACCAAAGTTTCATGCATATTGGTAAAAGCGTTTTTGAGTTAATGTCCGACATTTAGACGACGGAGGGACAGACGGACAGACGGACGGTCAACGGTATACCATAATACGTCCCGTAAACGGGCGTATAAAAACTACCTTGACCAAAAATGGACGGACGAACAAAGGAACAAACGGACATCGAACGGACGCACAGACCGAAAAACATAATGCCCCTAGGTGGGGCATAAAAATGTAAGGTAGCATTCAGAAGATCCTGCCATATGAGCTTTCTGAGTCATTATATAAATAACACATAGCTGAGAGGGTGATAGAGCAGATTGTTACCCCGAGAAAACATTGTCAACTGAGGTTAAGTCAAGGTTGACAATATTTTTTCAAGGGGTACCAATCTGCTCTATCACCCTCTCAGCTATGTGTTATTTAATTTATTATACTGAATGTTCTATCATTATTGTCTTTAACAGCTAAATTCTAAATTGACATCACTTACACATTACAGTTATTAGAAAAAACAACAGAAATGAAGCAAGATATTTTTTTCCCTTTTGACAGTGAATGAAGATGTTCTGAGGCCAAAACGTAGAACTTGATCATTGTCCAGAATTTATTGATGTAAATGCAATACATCGTCCTTTAAGTTATTGATTTTGATTGGTCTGCACAAGATTGTGACATTCAAAAAATTGTCTCTGGCTGAGACATGGGATAGAGTACATTATCTCCCTCGAATAAGCCAATCAAAATCTGGTATTTTAACATGAAGCATAATAAATACAATTATTATACAGGAAGCTTTACCAAACACAGTCTGACTGTAGTATTTTTCCAGTCATATCAACATTTTAGAATATATTACTTCTAAATACATTCTGTTAGTCAGAAATAAAGTTTTCTCACTGTTCCTATTTGACTTGTGCATAAAAAGCATGTTTGGCATAAAATTTTGATGAAATAACTACAAAACTTGTATAAAATTAATCAAAAAATAAAGAGCTGGGCCATGAGGGCATGATACGCTTGTCACTTTTTCAACAAATAAAGTTCCATACCTCCTCAATGTTATATCAGAAATTTATAAAAAAACTAAAGGGAGCTTATTTTAATAGATATATACCAGTAACCAAAGTTTCATGAAAACTGCTCAAAGTATTTTTGAATTATTGTCCGAAAACTAGAAAATCACCTCTTTTTTATGAATAAAATCCCTTAACTCAGAAAGGTAAAAGCTAAAATTTATATAAATTGAAAAAGGGAGCTTACGTCAATAGATATAAACAATTCACCAAAATTTCCCGAAAATTGGTTAAAGCATTTTTTAAGTTATGGTCTGACATGTTGACAATGGACGGACAACGGTATACCATGATACGTCCCATAAACGGGCGTATAATATCAGTAAACACAACACAATCAACTAACCTTCGATGTTTTCTATGAAAAGTTCCCCATACATCTGCCAATATGGTAGGTAAACAATATCCTTGAGAAGGCTCCAGCTTTGTGGAGCATTGGGAAACAAGTTGGCTTGATAGGTCACCCCAAAACTAAACACAAATACTGCTAATATCATGAAGAAAAACTGTATATCTGTGATCTGAAAAAAAGTTCAATGCATGGAACTTGACAGAAATCTATTGTCATACCAATATTGATCAAAATCTATAAAATATTGTTGAAAAGCTATTTCCATCTTCTTTCTATGTTGTGTGTGAACATACAGTAACTTCAGAAAATTTTTGCCATGTTTTTAGTATTGTGAAAATTGCAATGGAATAGGTTGAGCAAAACCAACAACTCACATTTTCAATTTTGATAGCATTATTTGTTAGCAAAATTTCCGGAAATAGACATAATTAATCTTGCATGTTTGTCCATTTTTCAACAATTGCAATAAAAAATGCAAGCCAAAATTTCTGAATTAACTGTATATATATTTAAACAAGTTATTTAAGATTTCCTCCTGCCTACCACAACAAGAGGCTCTCAAGAGCCTGAATCGCTCACCTGTATTTCAGAGGAGAAGATTTTGATATGTAAGCAAACTTGATGAACACTGTGTAAAATTGTCTTTAAAGGGCAATAACTCCTTAAGGGGTCAATTGACAATTTCGGTCATATCAACTTTTTTGTAGACCTTACTTTGCTGAACATTATTGCTGCTTACAGTTTATATATATCTATAATAATATTCAAAATAATAACAAAAAACTGCAAAATTTTGTTAAAACTACCAATTCTGTGGCAGCAACCACCCAACAATGGGTTCTTCGATTCGTCTAATAATTTCAGGGCCGATAGATCTTGACCAATTAAACAATTTTACTCGATGTCACATTTGCTCTAAAAGATTTAGTTTTTGAGATATAAGCCAAAAACTGCATTTGACCCTTATGTTCTATTTTTAGCCATGGCAGCCATGTTTGTCGATGGATACAAACTTTGGATACAATTTATAAACAAGATACCCTAAGGAACATTTAGTTAAAGTTTGAAGGTAATTGGCCCAGTAGTTTCAGAGGAGAAGATTTTTAAATGTTAGCAAACTTAATGAACAAATTGTGTAAAATTGTCTTTAAAGGGCAAATACTCCTTAAGGGGTCAATTGACAATAATGATCATATTAACTTTTTTGTAGATCTTACTTTGCTGAACATTATTGCTGCTTACAGTTTATATATATCTATAATAATATTCAAAATAATAACAAAAAACTGCAAAATTTTGTTAAAACTACCAATTGGGTGGAAGCAACCCAACAATGGGTTGTTCGATTCGTCTGAAAATTTCAGAGCTGATAGATCTTGACCAATTGAACAATTTTATCCCATGTCAGATTTGCTCTAAAAGCTTTAGTTTTTGAGATATAAGCCAAAAACTGCATTTGACCCTATGTTCTATTTTTAGCCATGGCTGCCATGTTTGTCGATGGATCAAAACTTCGAATACAATTTATAAACTAGATACCCCAAGGAACATTTATTCAAAGTTTGAAGGTATTTGGCCCAGTAGTTTCAGAAGAGAAGATTTTTTAAATAGTTTACGACGATAGATGACGACAACAGACGACGGACGATGACGAACCCCAAGTGATGGCATAAGCTCACATGGGGCCCTTTGGGCTCTGGTGAGCTAAAAAGGAAAACTGTTTCTTGATAAATAAACCAAATTATGCAAATAAATCTTCAACAATTACTTAAAATTGAACAATTTAGCAGGTGAACTTTGATAAAATAAAAATTTCATAATAAAATGACCTGAATCAAATTGAACCACTTCCATAATACAGCAAATTGATTGGCAAATTTTAGTAAGTAGAATTGAGTTGTTGGATTTGTTCATCCAAGGTTAAACTTCTATTTCTTAAGAGTAGTGCACTAACGTCAAATAAAGAGTATGGTGTCATAGTATCATCTTTAAGAGCCGTCCCCACTAGTCCCCAGTGAACTTCCCAATATAAAATATTTGGTTCTACATAATAAGTTTTCATGGCAATCTAATAAAACAAATACAAGAAAAAACATACCATTTTCCTGATCATAATCACTTTTGGTCCAATATTTTTCTCCACAAAAAAGAACTGCATTGTCCTCATGATATACATGGCTAAGGTTATACTGTAGGTCATCCTGGCCCAAAGGAAGTCCTCCTTTGACAGAGAGAATCTCATAATAAATGAGGACAAAAACAATATATACATGATCAAGTCAAACTTGTTCCACACACTGCCCCACCAACTGCGTAGTTTGTATAATAGGGATAACTGTTCTTTCATCAGTATCTGAAGAGAAAACAACAAAATGCAATAAGGCTGTATTCTGCAAATTCTATTTTCCACTTATTGGTGGCTCGTTGGCATTTAATTTTGCACTGACTGCATTGGAGGTCAAACATGGCTTACATACCAAATAGACAAAAATAGTTTTGGTGTTAAAAATAAACTGTTAACACAGAGATATGTCTTGCCTATTTGTTATTTTGATAATGCAAATGTTGAAATTAAAATAGCAATACTTTAACGTGTAAGTTATGAAAATATTTAAAGTCAATGAACCATGACTGAAGGTACAGGGCTAAACAATCTCCATGGAAATGAGATGTGCCAATGCTAATACAACTGCAAACCAAATACCATTGACTTTTCATAAGTCGTTCCCTTTAAACAAACCTAAACACAAACATTAACTTGTAAACTATGTAAAAGTTTCAAAGTCAATGAACCATAATTAGGGGGTGGGGTTATATAATCTCCATGGAAATAAAACTTGCAAATGCCAATACATTTGCATACAAAATATCATTGACTTTACATTAGTGGTTCATCTTAAACTGACCTAATCACAAACTAATACATGAAAACTAAGCAAAAGTTTCAAAGTCAATAGACCATGAATGAGAGGGCGGGGCCAAATAATCTCCATGGAAATGAGATATGCCAATGCTAATACAACTGCATACCAAATATCATTGACCTATCACTAGTGGTTCCCCATAAACTGACCTAATCACAAACTAATACATGAAAACTAAGCAAAGTTTCAAAGTCAACAGACCTTTACTGAGGGGGCGGGGCCAAATAATCTCCATGGTAATGAGATGTGCCAATGCTAATACAACTGCATACCAAATATCATTGACCTACCACTAGTGGTTCACCATGAACTAGACCTAATCACAAACTAATACATTGTTGATGCCGTCGCCGCCGACACCGGAAACAGCATACCTATGTCTTACTTTTTGACTCTGTCAAGGCGAGACAAAAATATAAACTTTAATACTGAGTGTTTTGATCAACTAAAAATGTTGCATCTTAGCTTTTTGTAAAATTATTACATGTTTCATTATTTTCCTATCTTGATGAAAGTGTGGTGAACAATATTATCAAAGATGGAAAATTGGTAAAATTTGTTGTTTATTGCGAACCAAATGAAAGTCTTCCACAGAGTCGTCTGCTCTTGACCAGTGTATTTAAACTTTTGTCTATTCTCTTGTCCTATTGAATAAATACAATAGCTATTGTTCTCTGTGTAGTTTTTTCACTGGGACCTTTAAATTTCTTCTAGGAGAAATCTATCACTCATTGATTAATTTACCTGACCAAAAAATTATCTTCTTTTTCGGCGGAAATAGTTGTATAAACTCGCATAAACTGCATGCATTATTGTATTTAATCAATATCAATAATATATTTTCAATCTGTTCAATATAAACATTTTGATAAACACTGATTTAATTATAAAAAGTTTATTTCTGACAAAATTTTTAGTACATGTATTGTTCCAATGAATTTGCATGTTCTTGTTGTTGTTCAGTTATAGAATACATTTATCAAGACCTTAATTTAAACACAATAATTTTCAAGTTTTTATTTGTCAAACACACAAAAAAAAGCAAATTTTAATAGGGAAAATATAAAAAATTTGTTCAGAAATCAACTTTTAATTTTTGAATCAGTGTTTATATTGAAACTATTAAAAATGAATTATTGATATTGAATAAATACAACACCACATGCAGTTTTTTTTAGTCCTTATTTAGTATTTGTACATGTATTTTCATTTTTGACAGTTCAATTTTTTGTTCAGGTAAATTAATCAGTGAGTGATAGATTTCTCTTGGAAGAAATTTAAAGGTCCCATCAAATAAACTACACAGAGAACAAAAGCTATTGTATTTATTAGATGGGACAAAAGAACTTACAAAAGTTTAAATCGACAGGTAACTTGCAGGTGAATCTGTGGAAAAGTATCATTGGGTTCGCAATAATATTATAAGTCTAAAGTATGTAAGGTTTTAATAACCACCTATATTTATATGTGGCCAAATTTTTTGAACCCCCTCATGATTCATCACCCCCAAACTCAATCCCAGCCTTCCCTTTGTGGTATGGTACCTTGCAGTACAATTTCAGAGAGATCCATACACTTGAACACAAGTTATTGTCTGGAAACTAGAAAAATGCTTGTTTTTAGGCCCCTTTTTGGGCCCCAAATTCCTAAACGTTTAGGGCAATTACCCCCAAACTCAAACCCAGCTTTCCCTTTGTGATATGGAACCTTGTAGTACAATTTCATAAAGATACATACACTTACACACAAGTTATTGTCCTGAAACTAGAAAAATGCTTGTTTTTTGCCCCTTTTTTGGCCCCTAATTCCTAAAATTTTGAGGCAATGACCCCAAAAATCAATCCCAGCATTTCCTTTGTGATATGGAACCTTATGGTATAATGTCAGAGAGATCCATACACTAACACACAAGTTATGTCTGGAAGTTACAAAAATACTTATTTTTGGCCCCTAATTCCTTAACTGTTGGTAACATAACCCCCAACATCAATCCCAACCTTCCTTTTGTGGTATTGAACCTTATGGTAAAATTTAATAGAGATCCATTCACTTAAACTAAAGTTAGAGTGCGAAAACCAATGTGTCTTCGGACGATGATGACGACGTCGGACGACTACGACGCCAACGTCATACCAATATACGACCACAAAATTTGTTTGCGGTCGTATAAAAATATAAGCTATATACCCTTTTGGAGCAGGGGAAAACCTAATTTTTTCTCACAAAAGTTATAATATCCTCGAGGAACCCTTAATCAATTGTGTAAACTTAATAGTAATAAACAGTTATACACATCTCTGTAAAGAAGAAACCATTTGCATAAATATCAATAACGTGAAATGTGGATAAAAATATAGCAGTTCAATATTACTAGTTCATAAAACTAGCTACTGCATTGAGGTTATTTTAGCTATTTTGCAAAAAGGACAAAAATAAACTATAATTTATGTTTTTACATATAAATAATGAAATTTTTCAAAAGACACTTATAAATATGATTCCATAAATAAACTCACACATTGTTTTTTTTTTTTTAATGTTATGCCAATTTAGGCATTATTCTTAGAAATGCATGAATATATATATATATATATATAGTATATATATAGAGGCAAACACAGAACTTGCATTGCCTACCTTAAACCTTGTGAGCTAAGAATAACATATGGATTATGATTGCTAGCAAACAAACACTGGCTTTTGATTATATAACACAGAAAACTTAAATTTTTATTCTGTAAATATGATTCATTGATCCAATAGTGAATAAGACATTAAAAGTTGTCAACATAAACAATATATCATCTACCATATAAAGAATTGTAATGTTAAAGACCATTAATCAATTATGTTGTTTAGATTACCTTGATGATTGTTGACACATTACTGTAAATAAAAGTATGCAGTCTTTTATAATATTGGCCATTCATATTTCATATTTTTCTATTAAAAGAATTTTTATAGATTTCATTTATAATGGACATAATTGTAGGTATCAAATTACAGTTTTAAATGTAAAATTTAATTTGTATCTGTATCTGTTATTGTCCAAGTTATTAGAAGAAATACATTAATTGTGGATCCCACTGGAAGACCTATTAGAAGAAATGAAATTAATACAGCTTTCCTATGACATGCTTTCTCCACACTCAAACAATTATAAACTTCTAATGAATATTTTAATGTTTAAATACCAATGAGTGAGAAAAAAAAAATAAATAGTAGCAAAATATATAACTAGCTGCATTAATAATAGATATCTGGCTTGAAACATATTATTACCGATTCATGTTCAACTTTGATGTAACGACAACATAAAATCTATATTGAAAAGGCACAGAAAGTTTAACTACATTAGTTTTTTTAAATTTACTATGTGAAGAAAATATAATTTGATATACATAGCTGTTTTGTACTTATGACAAATGTTACATATGCTTTGAATTCATTTACTGTGTATATTTGTGGAATATCAATTTTCGCAGATTTCATGAGTAGAGGAATACCATTTATTCAAATACTTGACAAAATATTAATGTTAAGTTACTTTGATAGGAGCCAATATCATACTTATTCAAAACTCAAGTATAGGGCAGTCATGGTGCCTTCAAACATGTTTCACCCAGCAACATTCTTAATGTGCCTGTCCCAAGTAAGGTGCCTGTAGTTCATGTCTGTCATATTTGATTTTCATAAATTGTTTTATTATAAATTAGGCCATAAGTTTTCTCAATTGAATTTATTCAAATTTTTCGTGTCGGGGCCTTTTATAGTCGACTATTCTGTATGGGTTTTTCTCATTGTTGAAGGCCGTACAGTTGCCTGTAATTGCTTATATCCACTTATTTAAAACTTTGGTGGATAGTTGTCTCATTGACAATCATACCACATCTCCTTATTCTCAGATGGTATCTAGATTTTTCTCAAAGTTGTTTTACAAATTGAAGTACCTGTCTGACTTCCTCCGTCACCATAGTGACTGTCCATCCCCAAGTTATATACTCATACACAGATATTCCACCATCATCTGTAGCATGTAAATCTGTCAGTACAAACAATGTAAATATTCCTATAAACACCAGGTAGGAAATCTGAAAGAGGCAAAGATTAATGATCCACTATTATCTATATCAAGTAAATCTATCACGATATTCCTATAAACACCAGTTAAGAAATCTGAAAGAGGCAAAGATTAATGTTCCACAATTATCTATATCAGGTAAATCTGTCAGTACAAACAATGTGAATATACCTATAAACACCAGGTAGGAAATCTGAAAGAGGCAAGGATCAATGATCCACTATTATCTATATCATATAAATCTGTCAGAACACCAAGTAAGAAATCTGAAAGAGGCAAAAGTTAAAGTTCCAAATAATATAACTTATCAATATAATTTAACTATGATATATATGACAGCCTTCAAAAGCAAAAAGGTGCAAATATAAGATTATATTGATTTCGCATATGAACATGTATTTCTTTGATTTTAATTTAATCTGATCTAACATTCTTTTCATAAGAGTAAACTTATAAAAAGAGTCGTAGACCTTACCAAATAGATCCAGAATTTAGTGACAGGTGCTGTGTAGAAGTAATAAATGGCATAAGGTATGCTGATTGTGTCATCAGTATTTCCACAAGCACACATGGCAACTTTGTAAAATTTTCCATGTTTTTTTGGCTTCAATTCTTTCTCTGTAAAGTCTATTGTGTTTTCAGGTGTCACTTTATTTGTCGTGGCATGAGGATCTTCTGACATGGCCATACATTCTTCCTCGATTATTTCTTCTTCCTCCCTTTCTAAATCTTCCCCCGGAGCTTTACTGGTAATAAACTTAATTGCAGGGATCAGGAATGGAATAAAAATGCTGATGATAATCTGAAAATAAGAAAATGTTGTATTATCACACATAATCAAATATCTTCATACCCATTCAATTATTATTAAACAATTACTGATACAACCTTATTTTAATTCTATTTTCATTTTAGGCTACTGCCTTTTTAAACCTACACAGGTATAATATCCTTAAACAGTTCTTTTAGGCAAAACTTACTGGAATACCTTTTAGTCATATAAACAAGAAAGCACACATTGATGGGCTAATCGTACTCCCATACATTATTCAAAGTTACAGAAAACAGGAGCAGAAGGACTTATTATGTTCAGTAGTATTGGAGAATTGTGTGAAAAAAATTTGACATATTGAAAAAATCAAACAATTGGCAAACAAAAAGTAGGTATCTGACAGATCAGAAAATTGCTCATAGAAAGAAAATAGTATTATTTCAATCTCAAAAAGAATTTTTACCTGTCTTTTATTTATAATTCCCCTTTAACTTACATGTGAAAGATATATAAAATCGCATATATGTCAAACTTAGATCTAATCTTTATTTAATACATCAACTATTAAAAAACTTTAGGAATAAATGACTGCAAGTCGATCAAGTCGACAAGAAAATAGTTTCAGCAAAAATAACCTAGTTTACAGTACTACCGTTATATGACAAAAATTTGAGTTAACATAATTTATGAAATATTTCTATCTGATATTCTTCGTGAGTACCAAAATCTCATATCCTTATATCTGATTATATATTTAGTTACCTTGTTATCCAAGAAGTTTGCAGATAAAATTATGGATTTAACATTTTGTCTTGAATATCTAAATGAATTCAAATCACAAATGCAGTAGAACACCTAAGAAAACACTATTTCCACTATCCTCCCATTGACCCTTAGACGATATGCAAACTGCAAATGTTATCCTCTGCTTTGGAATTGCATAAGTGATATATGTAATGTTTAAAGTTTCATGAAAAATCCTGTATCATCCCATGGGAAAACGAAATTTGAATTAATGCAAAGGGTCTGATTTTCATGTCAATACTTGCATTACCTAGTAGAATAAATTAAGCAATATTACTTTTGAAACATCCTTTATCTATCTTAATTATTCCATTTCAGGATCTCATACTATGCTTTGTTCACAGCTGCTTCAGGGATGAAGATATCAAACAATTTAATGAAACCTTAATCAGTAATGCTTTAGCCCAGACCTACTTACATGATATTAAGAATCAATAATATACCTTCATGTTAGATGTATAAAGAGCCATTCTACCCTTCCAAATACTGTTGAGTTTAGCCATACATGCTGTTTGTCCCATGAAATCCATCATCTCATTAGCATCAGCTATCGTAAACTGTGTGGTATTACCATACTGTTCTACTGTCTGTACTAACATGGATGTGGCTAAATATCGGTTCTGTATGTAACACTCTGTTATCAAACTACATGCTAGACCCTCATAAAACCTAAGAAAGACCCATGAGCTCTTTAGAATACCTGATAGTGATATACACAAAACTCAGACAAAAAGAAATATTCCCCTTAACTGTATGTTCATGAAGAATTTCCTCTTGAAGTAATTTTTTTTTACTTATTGATCATGATTGTGGATAATGTATTTGATCAACCATATATTTTCATTTTCAAGTTTGGTTTCGACTTTAAAACCAGCATAAGAAACAATTGACAACAGGCACAAAGAAATTATAAGATTTACATGACCTTTTCCATATGGTAATCATTAAAAATTCAAATCACTCGCCAACATTAGCTAACTGTTTCATTTTATGCTTTTCTTTACAGTCTGTTGTGCTGTGCTTCCATAGCTGACCTAAACCAATGCCAAACTGTATAATGACATTTTTATATGTGCATAGTTTCATCACACTTTCTCACATAATTGGATATAATTGTGTATTGTTGATATTGCATTTTTATTATTGGTGCAGTTTGTTGCACCATGTTCTCCTACATGAGCAAGTTATATAGCATGAACAACAAATGCTATGTTTTTTAAAAAATAGTTCTATTTCTTTTATTTAAAAATACTATAGGGTTTTGAAATATTTTCTCAGCCAATTTTTATGCAATCAACATGTTACCACAGTCATTAATATGATAATTCAAAATTTGGACCCTTGGATTGATTGATTGATGTTTAATGCCACTCTCAGATTCAGAACTAATGGCTTTTTAGCGGTGGTCAGTTTTCATTGGGAGGAAGCTGGAGTGCCCTTGGACAATTTAAGATAAAATGCTTCGCTGGGGCGCAGCTTGATACGACCGCAGAGGTCGAACCCTGAACAGTTGGGGCAAGTATGGACACAACATTCAAACTTGATACAGCTCTGAATTTGGATTGTTATTAAATATTTGACACAGCATAGGTTTCTGACACAGAAAGAATGTGGTCTATGAACTTGAATTTTTTTAATTTACCTATTATGGTCCAATGTCCAAAATCAAAATACATGGTTAGATTCAGCATATCAAAGAACCCCATATATTCAATTTTTGTTAAAATCAAACAAAGTTTAATTTTGGACCCCAACTTGGACAAACTTGAAAATTGGGCCCATAATAAAAAATCTAAACACATGTTTAGATTCAGCATATCAAAGAACCCCAAGAATTCAATTTTTGCTAAAATCAAACTAAGTTTAATTTTGGACCCTTTGGACCTTAATGTAGACCAATTTAAAAAACGGGATTTAAAATTAAAAATCTAAATACACAGTTAGATTTGGAATATCAAAAAACCCCAATAATTCAATTTTTGATGAAATCAAACAAAGTTTAATTTTGGACCCTTTTGACCTCAATATGAACCAATTTGATAGCGGGGCCCACAAATAAAAATTCTAAATTCATGGTTAGATTCAGCATATCAAAGAACCCCATATATTCAATTTTTGTTGAAATCAAAAAAAGTTTAATTTTGGACCCCAACTTGGACCAACTTGAAAACTGGGCCCATAATCAAAAATCTAAACACATGTTTAGATTCAGCATATCAAAGAACCCCAAGAATTCAATTTTTGTTAAAATCAAACTAAGTTTAATTTTGGACCCTTTGGACCTCAATGAAGACCAATTTAAAAAACAGGACCCAAATTAAAAATCTAAAAACACGGTTAGATTTGGCATATCAAAGAACCCCAATAATTCAATTTTCGATGAAATCAAACAAAGTTTAATTTTGGACCCTTTTGACCTCAATATGAACCAATTTGATAGCAGGGCCCACAAATAAAAAATCTAAATACATGGTTAGATTCAGCATATCAAAGAACCTCATATATTCAATTTTTGTTGAAATCAAACAAAGTTTAATTTTGGACCCCAATTTGGACCAACTTGAAAACTGGGCCCATAATCAAAAATCTAAATACATGTTTAGATTCAGCATATCAAAGAACCTCATTTATTCAATTTTTGTTGAAATCATACAAAGTTTAAATACTGGACCCTATCTTGGATCAACTTGAAAACTGGGCCCATAATCAAAAATCTAAACACATGTTTAGATTCAGCAAATCAAAGAACCCCAAGAATTCAATTTTTGTTAAAATCAAACTAAGTTTAATTTTGGACCCTTTGGACCTCAATGTAGACCAATTTAAAAAACAGGACCCAAAATTAAAAACCTAAATACACGGTTAGATTTGGAATATCAAAGAACCCCAATAATTCAATTTTAGATGAAATCAAACAAAGTTTAATTTTGGACCCTTTTGACCTCAATATGAACCAATTAGATAACGGGGTCCACAAATAAAAAATCTAAATACATGGTTAGATTCAGCATATCAAAGAACCCCATATATTCAATTTTTGTTGAAATCAAACAAAGTTTAATTTTGGACCCCATTTTGGACCAACTTGAAAACTGGGCCAAAAATCAAAAATCTAAATACATGTTTAGATTCAGCATATCAAAGAACCTCATATATTCAATTTTTGCTAAAATCAAACAAAGTTTAATTTTGGACCCTTTGGACATTAATGTAGACCAATTTGAAAACTGGACCCAAAATTAAAAATCTAAATACACTGTTAGATTTGGCATAACAAATAAATAAATGTGATCAAAGATTTTACAAATCTAATGCGCCATACTGTGCAATTAAAGATTACTTCTTGAAATTTTTCAATATTTGAAATTTGAAAAAAAAATAATATTTGAAGAATAATTCTTTTTAATTTCTGAAATCTGAAATGAGAAAAAATTGGCCCCCCACAATTTCTTTTTATCCCCCCCCCCTCTTTTTCCCCAAAAAAAATTCTTTCCCTCAAGATATGGTCATAATCTCAATTCAAATTTCCAATGGAGTTGGCAACCATAATTACCCATTTAAATTTACCATAGTGCTAACTTAATCTAATTTATAATAGAATTAATAAAAATATAGTGTCAAATCTTTCATATGGATTTTTTTGTAAAAAAAAAAGATGAAAACATTTGCAGATATTTTTACTGGTCTTCCTTTATAAATATGCATTTCTTTAAACATAATTTAAAAGCAGTGTAAGGGAAGTAACCAAAACGTTGTATTTGGATTACCTCCCTTACACTGTTTTAGATTATCTTTATTGTTCATTAACCATTACTTTATACATAATTTAAAAGCAGTGTAAGGGAGATAATTTCAATGATGTATTTGATTTATCTCCCTTACACTGCTTTAAATTATGTTTTGTACTAAAGTATTTGTCCATTAACCAGGACAACCTTGTTTTTCCCCCTTTTTTGCCCCTAATTCCTAAACGGTTTGAGCCATAACCCCCCAAAGCAAATCCTAACCATCCCTTTGTGGTATGGAAAATTGTAGTATAATTTCAGAGAGATCCATACACCGTTCCACAGTTATTGTCTGGAAACTAGAAAATGCTCATTTTTGGCCCCTTTTTGGCCCCTAATTCCTTAACTGTTGGTACCATAACCGCCAAAATCAATCCCAACCTTCCTTTTGTGGTATTTAACCTTATGGTCAAATTTCAAAAAGATCCATTCACTTAAACTAAAGTTAGAGTGCGAAAACCAATATGTATTCGGACGACGACGCCGGACGACGACGACGACGACGACGCCAGACGACGACGACGACGACGACGACGACGACGACGACGACGACGACGACGACGACGCCAACGTCATACCAATATACGACCACAAAATTTTTTTGCGGTCGTATAACTAGTCAACATTCACATCATTGAAATAGATATTTTGAATGCAAGGCAGTACCAGAATGACTGAAATACCATTTCAATAATACATGAACAAGATAATTACTTAGAATTTTCCATGTATGACAAGCTTAGCTCCATATCTTCATCAGAATCTGCTATGTTTGATAAAGCTTTGGTCAAAGCACTGGCCATCAGAGCCGAACCTGAAAAGAACCCAAACATTGTCTTTTAGAAATTTCTGTACATATAAAAAAGAATATTAAGGATATACAATACAGAAGTAGTGAAAGATAACATACTGTGAAATCTTTATTAATTGTGGGATACCAATTTTCATGGATTTCATGAGTAAAAATAAACCATGAATTTAAATGTCCAACAAAGTACATGTTTTCTAAAGGCTTGTGTGCAGACTTTCATAAAACCTTGATATAAAATATCCCAGAAAATACCATTTTTCCTCAATAAACAAAAAAAAGTAACCCTGAATCCACAGTAACTAAAATTAGCATGTTATTTTTGCTATGCTGCTAATACTCTGTAATAGATACCTAATTTGAGGTAAACACTCTGATGTTATCAAATACAGTTGCATGAACTTGAAAGGGAAAGTAGACATGATATTTATGAAAGCAGGTGAAATCTTCCAAAAGGCATTAAGCTAGAGGCAAATTAATACTTTGGTTAGTTTTCTCTCATCATAAAGTTTAAATATGGTTAGTTTTCTCATTAAAATGTTTAAATATAACAGTGATCTCTAGGTCATAGCCAAATGTCCTATGCCACTGTGTAAATGAGAAATAAAATTGTGTGTTCAGTATTGAGTTGTACAACAGGAACATAGATTACATTATAAAGCGTATTTCAAGCTTTTGTATTTCAGCCACATGGACTTATTTGAGACCTTCCCTTGTTGATCAATTTTGTATTCAAAGTTTCTGTAATGTTATGCATGACCATAACTATATCCACTTGAGGCTCGGGCTAGGGAACAACAAGTGATCTCAAAGTTTATGTGTAAATCAATTTTCAAAGCAATGGGCAGCTTTATTGCTTGTTGTGGTTATTAGCATTGTGTATGAGTTTCTTAACATTTGAATGAGGCAAACTTACGCTAGAGTGCGGAAACGAAAATGGACAGACGGAATGACGGACGGACGGTCAAGGGTAACCCTTAATGCCCCCATCGCCCAAAGTGGGGGCATAAAAATACCTTGAAATGGTTGTCTTTATTATGGTTCTAAGTATGTAAAATAATAAACCAACTTACATGTATAATCTCTTCCACGTTTCCAGAAAAGCATTGCTATATCTTTCCTATTCATCATCACTGCCCATAGAAATAATTCTTTGTTTGGATTATCAAAATAAACTTTCATTTTAGATCTTCTTTTGGAAAAGGCCATATGTTTTCTTTCTGTAAAAATAAACATTGAAACTTTTTCCAAATAAACAAAACTCAAAATCCTGTAAATAGCATCTATATAATGTTTAATTTTCAGAGTCTGAGGAAAACTTTCTGTTTTATTCTCCAATATCTGTATTTCTACAAAATAATTACAATAACGTACACTTTAATATAAATGTTTGCAAAGTCAAGAAAAAACCTTTAACCAGCATTGGCAATAGTCTACCTTAATAAGATACATTGTACATCATTTTACTTACTTTCTGTTTCTTGTGTTTTTATATATCCTAATTTGGGTAGTACATTTCCTACAATGTAAGTTGAACTGCTGCTTCCTAGAAAAAATCATTGAAAATAACATCAGCTGATAACAAGCAAAATTTTACTATGTGCATGTATATGGTAATAAAGGTAAATAAGCATAATACACTAAGCTGCACATCAGGTTACATAATGCTATGGTTTTCTTGCCTAAGCCTAAGTTTCAGGGTGTTATTTTTTTTTAGGTTTTATACCATGACTTTAACCAATGTTTAGGTCTGAATTCCTAAGATCATCTTCATGACTGTGCTATGTGTATGTGAGAAAAATTTAGGTTTGAAAAAAAAAGTTATATATAATACATAATTTATCTAATAAGTAATACAGTCTACAATTCTAATTCATTATATTGACCTTCAATCAAACAATTTGGAAAAATTTCTTTGACATAAGGAAGCTTGGTCCAAAGTGTTGCTTTGAAAGATTTTTACCATTCTGTGTACACGAAAATGTGTGAGTCTTTCAAAGAAGATGGGTGTTGCCTGCCATCTCCAGATTATATTAGTCTAAGTTCATATTTTAGTAATTTTTTTGGATTTTTTGGATTTTCATCTTCTTTTCATTTTCCCATGATGTTGTCTTTCTTTGTTTTTTCATCTAATGTTTTCTTGTTGTTCCCTTGTTATCTTCTTAAACAATCCAATAGAAGTTTGTTTGAGTGATATTTTTTTTTATAGAAACTAAATTCTAAAAGGGATAACTATATTTTAAATGCACTATTAGGTAAATAAAGCATCCTTATAAGGAAGTTGGTATAGTAAAGCATACAATACACTAAGATATATATATAATTTGGTTGAAGATATTTTTTTATGTAAAAATGATGATATGATGATGTGAATGGTCACAGTATGCACATTATTATAGTATTTTATGAATGAATAAATTTGCTTTTAGTAAAAAGTTACAACCAGTATGTTAATAGCTAAAATAATGGTACTTTTGTTTGCTTCTGTCACCTGTCTTCTGCTCACCTATCAGGTGCATTATAATCTCTTATATTAACTTAATACCACAAAACTAATAAAACAAGCAGCAATGGACAGAAATTTCAGTATACTGATAAGCAGAAATGAATACATATATATTTATATGACAGATTTTTGTGTCTCTGAAATTGCCACTTCACACATTCTACTTTGTGAGGACCACCTTACCATTGACATTTTCTTCCAACTGATCAATATATTCAGAACGTTAAAAAAACAATAAACTTTATATGCGAGAGGAAGATTGATTGATTGGTGTTTAATGCCACTTTCAGTACTATTGCGCTACTTCCTGTGGGTCAGTTTTATTTGTTAAGGAAGCCGGAGATACTAGAGAGAACCACTGAACTTGGGTATGAAAAACTGACAATCACAGCTGTGTAAGCAAAAAATATACTCTCATGTGCCTTTAAAAATCCTACCATTAAAGAAGTACAATACTAATGACACACCACTTTGGACATTATATATAGAATGGGAAGCACAACCAAGCCACTCAAGCATTAAATGTAGGTTCTGATGCAAAATTGCTTTGTACTACACAAAAATGATTGCAGTTAGGAAATATCACTAAAATATCACAATTGATTTCTGAAATAAGGAGCTACATGCAAAACTTAAGTCAAGTGAATCTAAAATATAAGCAGGAATTTACTATATGCGAAACTAAGTGGTGAAATAAATTTCATTTGTATTATAATCAGGGGAATTGACAAAAATTAGATTGAATGTAACATTATCAATCAGATGTAACACGAAGCCTATCATTGTTACAAAAATATATTGTACTGTAAAAAAAACCCAATATGTTTTGAAACAAAATTGAAACACCATAAAAGGTTTTCAAGAAATACATCATTCACTAATATAATTCAAGTATAGACTGTAGTCATTATGACTCAAAGGGTTATCAAACTGTTTTATACTATGACAGAATTGTTGGTGTGCCATTAAAGGTTTCTCAGTAACTGACTCAAAATTCAAAACTGAAACAAACCATCCATACAAACTGAGGTTGATTTTACAGACTTAATTGGTTACTGAACATACAATTTGACAACAAACACACTTAAAATTGCTATCATAGAAATTGGTAACACCTGAGGAACAGCCACCTGAGCAAATTTAATCTTATCAGCAAACATTTTTTTTTAACAGATGTAGTAACTATCAGATTAGTCCTATAATATGTGCCTTCGCATTATATTTCATTATTAAACGTTTTCATGCTGATATTTTCATTTTTTTTAAATGTGACACATTGATAGTAAAAACAAAAAAAAGAAAATAAGAAATAGCAAAATAGCAAAATAAGAAAAAAGAAAATATCAGAAATATACAGAAATAGAAAATAATGCCCAAGGTCATATATTATAGGACTACTATCAGATCAGTTGTAAGAAAATGTTTTGGTGATCCATGTGATAAATTTGAATCTTATCTACTTACTATCATCTGGCCCTGTATCATTGAATAAATGATTGAAATATGAAAATGTTCTTTACCTACAGAAATGTGATGTTTAAATAGCTAAGCAACAGAACATCATGGTTTTATAAACTATATGATAGTGAAACAACAGTAGTATACAGTCCACCTATCCTACTATTTATGGTAACAAAAATCTTTTTTTATAGGTTATTTGTAAAAAAAAAATTCTCACAGCGAAGAACAATCTTTCCTATGAAAATTACCACATTGGCTATACCAACAACCAATTAACTGCCCACCAATTTTCTTCCATAGGACAGAAATTCTTACTAGATGTGTTGGTACAAAACAAATGCCCTGATTCTAGCAATTAAGATGTAAAAATGGGCTATAATTCTATCCATAATGAAAAAAAATTAACAAAACATGTGATCTATAGCTAATCGTTATGGAACTACATACCAAAAGTCAGGCACAACAAAAAGTGTGAACTACAATCATATTTCTGAATGGCGGAGAAAAAAGGACAGAACGAAAAATGTCTGCTAAGCAGGAGCTAATAATATTTTAGTTGATAGGAAAATTCAACCAAAATGCATAAATGCATATTAGGATCTAACACATATTACACTTGTCAATGAAAAGTAAACATTTGTAGAATATGATATTGACCACTGATCACCACTGATCAACAATTTAATATCCAAATACAAATGTTGTGAACATAATAAAATTGAGAATGGAAATGGGGAATGTAAGTTAGTGGTGAATACTTGTTTATTGTAAAACAGAATATTTGTGCAGCTCAAAATCAGTTGAATTAATCAATACCAATTTATAAGAACATATAAATTAATTGTATGAGAGGAGTTGCAGTGACAAAGTGGGTTCTAAAAAACATTAAAATTTCTAAGCTGAAGGGGGCAAAACTTGAAATGACAGGATAAATGCTGAGCATGGCCAAAATTTCTAAATTCAAAATCAGGAAGATTCCTATATTGTCCAAATTATACTATATAATACCAAACTTTTTGTTTTTCAAGCATATAATGATATAAAGATAAGTAAAACTTTACTCCATTACCACTTTGTGGTGGACTAGTATACATGTAGTATGTAACTGTTCTATTACACCCAGTCCTTTTGGTAAATAACTACCCTAATGGTGTTACAATAAATACATTAAGCAAAAAGATTGATTTTACTAATTAAGGTAGCAATGTATTCATAATACACAAATATGAAAGAAAGAAATATTTAAGTAGCATATATTTCTAATAAATGGCAGGTTTTGCTGATGCTCTTAATACTCATTCCAATACAATACTAAAACATTTACATGCATATGTCATAAAACTTCTAGTTTTGGTTACTGCAGTTAAACTCATCTAAAAATTGAACATAGATAATACATACATGTGTAATACAATATATTGTACTAAAAAAATCCTTAAAGTTGATTTTATAATTTAATCTATAAATAAAAACAAAATAACTGCAAATCACAAGAGGTGCTTCTAAAGAAGGAAAATTTCAACACAGATCATGTATCATCTAGATAAATCCACTTATATTTGCATAAAAAGATGTCGTTATTACCTTTGTAAGGGTTTAAAGCTTCATCTCCCAGAAGATGAACAATCACTTTACCAATCTGTACCAGTAAATCTGGAGGCTGTTCAAGGAATGTACTTAAAGGTCGGCAACAGAAATAAGCTCCCCAGGATTGCTGAAAAAAATCAAATAGTTCTATATGACCAGTTTTATGCATTGTGTACAATTGGTAAAATCATAGTTAAAAACCACTAAAATGTCTGGGTTTTGCAGGATTAATTATTTTCATATGTTAGTGGTGGTTTGTGGTGGATTGTGGTAGGAGGGAAAACCTTTCTATTTCTGTATACATGAAATATCATGATAAGAAACCAGCAACAAATAATACCATCTGAAGCCATCAGAAACCATGTTTAGATAACTAGTTTTAGACTTGATAATACTATATTCTAAAAATAATATAACTACAGGTACTACATTTTCAAAATATCAATCAAACTATTCTGTAGAGATATAATAATTATAATAATAAGATGTGGTATGATTGACAATGAGACAACTCTCCACCAGAGACCAAATGACATAGAAGTTTACAACTGTAGGTCACTGTACAGCCTACAACAATGAGCAAAACCCATACCATATAGTAAGCTTTAAAAGGCACCAAAATGACAAATGTAAAACAATTCAAACAAAAATACTAACGATCTGATTTAAGACTATATCAATACAAAAATTCTTGGTTAATATAGATATCATTTTTTTTAAACTCTTGAGATGCAGTACATACAGTAATTTACCATTGTATTTTTTGTACACTTTCACTTTAAAACCATTTCAGCATAACATTATTAACTGAGTATGGGAATGAATTCACAGATCACAATATTATTCTTTAACAAACAAGCTCTTTAGATAAAAATTTCTAGTCACAATAAAACTGTATTAGTACATTGTAATTGCTTTTGAAAGTCTATTTATACAAAGCTTTTGTTCTGTATCACCAGATGAATAAACTTGATGAAAGTAATGTCCAATATATGCCTCTGATGATGTTATTTCACTACAGAAATGAAAATCCCAACTGTGGCTTTAAGCAATTCAAAACCAGTCTATTACATGAAAACAGCCAACAGTGTGTACATGGAATATGAATTCATCGGAAAATTTTTTTTTAATTTGCTTTATTTCAATAAAGAATATTTGTTCATATTTTTTGCAAATTCAAAATGCATTCGTTAAATTGGTAAGTGAAATACTGAAATTATTTTAGTGGAAGGTGGTGGTCAGTGCTAACGTACTATTGTAATATGCAGGAACGAATAGGTTATAGTAATATGATGCTATAGTGCTTAAAATAAAGAAAAACATAAGAAAAAGTTTCAAATTATCATACAAAAAACGTTCCATAAAAGATATAAAATAATCAGTTAATAATGTTGTGATATCTCAGTAAACTATAAAATCACTGCATACATATTAAATGATTCACTCAGTGTTTTATCATGTGATAGCTGCATACTCACCCTTGTAGCATTCTATATTATCAAAAATTCAAACTTTGAATATGCAAAAGAAGAAAAGTTACAAATGCTGTAGGGAAAAATGCTTTCAATAGTAACCAGAGTTACATGTGACATGATTCCGACTAATCAAAATCCTGAATGATAGCATCACCCATCATACGATTCCAAAGTTCACTTAAGTGTAGTTAAGACCAACACAGGGCATTAACCAAACCAGTAATTAACTCATAACCATCCTATGAATATATGGGATCTATGACAAAGTGGATGTGTGTGAGTTGTTATTGACTTTCATTGGTTGGGTTACTATCACACTGACATACTGTAAATCTAAAAATTATTGCATGCATTTATTACGAGATTATTTATTGCGATTTCAGGTAAATCTGCATAGAGTTACATGTATCAGATATCAAAATGTGAGTTCTTATAATTCACCCAGTCACATTATTTGCATTAATAAAAACCTCACTATAATTTCTTAATTTACAGTATACCAAATTTAAAACATACATCTTTGTAAATTTCCAGATAAAGAGAAAGATATAAAGATCTCTTAAAGCTAGAAAACAATAACTATATAATTTCAGAAGCCCTTTAAAGCTATACATCAGCATACCTACCTTTATGTACATCATGTGATTTTTTAGAAGCTGGGCTGCCCTGTCTGACTTGTCTACCATACACTGAAAATTATGTTAATATTCAGTTGTTTATAAATTTCAATCTCTTCAACTTTTTATTTTTGCCTTTATTTTTGGCAAAATAAACCTTTTTTATTCACTATGGATTCATTTATTTTTGTGGGCACTAATTTTCGTAGATTTAGGAAAAAATTGTATTTTCGTGAGTTTTTCATTTAGTGGTGTTCAAAAAATTTGTATACAAGCCTATAATCTATTTATAGTTTGTTAAACATTTAAATTTGTGGTTACCCTATATTCACAAAATCAACAAAATTTGGTGACCCACAAACAATTGTGAATTCACAGTAGTAGAAAAATGTCTTACTGTTTCAAGACCCACAACTATCTTTCTTATATGGATGTATGCAAGTTAATGGATAACATCCACAGCAACTATATGACTTTAGTTCATTCTAACAAAAGTGCATGTTTTTATTTTCTATTTAACATTTTAAAAAGAATTGAAATGAATATGAATATGAACAAAAACAAAAGCTATTTCAGTCTAAATGTGTTCTGCATTTAGGTATGGAGAGATTGTCTTGATTGATATTGTATTTTACTGGATATTTAGTCTTTCGATTCATATTGCTCTTAATGGAGAGAAAAAATTCCTGTTTGCTTACATTGGCATAAATATTCCACAGATTGTTGATATCTAAGAACTGTTCCATATCTGTGGCATTCTCCAAGAATAACTTGACAAATTCTGTTCTGTTCTGGATCAATGACTTTACCATTCCATCATCAAGATTCATTTCCTGAAAAAAAAGAAAACAAATCCAATGGAACCTTACAACCTTATTTTTAAGGAATACAAAATAAACTGTGATCTATTGTTCACTAATAATACAACTGTTCAATGTTGTTGACTCCATTTTACAATTTACATAGATACATGGAAGGTACCAAGACAACTAGTTTAACCAAATCACAGTATGCACTTTATCATTTGTTTGTCTCTCTGCCTTTTATATTACTGTGGATTCATTTATTTTTTGTGGGTGCAATTTTTGTGGATGAGAAACACTTGTTTTTTCATGGTTATTTAATTCCATAGTTTTGCCAAAGTCTGCATCAAACCTTATAGAAAATATGTCATTGTTAAACCCTTATAGAAAATGTGTCATTGTTAAACCCTTAAAGAAAATGTGTCATTGTTAAACCCTCATAGAAAATGTGTCATTGTGAAACCCTCATAGAAAATGTGTCATTGTTAAACCCTTATAGAAAATGTGTCATTGTTAAACCCTCATAGAAAATGTGTCATTGTTAAACCCTTATAGAAAATGTGTCATTGTTAAACCCTCATAGAAAATGTGTCACTGTTAAACCTGTGTCATTGTTAAACCCTCATAGAAAATGTGTCATTGTTAAACCCTCATAGAAAATGTGTCATTGTTAAACCCTTATAGAAAATGTGTCATTGTTAAACCCTCATAGAAAATGTGTCATTGTTAATCCCTTATAGAAAATGTGTCATTGTTAAACCCTCATAGAAAATGTGTCATTGTTAAACCCTTATAGAAAATGTGTCATTGTTAAACCCTCATAGAAAATGTGTCATTGTTAAACCCCCTATAGAAAGTGTGTCATTGTTAAACCCTTATAGAAAATGTGTCATTGTTAAACCCTTATAGAAAATGTGTCATTGTTAATCCCTTATAGAAAATGTGTCATTGTTAAACCCTTATAGAAAATGTGTCATTGTTAATCCCTTATAGAAAATGTGTCATTGTTAAACCCTTATAGAAAATGTGTCATTGTTAAACCCTTATAGAAAATGTGTCATTGATAAAAATTTGAATTCCTGATTCACCTTTACCTACGAAATCCACAAAAATTGGTATCCAAAGAATAATACTGAATCCACAGTAGGTGATTGTAGGTTGTTATTTCCGTTTGCTGTAGTATGTATTATATTTAGAAATTGTACTTCTCTCTTTAATACATAAAAGATTTTTTGATAAATAATGTCAGCCTTTGAAACTTACAGTAGCTCAGCCTTTGAACTTACAGTAGATGTCTTTGCAGCCAAAAGAGGAATTGTTTATTTGAAAACAATTTTAACACTTTCTTGGAATACATTCATTTTATTTTACTTTATTTTACTCTTTGTAAAAAGCAAAAAAGTAGTTTTTAACTACTACATATACCTTTAAACCCTCCTGATGTTTTGAAAAGAATTTTCCTTACCAAATTTACAAACAAAATATTTTACTGACATCTCAAAGTCAAACATTTTGTTATATTGTTATAAAAATTAATAACAAATAATAGCTTGCAATTGTCTTTCCAAATTCATAAACTGTGTACTTTATAACTTTTTACTACATTTAAAAAGTTTGACTTACCTGCCATTTATCTCTACTTGCTAATTTAAAGATTTGATTTTTAGCAATGTCACTCCTGTTCCATGTAAGTGCTAATGATAACTGGGCATCTGTACTGGACTTATTAGCTGAAGGAGACAAACTTTATTAGTATAATTTCATTACAGAAACACTCATAAATAATTCCAAGATTTTTAAGCTAGATCCTCAATTTAAGATGCAAAATTACATAATACTACTGTCCTATTTAAAAGCATACTCTATATTATAGCCAATTTTGCATCTATGGCAAGTCATCTATTGGATTTCCAAAAGGGAAAATCTCATGACTAGACAGTAGTCCAAATTGGCCAAACATTATAATTTAACGAACATAACATGTGACAACTCCATGGTAAACTCCATTAAACAAAATGTTTAACCTGTTACAAGACAGTAAAATTATTTTTTGTGTCCATCAGACTAACAAGCTGTCAGAAAATTAGATGCAATTCAAAATTCTATCAGAGATGAATGATAATAAAATGCTTCGCTGGGCACAGCTTGATACGACCGCAGAGGTCGAACCATGAACAGTTGGGGCAAGTATGGACACAAAATTCAAGCTTGATACAGCTCTGAATTTGCATTGTGATTAAATATTTGACACAGCATAGGTTTCTGACACAGAAAGAATGTGGTCTAAGAACTTGAATTTTTTAAATTTACCTATTATGGTCCAATGTCCAAAATCAAAATACATGGTTAGATTCAGCATATCAAAGAACCCCATATATTCAATTTTTGTTGAAATCAAACAAAGTTTAATTTTGGACCCCAATTTGGACCAACTTGAAAACTGGGCCAAAAATCTAAAATCTATATTCATGTTTAGATTCAGCATATCAAAGAACCCCATATATTCAATTTTTGTTGAAATCAAACAAAGTTTAATTTTGGACCCCAACTTGGACCAACTTGAAAACTGGGCCCATAATCAAAAATCTAAACACATGTTTAGATTCAGCATATCAAAGAATTCAATTTTAGTTAAAATCAAACTAAGTTTAATTTTGGACCCTTTGGACCTTAATGTAGACCAATTTAAAATACAGGACCCAAAATTAAAAATCTAAATACACGGTTAGATTTGGCATATCAAAGAACCCCAATAATTCAATTTTTGATGAAATCAAACGAAGTTTAATTTTGGACCCTTTTGACATCAATATGAACCAATTTGATAGCGGGGTCCACAAATAAAAAATCTAAATACATGGTTAGATTCAGCATATCAAAGAACCCCATATATTCAATTTTTGTTGAAATCAAACAAAGTTTAATTTTGGACCCCAATTTGGACCAACTTGAAAACTGGGCCAAAAATCAAAAATCTAAATACATGTTTAGATTCAGCATATCAAAGAACCCCATATATTCAATTTTTGTTAAAATCAAACAAAGTTTAATTTTGGACCCTTTGGACCTTTAATGTAGACCAATTTGAAAACTGGACCCAAAATTAAAAATCTAAATACACGGTTAGATTCGGCATAACAAATGAATAAATGTGGTCAAAGATTTTACAAATCTAATGTGCCATACTGTGCAATTAAAGATTACTTCTTGAAATTTTTCAATATTTGAAATTTGAAAAAAAATAATATCTGAAGAATAATTCTGTTAATTTCTGAAATCTGAAATGAGAAAAAATTGACCCCCCACAATTTCTTTTTACCCCCCCCCCCTTTTTTCCCCCAAAAAATTCTTTCCCTCAAGATATGGTCATAACCTCAATTCAAATTTCCAATGGAGTTTGCAACCATAATTACCCATTTAAATTTACCATAGTGCTAACTTAATCTATTTTATAATAGAATTTAAAATATAGTGTCAAATCTTTCATATGGATTTTTTTGTAAAAAAAAAAGATGCAACATTTGCAGATATTTTTACTGGTCTTCCTTTATAAATATGCATTTCTTTAAACATAATTTAAAAGCAGTGTAAGGGAAGTAACCAAAACGTTGTATTTGGATTACCTCCCTTACACTGTTTTAAATTATCTTAATTGTTCATTAACCATTACTTTATACATAATTTAAAAGCAGTGTAAGGGAGGTAATTTCAATGATGTATTTGATTTATCTCCCTTACACTGCTTTAAATTATGTTTTGTACTAAAGTATTTGTCCATTAACCAGGACAACCTTGTTTTTCCCCCTTTTTTGCCCCTAATTCCTAAACGGTTTGAGCCATAATCCCCCAAAGCAAATCCTAACCATCCCTTTGTGGTATGGAAACTTGTAGTATAATTTCAGAGCGATCCATACACCGTTCCAGAGTTATTGTCTGGAAACTAGAAAATGCTTATTTTTGGCCCCTTTTTGGCCCTCAATTCCTTAACTGTTGGTACCATAACCCCCAAAATCAATCCCACCCTTCCTTTTGTGGTATTTAACCTTATGGTAAAATTTCAAAGAGATCCATTCACTTTAACTAAAGTTAGAGTGTAAAAACCAATGTGTCTTCGGACGACAACGACGACGCCGGACAACTACGACGACAACGACGACCAGGACGACGCCAACGTCATACCAATATACGACCGCAAAAATTTTTTGCGGTCGTATAATAAAAATGATAATTGGCATGCATTATGTTAACACTAAAGAGTCAGTCGTCTTGAGATTGCTCACTGTATGATATTCTATTGACTTCATTGTTAAATACTTCACAGAAGCTTCAAGACAGGGAACACAGAATCAGCAATATGTGTTTAATTTCTTATGCTTTCAATAGACTTTTATCCCATGTGTATATACCCAAATTGTTAGAAGCAAAGGCACTAATCTTAAGAGTGTAGAAGTTGACGTGTGTGAGAAACATAAATTGGAGCATCGTTTATACTAAATATTTTTCAAGCATGTTTTTTTTTATTATGGAAAACCACATGCATGATGTCCCACTGAAAGTGACTTTTGAGGGAAATTGAGCACTTAATGCTGCTCCAAGAGTAAACTCCCTTGAAACTGTATTGAATGCCTTTAAATATCATAATTTGCTAACTATTTTGATTTTTTTTAGGTTTTTTTTTTTCAGAGCATGGATAATTTCATCTTATCCTCAACCATTATCATTTTTTTTCTAAAGTTAGGTTGCAAGATATAAAAAATACCAGAAATTTGACAGTACAATTTAAAACAACAAATATGTTTTATTGTACATTTTTTGTGAAAACATACATATTATGGTATGAGAAAAATACTAGTCAAAATTTAAATAAGAATGGATGACAATAGATAGTTAATGTTCTTGTCAGAGCTATATGTTCTAAAATAAGACTGTTTGATAAACAATTCATTAAAATCTTCACTGCAATCTTTTTCATGAACTCACCCTTGAATAAAGTCAGAAGGATAGCCTCATCCATTTCCTCTTTAGCATTTTCTAAGTCATATATATGAATCTAAAAGTTTAAAATATGCATTTTATTTATTAAAATTTAGACAATCTTCATGCACAAATAAATAAATAAAACATAGATATTTAGCCTTCTATCAGCATTTAAACTGTATGCTTGCATTATTTCTGTCATCAGTATATACCCAATACAAAAAAAAAGATATTGTAGCTTCATATTTTTTTTTAATTAACACCTCCTTTAAAAACAAATTTTTCACTAACTAGTCTATTTTAAGAATTACTTGGTATTACAATAATTTGACAACTTCTATCAAGCAATGTCAACTGGTGATAAAAAAAAGTATCCATGTCTTTGATTACAGCAGTTCAACTTTTCAATTGATACAATATATGAAAAATAAATGAAGAATGTGTCCTATGGACACAGATGATGCCCCTGCTTGCATATAATGTTATAAAGAGACATAACTCAAGAAAGGTAAAACTGACGCCACCAAAATTCGAACTTGATCTGAGTTTTGTAGTAATAAGCATTGTGTATAAGTTTCATAACATTTGGTTGAGGCAAACTTAAGTTAGAGAACGGAAACATAAAATTCAGCAATTTTTCCATTTATAAAGAGGTATAACTCAAGAACGGTAAAAGTGACACCACCCAATTTCAATCTTGATCTGTGTTTTGTGGTAATAAGCATTGTGTATAAGTTTCATAACATTTAGTTGAGGCAAATAAAAGTTAGAAAAACGGAAACGAAAAATTCAGCAATTTTTATGTTTACAAATGGCATAACTCATGAACAGTAAAAGTGACGCCACCCAATTTCGGACTTGATCTGTGTTTTGTGGTAATAAGCATTGAGTATATGTTTTATAACATTTGGTTCAGGCAAACTATGCGATGGACAGACAAGACGGACAAGGTTAACACTTAATGACCCCTTTGCCTAGCGGCGGGGGCATAAAAAGCTTAAAAACAAAAGTTTTAGGAAACTTAAACATATTTATAACTTGCATATCTCTTTCCTAAGTACAGTCTATTTTTTTACCTCAAGATTTTCTGTTTTATTTGCATTACAGGTGAAATTGAGCTAGGAATAAAATGGCCTTAATCAATGAAAGCAGGTTGAATAAACAAGACATGATTTTTTTTTATACAATTTGATATGTTATTTCAACCTAGCCACACACATTAAATGCAATATAAACCAGCTTTTTGGAACCTCATCTTAAATAAACTGTTGACACAGAGATATGTCTCGACTACTGCCAGAAAATTTTAAAAAAGACAATCTGATGGACAACAACATTGCAACAATTCAAAGTTGCTTGAACATAACCTAAGTGACAAGGCCTCGAAATAGTCATCAAACTGATTTGTACTGATAGTAATGCAACTTTATACATATCATTGATCTATCACAAGTAGTTCCTATCAAACTGACTTAAGCAGAAAAACCTAGCATTTAAAATTGCTTATTTTAATTGAAAGTCACTGGACCTTGACCTAGAGGGGTGGACCTCGAAAAAGCTGTCAAACTGATATGTTCTGATAGTAATATAATTTTATAGAAAACATCATTGATCTATCACAAGTAGTTCCTATCAAACTAACTTAAGCAGAAAACTTGACAGTGAAAATTGCATATCAATTGAAAGCCTCTGGACCTTGACTTGGGGGAGGGGGAGGGCCATGAAATAGCTGTCAAACTGATATGTACTGATAGTAATGAAACTTTATACAAAACATAATTGATCTATCACAATTAGTTCCTATCAAACTGACTAAAGCAGAAAACTTAACAATTGTTGACACATCCTCCACAGCCGCTACCAAAGAAATACCTATGTCTCACTTTCCACGACATTTGTTGCAGGGGAAACAAAAATTGGACATTGTTCCCCACATTTGTTGGAAAAAACATCATCTGAAAAAAATAAGAATAGGCTCTGGCCCGATCCAGGTTAAAGAAAGAAAAAACACAATTGAAACATAATTAAACTTTGCTCAATTTTTGCTTCTTTCTTCCAAAATATAATTTTATTTACCATGTTTCGCTTCTCCAAGCATTCCCTTAATTGTCGAATAGCACCACTTATAATAGCTGATTTTTTAGAAAAATCTTGGGGTCTCCATTCAAATAATTCCTCTGCAACTACTGCCATTGTTTCTTCAAAATTTGCACTAAAAGCACTTTTTTCAGTCCTAAAAAAGGATTTAATAAAAAAATCAGGAATGATAAAGTAATACATAAATATATAAATATATTTGGAATATCAATGAGTATTTGAATACTCAAGTATCACTCAGAATATCTGAGAACAGAATATGAAATTGATGCTTTAGTTATTGTATACTTGTTTTATATAGTGTTTGCTTTCCATAAATATGTTTTCCTTTAAAACGACTCTGACACTTCATGAGTTAATCAAGTCACACTCAGATAAAAACAATTCCGTGTTTATTTACTACAGACTGGTGGACAATGTTACACATATGTATCAAACCTTGATCTATCTATACTAGGTGACAAAATTAAGCATGCACATTAATTCAGCAAATTATTTATCTTGATGATACTGGAACATGATGAATGTTATATTGTTGAAGAGTAAGATTTAGAGCTTGACATATGTTGTGAGAGCTTAACAATTATTGGAAACTGCATGTGGATCTCTAGATGTCCACGTACTAGTGTAGTTAAGTTGATGTCCTATAATATAGGTTTAAGATACATCTCCATTTGTTTATAATAATAACTTGCAACAAGCTGATCTGATATTATCTATCAAATTAATGAATATAGGGTATGCATCTGCATTATTTTCAAACACTTCATTTCTGCAAACAGCTTAAACAAAACTTACTGTCTATTTTTTAAGGATGCCACTTGTGTCTGTCTATAACCTTCAGCAATAAAATCAGCAGCTCTGCCTGATCCATCTAAAACTAACACCGGAACTTCATTTCTTATAGACTGCCATACTGTCTTCATAGAATTAATACCTCCTTCAACAATGATCATTACTACTGGTACATATACACCTACATTTATTAACAATATAATAAAAATATCAGCATGTTTAAACTTCCAATTTCAGCTTGGAATAAATATCTATAATAAATAAAGAAAAAAAATAAATTTGGCACTACACTATTAAGTGTTTTCATTAAAAAATTAAATCCTTAGGTCAAGACACTACGACAACAGTGATGGAGAAATTTCACATTGGCTCTTTAACCAGGTAAGCTAAGGACTAATCTTTTATGATTGCTGATTCTTATTTTTTGATTCCTTAGTTTTCGTCCTTCAGGAACCATCACAAAGATAAATTAAAAAGAAATATTTATGGCAAGTGGAATATCAGGAAGTGACTTTACATCAAAGTGTAACCATAGTGTTGAAAGTGAAATTAGAAATTTCTTAAGAAACCAAAAGATTCTCAACTTCTTAATCACTTTCATTATCATACATGTTTGCATTTACTATTGTTTTATTTTAGGCATGGGAGCATTTAAATTAATACCACAGCAGCAATCCCATAACTTTTGTTGTTAAAAGAGGTTCTTTATTCTAAATATTATTATGTTACCTTTTTTAAATTTTCACATCCTTGAAATTCCAAGCTTAAGCAACATATGAATGACAATTGTTGTCATAGTATTGTGAAAATAAAGCAAACAATAATTATTTACATATATATGTAACACCTCTTTGTACATACATGTTTCTGATTCTGGGTTACATTCTTGTTGTGATATATGGCCCTCAAGTTTAGAGCGAAATTCTATTTCCCCTCCAAATTTAGAGTCTGTTCCATCATCCACCAGTATAAAGTGGGTATGGTTATGGTCTAAAGGTACTTTCTTTCCAGTTGCAGACTCTACTAAATGTTTGTTATATACTGCAGGAAATAATCCATCTTTTAGATCCTTAAATAAAACAAATATTAAGAATGACACTTTAAGATATTCCATCAAAAATGAACAATTTCATAGTTTAACCATATTCCTTTTTAATCAAAGTAATTTTCAGTGAAGAAACTTTGCTAGGAGAATATTTGCAGCTTTTTAAAGATAAAAGTGATTTTATTCTCATCTTCTGCTTGTATGTCACATTGTATGGACCCCCTTTTTTCTTCTTTTCTTTTGTTTTTTTAATTAAGAGTTACAGTAATTTTTTAATATTCAAATTTCTTTCATTTAATTTAATGTGCTTTAGCTCTGATCTGTACTATCAATAATAAAAAAAAAAGCCAGGTCCATTCCCCGAGCACCTGTCGTTTGTCACAAAAGACTTCTTTTCTTCTTTTTTAGAGGGTAAAATGGCATAACAAAAAAATGTACATATTCCTTTCCTCTTACATCATCTCCATCTAAGGACTCACTGCCAGCCACAGCTCCCCAGGTTGGTACTCCAAGTGCTACAATATTGTCACGTTTGCCAAATGTAATAAAATGGTCCCTTACAGCCTCCCCTACAAATTCCATTACTCCTGTACCTGTACCTCCAGTCACAATCCATGCACCTGGAATGGAAGTTAAAATAAAATGCTTCGCTGAGCGAAAGCCTGATACGACCGCATAGGTCGAACACTGAACAGTTGGGGCAAGTTTGGACACAATATTCAAGCTTGATACTGTCTGAATTTGGATTGTGATCAAGTTTTTGACATAATATAGGTTTCTGACACTATCAATAATAAAAAACAAAACAAAATAAATGTGGTCAAAGATCTTAAAAATTTGAAATGGGACATTTAATTTACCTAGTATGGTCTGATATCCAAAATCTAACAACATGGTTAGATTCAGCATATCAAAAAACACCAAAAATTTAGTTGAAATCAAACAAAGTTTAATTTTGGGCCCTTCAAACCTTAATATGGACTAATTTGAAAACAGGGCCCAAAATAAAAAATCTAAATGCACAATAAGATTCAGCATATCATAGAGCTGCAATAATTCAGTTTTTGATGAAATCAAACAAAGTTTAATTTTGGATCCTTTGGACCTCAATGTAGACCAATTTAAAAATGAGGCCCAATATTCAAAATAGTAATACAAGGTAAGAACCCCCAAAAATTAAAGACTAAATTTAATCCCATTGAAATTGATTAAAAGATTTGTATTTATTTTCAATTGAAGAGTTCTTGCTATTGCGCAATACTGTGCTGTTGCACAATACTTAGTTAATCTGTTATATATAATAATTTACACACCCTATTTGTTGTGTATCTCCTGCCATATCAGTATTTGTTGCTTTTATATATAAATCAGAAATAATCAATGTAAAAATAGAAAGTTTTGGGGGAAAAAAACCCCAAAAATATGAAGAAAAAAAATCCCCCCAAAAAATTTTTTTTGTTGAAAAATCTTGAAGAAAAAAATTACTCCAAACATAGGTGACCTACTGCTTACTGTATCTGAGTTTATGAAAATGTTAAACAGAAAAACTGATAAGTGATGAGAAAATCTCTTATGACCTTTTCAGTTAGGTGATTCAAACATGATTGATTTATTGAATGTTGGGGTTTAATGCCACTTTCAGCACTATTTGCTATTTTGTGGCAGTCAGTTTTTTTTAAGGAGGGGGGGAGGGAATGCTTGGAGAAAACTTTCGACTTTTGGCAGGATAACTGACAATCCCCAAACATGCATTATCAATAATTTGTTTACCATTTTCCAAAGTATACAAATTTAACTTTTTATAATTGGGAGCAACACTATTCACTAAATTCAGAGTCTTACCATATTCTTGATGTAGATTGAATTGAAAGTACAAAATGTTTTTAGAAATAATTGATGTATAATGTATTATGAAAAAAAGCATATTTACAGATCCTGAGCACTCTTCACAATATGAAAATAGCTGAGCTCTAAAATAATATATCTTACCTGTTGAAATAGCTGCTTTCATTAGACCTCTTTTGAATCTATTAGCTAACCTTGGTTTCAGATCAAACCTTTTAGCACCACCTGTCACTGATATTAACAACTGAGGATGACTTAGCTCCCATATGTTTAGCATCAGTTCATAAATTATATTTGGATTTGTGTCAGGTGAAACTCTTATGTACTGAAAGTAACACAAAATTAAGTACAAATGTTTGATAATAAATTGATAAATCAATTGAAAAAGCAAATAAGCAACAGGATTTCCACTCTTTTTTTCATCAAAAATTCTTGGGTTTTTCCATCATTACTACAAGAAATACATTTATTTTCAAGGAAAGTATCAGAAGAAATAGACATGGAAACAATAAGTTACTGTTGTCTGTAAGACATTTAAGTTGGTAACAATTACAAACAAATTTGCTTTCTTACAAACACTCCAAAGACTTTAAAAACAAGAATGTGTTCATAGTACACGGATGCCCCACTCGCACAGTATCATTTTCTATGTTCAGTGGACCGTGAAATTGACCAAAAACTTTAACCTGAAGCGGGACAGACGGACGGACGGACGAACGGACGCACAGACTGAAAAATATAATGCCCCTAGGTGGGGCATAAAAAGCTATAGTCAGTAACTTAGTGCTCTATCAATAGGCAAAAAATCCCACTCTTAAAAATGTTTCAAAGACTAAACAACTTTGAATAAGACACAGAAAGGGAAATAACATTTGCTGTCAGTACATGAACAGTTTAACCAAATGTTTTTTGAGTGAATGAACCAGAAAAAGGAACTAACCACAAACTTTCAATTATTCAATTATGCAGAAATTTTAGACACTGGCACATGACTTGGTGTCAAGAATAATAATTTCAATGAAAATGAAATTAACTGATGCAAACCAATCATTACTGACTTTTGTTTATAGTTTCCTACTAAGTTAACATAAATATATTTTTTCGTTTAAAATTTCCTTCATTGTCTTGCCTAACAAATAAAAAAAATCAGTTTGCAGTATTTTTGTCCAATCTTTTATAATTCTATATATCTATTTTTTCATCTACATTGTTATTAATAAGCACTCAATAATAACAAACATTTACATTTTCAAAGGTAATGTAAAATTGCAATATAAATCTTGAAATCATCATATTCGACTTCTGGGAACACGGGATTCATTTTCAATAAATTCATCGGAAACTTCAGTCTATAGTTGAAGGATACAGACTAAAGTCAGAGATTTTTCTCACTTTTATACATTTGTCTTCATAACAACAGTTTTATTTTCTGAACCATCATTAATAGTCATAGTTGGGATGTAAAACTAATTAATAGATTGCGAAGTATCCTCTTCAAAACTATTATTTCTATCAAAAAAAAATCCTTTATGTGACATGTGACGCAAGTTAACCACACAATTTCATTAAACAATTCAATCAACAAGTTTATCAATTAGTTCATTGTTGTCTATAGCTATAAATGCAATCAGCTGATTTGATTTTCTGTCATAATCGTAACACGTGACAAGTTCAAGGTAAATTCCAAGATTTGTCTTATCAGGGGAAGATCCTGAAAAACCAGAAAAAAAAATAAACAAGATGGACGAAGTCCAACCGTTATAATTCTTTCACCAATAATAAATTTTGATCGCCACAATTTTTATCTTAATGCAAAAATAGTGACTGCCAGCAGAAACCCTGACTTGCACTGGCAACTGTTGACGACATCATAAAATCGAAAAAAAAGTTGGGGCTTCCAAGGTCGACATGTGTTGTTGCCTGTCGTGTCCAATTAATGTACTAGCAGTCCATGTTTTGATATGGAAAACAGGATCAAAAATTAAAATAGCAGTTTCAAAAAGTTTGGCTCATTTCTGACAAGCTGTTTTCCTGATTTTGTGGATTAACTAACTGGTATAAGCATAAAAGTTCGTGTTTTGGTATTGAAATCCCCAAAAATCACTCAGATCAACAATCAAAATATAACAGGTGTACAACAAAGTACAGACAACACCTACAATGTATGTCTAACTTTCTGAAAGGAACTTTGGTGACTTTAGATGCAAGTAAGATAAAAATAGTGACATTTGTCAATTACAATGGTTCAAACGACTTTAAGTCAAACTAACAAATATACTCACTGGTGATTTGTCAGTATCATGGCCATAACCTACAAACATAATTTCTCCAAAGGAATCACATAGTTCAGGAGTACTGTCTGTATGAAAGTGTGGTATATGTTTGTATCCTGGTGTTGATTCCCTGAAATAAAAACAACATCATAATTAAAACTAAAAATCTCCCTGGCACATGAACTGCTCAGGATGCGACCATAACACTGTAATCATGGTAATGCACCTTATGAATGATTTAGGGATTATTTGGGTCAAATTTTATTTTAACTGTAAATAGATGTATTTACACTTGTTTACAAATTTGTCTGCCATTACTTAAAGTCACACAAGTTCCCACAAAATTTTGCATCAAAATCAAAAAAAATTTGACATATATTGTTGCAGGATGTCAGAAGGTTATTCAGAGCTAGATCTAGGGTCATTTGGAGAAAATTCAGCTAAATACTCAAAAGTGTAAATATGCCTATAGGTTGGTAAAGATATCACTTCTTTTAATGTTTTTCTTTCACCAATGGTATTTATTTAACTTTTTTTTCTCATATTTTTATACATCAATTTTAGGCCTATCATTTGAAATATAGTTTTCCAATATCTCTGAAGTCAATTTTAATTCTGAAAAAGGCTCACATCATATTATCCATTCTGAGTAAGACTCTTAAAAACATAAGGATGTTGTTTAACTTTTGAAGAAGAGTCTACATTTTTTCTTAAAACCTTTGTTTTATGTATTTCTATTCCATGTCCAATATATATATCAAACTTAAATGACAAGAATTACATATATATATATATATTCTAAAATCATCATCTAAACACTGTTCAACGTAAACTCACTTAAGGTGTTTTGATCTTCTTTGCTTAATATTTGCCTCATGCACAAAGTCCTTAAAGATATTCTGAAATAAATAAATAAACACTTAAAATATGAATGATAAGATTAAACTTTTTCAGTATAAGGGACAAAAACCAAATTTATACAGTTTAGTATACTAGTACACGAAGCATCACAAACCTACATGTTCAAAACTGTAAGCAAATCAATAAGAGCTTCTGTTGAATCCCTTTTTAACCTGCAGTACATGTTATATGAGATATAAGTAAACTCAACTGAAATGATCCTGAAAGCTACATGTACTCAGACTTACAACAAGAATAATTCAAGAATCTAATTCAATTGAATGTAAAATATAGATCTGCATGTATGAAGCTTTACAAGTCGACTTTTTCTACCAAAAGACCATACCATACTACAAACACAAACTTTTGGACCAATTTGGGGTCCATAAAAAATATTTAACTTGGGACAAAAATCTATCCTTTTAGTCAATGATCTGCATTCATATAGACACATGAAATAAAGACATACATGCATACTTAACAAATAATTATTTTTACATGAAAAATAAATGTAAACCTCTCCCTACTGAATATAAACTTAGATATGTTGGATGAGACTTATCAGTAAATATTAACTCTTCTTTTCTGTCTAATTTTTTTAACATAAAAAATAAATAAAAAAAAACTTACCCTGTCAACCCCAATTTTAGTTCGTTTTGAGTGTCTAGATTTTCTTGATCTATTAAAAACAGCAGATGCACGACTCGTAGAACGTGGTGACTTCCCATAGCCTTTTTCTGGAACAGTAAATGTACCATTACTTTTAACAGATGCTTTATCAGTCTCTGTCAGCTTAAATGACTGATTAGTATTGCCTTCAATGGTAAAAGTACTTGTACTCTCCAAAGAACTTTGTCCCTTTTTTTTCCTTTTACTTCTCCGATGTTTTTGTGTTCTTTGACTGTCATCTTTTGCAGGTGCAGGTATTTTGGTGTGTCCTTCTGGGGATTTATCTTTCTTTGATTTTTTTCGCTTTTCATATTTTGGTTTACCTGATGGTGTATAATCCCCATCAAATGGATCTTCAGGATCTAGATTTTCCAACATTCCTTCATATGAAGTATGTGTATTATAACGAGGAGTACGTAAATTGCTTTCCAAATAGGCATCAGAATACTCTCGCTCTACTGGACCTATAGTTACATTTTTTTGTTTCAACTTCCTCACTGGTGTATCATCTGCTCCTTCTTGATTATGTGATTCCAGTGTTTCAGCCACAGTTCCAAATTCTGATGCCCAATGTCCAGTTCTTGGACCTCTACCTTCTCTTGAAGTTCTCCCTTCCCCATGTTTATCATATGAAGAACTGTCCATTGTCTTCCTAAATTCTACGTCACTATGTGATGTATCAAGATTTCTGATCGTTGACAAGTTATCTAATTCACGATCTGATCCAATGCTGAAATTCCTACTGTAGTCATCATCATTGTTCATTATACAACATGATCTACAATTACAAGGTTCAAACAATTTGTATTTCCAGTATCTCTGATAGTTTCAAATATTTAAGAATGTGACATTACTGTTACAGCTTTTACAAAACATAAACACAACTTGAGTATGAAGGTAAATTTTATAAGCATATATAATTTATTTAGTTGAATAAAAGGAATGTCTGACTTATAATATTGATTATAACTACTATCAAATATTACACTTGAAGATAACGAGATAATTGTGTAAATAAATTTATAAAATTTACAAGAGGTGTGCAATCATAAGACATGTAGTATCATTAAGTCTATTGCCTAATATCAAAAAAGAGTGCACACACTGAAATGTTTCACCTGCTTGACTAAATGGTTTTTTTTATCAGGGTTTTCATACAGGTATAACATAAACGTAACATTATCAATGAATGATCAATGAAAATGATGTCAAGGTTAGATGAACCCTGTCAGAGACATGACCACCTTACGATCATTCAATACACCAAATATAGTTGACTTACATTTATTGCTTATGGTATTTGAAATACAGACCTGTCATCACTGAATCACACTATTAAACTTAACATTGGCCAATCAATCATGAACACATTTGCTCTAAATAATCTGGCCACATTATTATTTAGTTTTCCTTTTGTTTTGTTGTATAGACCTGTCATGATTTTATATGAAACATAAGCATTTAAAAAAGAAATTTGAAAAGAGACATGTTGAATATGTTTATCCAATAAAAAAATTCAGGCCACTTTGGGTACATTATTAATTGTCATTCAAATCACAAGGTTGGACCTTTCTGTCACTTAAAATGCATATACATGTATATTGTAGCATACTTAATGAGTTAATGTGAAGATTCCATAATCAACACCCCATACGATGCCATATACACATGTATATATCATTTCTATGAAATCACACTTAAAATCACTGAAGGAGCCAGGCTGTGGTGATACATTTGCTTTGTTGTTTTACAATCCATACATTCACTCTTTTGACTGATTTTAATCTTACTAGTTCACTTAACACAGTTTTTACTATCAAAATTAAATCACTATAGATAGATACCTAATTGACAATGTATGTATTTAAAGATCAACAGTCAATCAAATTCATCTAATTATTAAATACCAATCTATAAATGAAGCAAAACAGCTTGTGACTAACCAAATAATTTCAAAAATATTTCTTTCATCAAACATTCATCTTTAATTTCCAGGAATTACTTAAAAAAAAGTCTGTATGAAATCAAATACCATTTGAAAATAAAGATGTATTGATATAAAAATAATAGTGAAGTGACTGTGGCAGAACAAACCCTGGATGAACAGACCCAAGGGAGAAATGTAAAGTCGGCGAACAGATCTAATACCAGATAAACCCTGTCAGATGGACTTTACAATACACCATACACCAAATATAGTTGACATAATGCTTAAAGTATCTGAGAAACAGACATTATCACAAAAACTTAATGAAATGAGGTCAAGGTCAGATGACTGTGTACAGCTTACAAATAATCTATATACATGTACTAAATAAAGTTTTAGCATTAAATATAAATCACTGAAAATAACTGAAAAAATCTAATACAGTTTTATAAAAGTAGTCACTTAACCATAAAAATGAGGTCAAGGACATTGGGCACCATATGCCAGACGAAAACTTCAGAACATCAGACATCTGTATGCAAGATTAGAAGTATCCAGGTTATCAACAATGTACATGTACCTTCTGAAATATAAAGTTTTATGCAATGAGCTAACAACACAATCAATTACTGCCAGATTAGCATCCTTATGTTTGTCATTCAGGGAAATACTATCAAATTAGCAAGGTATGTATTTATAGACCAACAGTCAATCAAATTTATTCTAACTAAATACCAATCTATAAATGAATATGTGCCCCCCAAGTTGGTCATCAGCTGCAAAAAGTGTCAATTTTGACAATTTTTCCATGTATTTCTTGACCTGGAAGTCCGAGGAATGCTGATAGATGAATCTCACTGAAGTCTGAATGTAGAGTGGACCCAAGTGAATTCACAGTGACCTCATAAGTGCTGATTTCGGAGTAAACGAGATCCAAGTATGGTAGTCTAAAGAAGGTAATTTCCACCGTAAAATCCAATATTTTCTAATTTCTCCCTGATATTTGGCTTCACCTGGACCTGCAAATGAATGTAGTTGTTCCCTAAAAGTTTTTCAATAATAGACCCGATCAGTAGTCATATGCCTGCAGGTTTACCCTATTTTATGAAGTTTTAGGCCTCTGTAATGTGTGTCCCAGAAACTGAAAGGAACCCCACTCTCCAGAAAAACCAGTTTGGACAGATTTCAATTTTCGTAGTTCGCATTTGGGCTCAAACTGCACCTCAAACCTGAGAAACATGACAATAAATAGCCTTAGGTTGAGGGAACATGCATCAATTTCAAAATATATATACAGTTGACCTCTAAAAGTATGGAGAGCCATTGGAGCCAAAAACAGTATCTTGGGTAGAGGCCGTAACATTACGCCCCATGCATGGTAAGGGTTACAAGGTGTATAATATGAGGACAAAGTCCTCAATAACAATACTAAAATCAATAAAAAAAAATCGATAAAATAATGAATCCAAAATCATTAACTTATTTCACAACAGTTGCAATTGTAAATTACCCTGTTCCTGTTTTGGTGACAGCGGCTGCCATGTTGAAATCATATTTTTTCACGAAAATTTGTATCTCTGGATACATGTCTATCTTTTCCGATTTCATTAAGAAAAAAATTATAATTCTATTTAAATAATACTTTAACAATAAGATAAAAACATTATCTGAAACAAACAGTTTAGATCAGGTTTCTTTGATTACATAGATCTGGAAAAATTTAAAGGCATAGCATGCCCTACAAATGTATATATAAAACTCAAAGGCGTTTTCAGTTTCATAACATTAAAAACTGAACTGGATTTTGCTGTCCATTTTTTTTTTATTCCTACAGAAGGTGCCAAAATAAACAAAGTTAATAAAGATTTTTGAGAACCTCCCCTTGTGAAATAATCAAGTAAACTGTATGCATTGGCATGATTGGCATGGACAATAGATATCTGACAACAATAGGTTTATTAAAACTGTGTCACTGAGTGGATCGTATCAAGTGAGACTCAGGTGTTTGTTAATTTGGTGTCTTCCCACTATTTCTACATTTTAAAAATACATATATTCTCTCTATTCCTACAAACAAAGTACAATAGCTGATTATTAGCTAGGTACAAAAATGTAAGTTATTGTTTTTGCAATTTAGATTTAATTGATTTACAGGTAAATAAGAGCCAAAAAATAAACACTTTTTACTTATTTATGAAGAATTATGATAATAAAGATAAAAACATGGATGCATTGCAGAGAATAATATAGAAAAGTATATATAGAAATGAACTTTGAATTTATATAAAAGGAAAAAACTGAATGTTTCAAATATGAAAAGAAATGAGGAAGAAAAGGCTTAATACAGAAATGTAAAATTCAAATTGAAATATACATATTACACACATATAGTTTAAAATTTGAAATGATATCTTAATTATAGACAGCCTTGATGCTGGGATCAATGATTAATTAAGCTTAAAACAGCTCTGAATTTGGATTGTGATTGAATATTTAAAATAGATTATTATCTAATTAATAATGAAAATGATATTTGCAAATCTGAACCCCAAACAAGATCATGTAAAAATTAAACATTAACACACACAACAAGAATAAAATACCACATAACAACTGTGACTTAAAAAAAATAGTTATAAAGAAATTTTGATGTTATCATTACTGGTTCATGGAATAAGTTTGAGTTATTTCCCTTTGAACAGAAATATGGTTTAACATAGTACTCTAACATTAGATATGATTTAACCACTAAAAAATAGTTCTCTAAAATTAGATATGATGTAACACAATGTATATCTATATTATTACTCTATTTTCAAATTATAATCAAATATAATTAATAGTTCCAAATATTTTTTCTTTCATTTGTCACAAACTAATATAGATCTGCAACTTATCTATCAATGTCAACAACTTTAAATGTAATGAAATATATCCTTTAATAAAAATAGATTATTATCTAATTAAAAGAGTTCATTTCATAAAAAAAAAATTATATATATAGCATTCAGAAAATTAGTTTATACAGAATAACAAACAAACCTACCACAAAATTCTTCAAACAATTTACCAAAGAAAAGAAAAAAAAATCCAAAATGTCATTTATCATTAATACAATGTCTTTTAAAAATCTTTTAAAAAATGAGTTATTTTCCTTTGTACAGAAATGGATTAATACATCAAAAATTGAATTCTTGGGAAAGGGCTATAACTGAACAACGAGAAAAGCTAAAATCGTGAAAATTGAACTTGACCTTCATTTAGTCACAGGAAACAACATATCTAAATTTGATATCTTGATATCTTCAAAGTGTTGTCATGTAAATGAACGGACACTGTTTGGCAGCAGCCCGCCCGCCTTACATCCCCAAATCAATAACCGATTTTTACTTCGAAAATTCCAGTTTAAAAGTATAAGGTTGAAAAGGCAAAGCCAAATTTAAACTACACTTCATAACACAAAGTAAAATGATCCACAGTGCCCAGATCATTACATGCATTGCACCTAGGACCCAAAGGTAGGACCAAGCTATGTATTAGTCAGAGATCACAATGACTTTATATAGACTGATTTTGTGTTTATTTTGTTCATGGTTCATGAAACATGCTTCTTTAAGAACTTAAATTCTTGCTTTATGAGGACTGATTATATGATAAATTCTGATATATCTACATTTTTGTAAACATATTATATTGTCAAGTAATTTTGATATTTTTTTCTCTTATTTATAGGATGATATTTTTTATAGAACACTAAGTGTTTAAAGTATAATATGGGGCTTAAATACTGCGTACATCATTGTGTTTGTAAACTCTATCTTTTGGGACTTTGTACCAATGTGTTTTGATTTATATTTGATGGATTCACTCAATGACAAAAAGAGTTTTGGCATGATACGGGTTATGTTCTTCTCATATATTTTATGATGGTATGATACAAAACCCCCAACGGGAGGGATTGTACTTGATTTTCATATGATGAAGACATAATCTTTCAATCAGTTTAATTGAGGTCTGGAGCTGGCATGTCAGTAACTGCTAGTAGTCCTTTGTTAATTTATGTATCATTGTCATTTTGCTTAGTTTCTTTTGTTACTTATTCTGACATCGGACTCGGACTTCTTTTAAACTGAGTTTTACTGTGTGTATCGCTGTGTGTTTGTTTATTCTACATTGGATAGAGGTATAGGGCGAGGGTTGAGATCTCACAAAACATGTTTAACCCTGTCGCATTTTTGCGCCTGTCCCAAGTCAGGAGCCTCTGGCCTTTGTTAGTCTTGTATGTTTTTTAATTTTAGTTCGTTTATATGTTTTGGAATTTAGTGTGACGTCCATTTTCACTGAACTAGTGCACATTTTTATTTACGGGCCAGCTGAGGACCACCCCATGATGTTGATAAAAACCCAAGAGGTTTTATGGATATTTACCTGAACTTAATTAGCCTCTTGTTTTTACTACCTAATCTAATTCAATTCCTTGTTTATTTAACTATTCCTCCATGGATTTTTTACAAATGACATACCAGATTTTAAAATATTTGAATAGGAGGAATAAACCTGAATTTCATCATATTCTGACATGTCTAGATCTGAAGAACTAAGAAAAAGTGGACAGCAACATTCAATTAAGTTTAAAATTTTCTGAAACATAAAATGCATTTTAATTTTATATATTTATATAGGCATGCTTTATATGCCTTAATATTTTTCTCGATGCACAGGTCTATCTGCACTCGAGTAAATACACCTAATCGCTATTTATTCCATTCCGGATAAGTTCTAAAATTACACAACTTTTTCATCCAGTTGAAGCTATCTGGGACCCTGTTTAAACAATGCACCATGCATGATACTTTTTAATGAGACCTGTTCAAAACATCGTAAATACTTCAAACACAATATTTTTTTGACTATAATTTGAGTTTGGAAAAAGTGGATCATAATCTATCAAAGTTTCCTATTGATCGCTGTCTAAATTTTTCCCTCCCTCAGCTCGTTACTGATGACCTTTGTTTGCGGCCTGTTGACCCAAACAGGAAGTTGTCTAAATGACTGTTTTCTCCGGATTGGACTAAATAGCGATAAGGTGTATTATGTGGTGTAAACAGTCATTTTAGCCATAGGGTCCACATGAACCTTAAGTATTTTAAAGGTTTGCTGACTTCGTCCCCTTTCACAGGTAACACCTGCCTCATATTATTTCAGATGAGGACTGACTGACGTTAAACCTACTGTCACTACATTTTGTACTTCACTCTTCTCCACTATCCCCACTGGCAGTACCAAGGAACAGTCAACTGTTCGAGCAGTGACAGTGCAGAATCAAAATTGGTGGGGTTTTTTTTATCTTAAGACGATATAATTGTTGTCGCTTTTGTAGAGTTTTGTGTTTCACTGTATACAAATATATAGTATCTGTGGTTGTTTACCGTTTGTCGTTGTTGCCCTGGTAGGCCACTTATGCTACACAAAATAAACCGCTTACATCCACAAAACTGGTATCTAAATTATAAATACGCACACCGAAGAAACCAGTATATAGTCTATTTCTATAACTTGGTTAACATGTGAATTATAAAAAAAAAGTTTTAGCTTTCTATAAAGCTGCCCAGTATCAAATATTTATGTCAGCTGTTGTTGGTTTTATATTTTGTGAACAAAGTATTTTTCTTTTGTTTATTTTATATCTTTTGGTTTCAATTATTCAACATCTAAACTTTTATTTGACAAAACTTTTCTCTAACTTTTGTGCACGGTGTTGGTGCATTTTCCATTTTGCTACTGTGATAGACATAACTTATTTTCCTTTTATCTCTTTATTTCAGGCAATTAAGATGGATCATCGTTATATATTTCCTCTGATAGAATTTTCTTATAATTTGTCAAAATGTAAATATTACCATGCTTTTTTCAAAAAAATAAATTAAAAGTATGAGTTCACCATGCTTATTTTTTTCAAGCTACAAGTCGTGTAAAATTGCCTAAATTTGCAAAGATTATTTATGAAAAATACTTTTTGTGAATAAAAAGAAATCTATGGGATAGACTTCTGAAATAAAATATGAGAAGATATGTTTTATAATATAATTTTAGGAAATACAAAGAAAAAATGGTGTCACCAAACATGTTTCCTTGCTAGAAGTAAAAAAGGACAATTTGTTTAACTTTCTATAAAATTTTTACTATTGAGTTATCTCACCTTAAATGGCTAGCATGATTCGAACAGACAAACACATATTTGGTATTTGTTAAAACAGTCTAAATAATGCAACAAATCACTTAGTTTTCTTTATTCAAATAAACAATATTACACATTAATTGTCTCAGAATTTGCAGATCTAAGCAAAGAACTAGACTGATGGCAAAATGCTATTTTACAATCCAAGATGGCGGTTAATCTTCCTTAATTAATTTCTTTTAAACATAAATATATATAGCATTTACCATAACAGAAAAAAAGGATATTGGGTGTCCATCCATGACACAAAATCAGTACATAAAATTGAGAATGGAAATGGGGAATGTGTCAAAGAGACAACAACCCGACCAAAGAGCAGAAAACAGCCGAAGGCCACCAATGGGTCTTCAACACAGCGAGAAAATCCCGCACTCGGAGGCGGGCTTCAGCTGGCCCCTAAACAAAAATGTGTACTAGTTAATGAAAATGGACGTCACACTAAACTCCAAAACAAATAATTGAACTAAAATTAAAAAAAACATACAAGACTAACAAAGGCCAGAGGATCCTGACTTGGGACAGGCGCAAAAATGCGGCGGGGTATAAACATGTTTTGTGAGATCTGAATCACCCCCTTATACCTCTAGCCAATGTAGAATAAACAAACACATAGCAATACGCACAGTAAAACTCAGTTTAAAAGAAGTCCGAGTCCGATGTCAGAATAGGTACAAAAGAAACTAAGCAAAATGACAATGATACATACATAAACAAAGGACTACTAGCAGTTACTGACATGCCAGCTCCAGACCTCAATTAAACTGATTGAAAGACTATGCCTTCATCATATGAAAATCAAGCACAATCCCTCCCGTTAGGGATTTAGTATCAATTCATCATAAAATATATAAGAAGTACATAACCCGTATCATGCCAACAACTGATTTTAGAATAAACGTGTTTATTTCCGATGCAAAGACCCTATGAGTGAATCAATATTAATACCAAAATATGCCATCTTTAATGACCTGACAACAGTATCGTAGCTATATCCCTTCTGAATAAGTCTGTTTAAAGGTTTGGTTAGCTTTTGGGGTGAATGTCGACATTTTTGTGCTTTGTATAGACTATTACCATAAAAGATTGGATGTGAAATACCTGAACGTATAAGATGTCTGCATGTTGATTTATATTTACGAATGATGTCCTTGAACCGATGATAGAATTTGGTAAATGTTTTGACTAGTTTGTGATACCGAAAACCCTGGTGTAATAATATTTCAGTAATACAAAGGTTTCTTTCGTTAAAATCATATATATATATTACATTTACTGTAACAGAAAAGAAAGGATATGGAGTATCGATCCATGAAACAAAATCAGTACATGTACAGCACAGCACACAAAACGCAATATTCTTTTAGTACTTACACATATCATTAACAAAAATAACACTTTTTTCAATTTCATGCGTCCAGCTCGCTATTCTAGATTTGCCTTCATTAGGAACGTTCAACCTATACATTTGGTACCCAGGGATATAAATAAAAAAAAGTGCTCTAGAAGAATCATGACCAATACGGACAGAGAATAGCCAAATTCATCGAATGTCAACTTTGTCTGAGGTAGTTCGAACCTTAGTTTCTTGATAATTTCAATATGTATCAACGGGGAATTTTAAAATACATGTGTGTAGTATGTTATAAATCATGTCAACACATGATTACTTTGATATTTTCGGTGACTAATAATACATTAGCAGTGGTATCGATCTGTTGCTACACAGAAATAACAAAAGGAAGACATTTTAGTTCATTAATTTATTTGGTATTTAAATTTTGTTAACCATTTTGAAATAACTCATGTTACAGAAATATTAACATAATTGAGATAAACTACCTGTCTTAAGGTGGATTATCACTATATATTTCCTCAGATAGAATTTTCTTGTACTTTTCCAAAATGTAGATTTTACCTTGATTTTAAAAAATGTAATAAAATGTATGGGTCACCGTGCTTTTTTTTCAAGCTACAAGTCAAGTCGTGTAAATTGCCCAATTTTGCATAGAATTTTCGTGAAAACACACCTTTTTGTGGATAAAAAGAAATCTATGAGATATATAATTTTGAAATAAGATATGACAAGCTAGGTTTTATAATATGATTGAAAGGGACAAAAGCTACGAATTAGACAAAAAAATTAAAATAAGATTCTTTTTGTTTCACGTATTAATAAAAGCGGAATTTTGAAATAATTTCGTTATAAGCAGTGAGTTTGTCCCAGATTTGTCAAAATAAGCTCAAAAACATCGCTGATGTATTATTGACTTGCAAGTCAATAATTCGACCTTATGTGAATCCGTATTCATTTGACCTTCAATTTAACCTCTTAGCTGAAGATGGGTTACGTATGTACTATGCGTGTTTAGCTATTAGAAGGAAAAGAATATGTCAACATTGAAATTGAAACAAGGGTGAACAATTTCGTTTGACTAATTCGAACGACAAAACAATCATTCTTATACAGGTAAAAACGATGGTTAACATTTATTTTAAACCTATAACATATAAATAGACCTAGAAAAATCAAATTGCACGTGGTCACTATATCTATTTATATTTATATTTATGTTTATATCGGGTTATATGACCGTGGGCAGCCTTCGGAGCCGTCCGAGGTCATCTCGGTGGTTAATTAGATGGCGTCTAGACAAAAAATACACCAATCTAATTAGAATATAGACCTCTGATGTCGTTATACTTCATGAAGTATAACGACATCAGAGGTCTATATTTTGATTAGATTGAAAATACACACGAAATGCTGATACATACCATTGAGTACATGCATTGTTAATTGTTTATTTTACACTTTTTGTAATTTTTATATACGTTTTAGTATGTTATTAATCAAATATGAAAATTTGATTCAAATCGGTGAACGTGAATTTGATAGCTAATGCCCCTTTAGGAAAAGAAAAAGAAAAAATGGAGTCACCGAGCTTGTTTTCTTGCTACAAGTACAAATTTTAAATTTCATTGATATTCCTTTATAAAAAAATTACTATAAGAGTAATCTCCCATTATATGGCTAAGTTGAAAAATTGAATCGAACAAAAAACATCATTTGGTATTTGTTGAAACAGTCTAAATAATGCAATAAATCTTTATTTAGATAAAAGCTTATACATTAATTGCAAATCTGTCTCAAAACTTGCAGACTTGAACAAAGAACTAGACAGATTGTGTACTGTTATTTTACCATCCAAGATGGCGGTATACAGTTAATCTACTTTAAAACGTTTTCCCTTCTCAGTGCGATGCATGTTAAGTCTTATTTGCAAGCCTTATGCGGCCATGATGACCCAGTTAGAATTGTCTACTTGATACAAATTTTGAAATGGTTTTTGTCTTTAATTAATTTCTTGCTATAACGCCTGGTATGAATTGGCTTGTGAGAATTACCATTGTCTTTATTTTCTTGTAAATACATTGTTGCTTGTTTTATTGTCTTGGTATCATTGACGTTTCTAGAAAAATCATTGTTTTGCGTAACTAAAATAGTTGATTATAAAATGGTGTTTGTTTCGTTTCTGTGTCTCGTTTTTGGCAAATCCATTCCATCATAGATAAATACCAGTGTTTTACAATCCAACAAACTTAGTCTAATTTCAGATGACAAAGGTTCCATACTGGTATATCAATACAGAAGACTGGATACATGAACGTTCACATATTTTATTTTTCCATCCAACATATATACAGTCAGTTCATAAAACATATTTACAGCAATCATGGCAATATACATTAACCCACCGCTACTCGCAGATCGAGGGCGGGGCGAACCGATGCGTCACAATTTCTCTCTCTTTTCTCTACCTTTTTTTCAAAATCAACCTTTATAAAACATGTTGATAGAAAAGTTTTGACCAATGAAAATAGAAAAAGGTACTTATAAACAAATAGTTTCCAAACAATGAAATATATCAAAAGCAGATTAAATTAAGACTTAGTGTTAATTGACATTATTCACTCTATATGCAGTTTGTGTGTTGACAAATAAATTACATTGATGACCATTGATGTCAAAAAGTATTCTCACGACATAATCTTAATCTTAATCCATCAATATTTCCTAGTAACGCGAACACGACTAACAAATGTCTCTTATCAAATTATTTGAAAATAGTTCAAAATCTTGTTTCCCGAACAAAATGCACTTCTTGCTTAATAAAAATATTGAAACTTAATTACTTATGAGAAATTATTACTTTTG